GTTTAAACAATTTTTAACAATGTTCATTGCTTCCTTATTCAAGGCCACTATCCTATATCACTTCTCCAATAAAGGGCCATACAGAAGGTTAACACCTTGAGGCCATTTCTTTTTACAATAAGCATGTTGTTTACAAGGAAGAAAGTGAGCATTATCATGTCTAAAAAAACATCGGAAAGTCGAAAGACGCCGGTATACAAATATAACAATTAACATGTTTAATTTGAGGATGGACAGTCGATATTAGCTCCAACAAGTTTTGGAAGTTGATAAAATAGTTCCTAAGGCGAAATTAAAGGGGCACTGCGTCCTGAAAACCACGAAATGTGCATGTTTCTGGCTCTGGTTCAGTCAGTAAAATTCACTCAGGAATATCACACTAACTTCTGACCTTATGTGTAGATGACCTTAGTAAATAGCCTTACATGTAATTGTCCATGTAGTGCTTGAATGCCCTATCCTTGAATGCAAGTAGTGTCCTAGAGTTGACGACGTTTGCTGGCAACTTCTTCCATCCTGTAATTGTTCTCGGGAAGAAAGAGTTCCAGTAGGCTTCCTTGGTTGCATGTCGTTTGTAGAATTTTTGTTGGTGCCCCCTGGTATTTCTTGTGTTTCAGTTGAGGTGATCTGCTCGTGAGATGTAAACCAGCCCATGATTGATTTTGTAGAGCACTGATAGCCTTTGTATCTTCCTTTGCTCTTCCATGTCTCCCCACTTGATGTGCTCCAGGATTCCAGTGACTGTTCCCTCTTCCTATACTGTAATTTTTTTGTGCAGAATCTTGTTGCATATTTTGGACTCTGTCCAGTGTTACGGTATATTACACTCAGTAAGCAAATGTGATAGTACAGCACTTCGATGGATTAAAGTTCATGAGCCATTTATTCTGCCATGATTCGAGCAACTTGAGATTGTTTTGTAGAGTTGAGGTGTCCTTGTTAGGTGATATTTGTTGGTAAACCAGGCAATCGTCAGCGAATAGTCTCATTTGTGAAGTCAACTTGCATATTGCTCGGCAGGTAAAGTCAGCAGTAGTGGTCCGAGCACAGCTCCTTGCGGAACTCCTGATGTGGCAGAAGTCCGAGAGTCCATTGAGGTTTAATTAGAATATCGGGCACAAAAGGTTTGATGGTGGCAGCGAATAGGGGTGTCCAACTTTCAAAACCGTCACTCTTAAGTGACACACCCCGTGCTTTTCGGAGGGGGCACCACCTAAAGATCCCCGAAAATTGACTTTTAATTAGAATATCGCGCACAAGCACGGTTCCAATGCGAAAAGATAGTTTTCGAATAATTTATCAATGACCAGTAACTTAAGGATGAGAAATCCCGCGTGCATCCATGTCCATGTTTAAGAATGGCCTAATTAGCACTAATTATTTACCGTTAATTAAATTTTTGAGCACAAGAGCGAAACCTTCACTATAAGCTGCTTGTGACTATAATGCAAGATCCACAACTTTTAAGAATAGCTTTTCCCGTGCATTTTGTGCTTAAGAACGAGTTAAAGTTCAATAATTAGCCGCCTTCTAAGGAGCTTCTTGTTTTATGTGTTTAAACATTGAGCACAACGATCATTCCAACACCAAACGGTAGTGTACGAGTCAGCGTTTGCAGAATGTCAAGTTAAGAATAAACAACTCGTGCAAAATCTGCGAACGGCTTTATTTACCGCGAAATAACGCAAAACAGTAACTCTTTTTGTGTGAAATGACGTAATAGCATTGAGACATACGTATCAGTTTGCAAAACAGCCCCCAAGAATCGCAAAATACCGTGACAGTAATTTTAAAAATAAACACGTACCGTACACGTGTACTGTAAAATAACAGAGTGTTACACAGTTTTGGAATAACAACGCATTATTTGTGAATTATTCATTCTTTTTCAAAAACTTCTAAACCCCCAGAAACACTCCCACTTCCTGATCTCACGGTATTGTAGAGGTTCCGATTTATGCATATGTATAGGCCTCATTAGTACTTTTTGCATCAATCATTTAATTCATAAACAAATACATATAGGTTTCCCCCTACCTCCACTTAAAAGTACACATTCATTACAGTCCAATGGTCTATTTCGATCAAAATCAAAGAATGTCTTGAATCAAGAATCACTCTATACACTGTTAAAAATGTCCGTAAATTTACGGACTCCGTAAAGTGAAATATTCCGTATTTTTGCCGCAATTTTACGGACTTTCCGTAAATGCAAATATTAATTATGCTAATTAGCGTGATTACAATCAACCACATTTGACCTACACATAATAAAGTACATCTAGGCCTAAGTACATATTGTTATCTCACCCACAACCGTGTACACATGTCCAAACTCATGTTAAGGGTCTGTTTATTTTACGGAATGAAAAAAACTTTTCCGGAAATTTTGCTGCAGGAATACGGAACGGGACGCTATTTTTTTTTTTGCTGGCAGCAAAATTTCCGGAAAAGTTGTTTCATTCCGTAAAATAAACAGACCCTTAACACGAGTTTGGACATGTGTACACGGTTGTGGGTGAAATAACATTATGCTTCGATGTACTTTATTATGTGTTGGTGTTTGGGCCGATGTGGTTGATTGTAATCACGCTAATTAGCATAATTAATGTTTGCATTTACGGAAAGTCCGTAAAATCACGGCAAAAAATACGGAATATTTCACTTTACAGAGTCCGTAAATTTACGGACATTTTTAACAGTGTAGACCGTATATGAACCATTATACACATGAATGTATTGATCTGATGATATATGAAATATTGCGGGTTCATTTTTCGTTTTTACTTTCTTTTTTCAGAAACTGTGCGCCGTTGGTTGGAAAAGTTTAACACTCCATGGACAGCTGTAAAATGTGTTACATGCCCGTTTAGAACAGCGCTTCTTTGGTGTGTCCAATTCAATAGCAGTTTTTAAAGGGGAAAATCATCGATCCCGGCCATTTTGTATCATCCTTTTTTTAAGCCGAAAAGGACTCGCATCAAACTGTGGAGAAAATCCAAATGTCCCTTAGGGTCCCCGGCATACTTTTTCGCCATATCATACATCCTAAATATTTTGCTTGCTTTCAGGCCTTCATCGTAATTTATCTCTCTTTAATAATTCAGGTTCCGTCATGAGTGAGTCTGCTTTACTTACAGTCCATTCATGTATCAGGTAGGCTTTGATACATCGTCAAAAAATCTAAATACCATGAGAATTGACTAACTGGGCCATAACGCGGACATTTATTTCTTAATAACGTGATAGGTTGCATTATTGCGTAATTCGCAAAATCATGACTATCTCGAATATTTAGGCCGGCATAATATTAATGCATAATATCGCATATTGCACTATGTTACATCGCAGTATTTTGCAATGCAGTACGTGTGTAGCGATGCTTTCACGTGGTTGTTTACTATCAGCATTTGTGCATATTTCGCTATGACAGTATGTTTTTACTTTTTAAGCCATGCAGAAATCGGCAACTAACTTGCCGTTCTTAAGTGAATTTTGCACGGGATTTTTTATTTGTAAGTTGAAATTCTGCAAAAGCTGACTCATTCATTACTGTTTGGTGTTGGAATGATCGTTCTAATGAAAGACATAAAAAATAAATTTAGGCGGTGTCCCCTCCCAGACGCACGGGTATGACACTTAAGAATTACGGTTTTGAAGGTTGGACACCCAACCTACTCGCTGCCACCATTAAACCTTTTGTGAGAGACCTCAATGGGCTCTCGGATTATATGGGTAAAATAGAACAAGGAAATATTTGAGAGGATTTCCGACCAAGAGGATACCGCAGAAACGGCCACTATTAAGAGCAGGAATTTGAAATCCCCCAACAGACGCAAAATGCTTTGAATGTTGTAATTCCAGGCCTGATAGCAAATGGGATTGATTTCGCATCAACGCTGTTTCTTTCAACGGCCTCATAATGTACAATCTCCGTAAAAGTGGGGTGCAGAACAATGACTGCGGTATATAATGCCAACCTTTGGAAATTGCCCAACTATAGGCCTATTGGATTGAGAAAAAAAAACTATTGCCTGTTGCAGCCGATTTTTTGTTTGTTCACGCCATTTGCCCCTACTGTTTAAAAATATGGCCAACTCCCAGCAATGGCAAAATTCTTGAATTATTTTATTTTCACTTGGGTAAGCAGCTCCATGGGTGAGCTGGCCAAATGCAGAAAAGAAAGGAAAAGGTGAAATCATCGGAATCGTTCTTTTGCCGGCGCAGCTCCCAACTTTTTAACGTCATGACCCGCCCCTAAAAGGGTCAGACAAAATGGCATTAAATGGTTTTGAACTTGTTGAAGTAGGCCTAGGCTATATGTGTTGGGAGAGAGTGTACCCAAAATTGCATATGAGTCCGCCCCACTAGAGCCCATAGGAAAGGGTGCGCAGTGACGGTTGTTGCAACTATAGGCTTAGTACTAGTACTTTTTTTCCTGGTCGTCAGACAACATTGACATAAAAAAATGTTGATATTTACCCAACTGCATGAAGACCATGATTTTGGAAATTTTGGAGTTGTGAAGTGAAGCTTGAGGAAACTGAAGATCGGAAGCCTGCGTCTCCATCTTGTCTCTCAACATTTCTGACATCTTCATGATTTCCTTCCGACCCGGATACAGCCAAAGGTGTTGTATTTACACCGAAGCGGCGGGTAAGACATTTGAGAGCGCCTGCCACGTGCTTCTGGAAAAGATGTAAACGAGCCGACCGTCGCATCAGCAGGGCTGCACCACCATTCCTTGCAATTGGCATAAAATAATCATACGGCCATTGCAAATTGACATGAATTGGATATTTGTACATTCCACACGCACAAAGATGGAAATGTGGTCCACATTGTAATGTTTTGTAAAATTGGATACACACAACAATACGTATGAACCGCGGCCCGCTGGTCCTGTCAAAAGCGCCTTTGAAAACTTTATTAACTTGGGGCGCCTCGCGCGGATAGAGCGCCCCCAAGAGGCATTCAAGAGTTTTTTGTAAACACAGTATCTTTGGCCATATTGCGTCAGCGCGGTGATCATCGCTCGCTTTGAAAGGTAATTATGTTGTAGCATGGAGGAATAAAAACAGGCATGACAGGTAGTAGGCCCTAAGTAAAAACTCGATTATGAACGAAACAATCTTAAATCGAGTACAGCCTCTTCCGATCGGATAGGATGGGTTTACATGGACGGACATTAGTCGACATCATTCATGCGTATTGGGGAAAAATGTTGTAACCTGACCATGCTTACCAAGCCTGTCATGGAAACGTGGAAATCCGTGGTAGGTTATCGTGGAAAGGTGGCATTCCGTGAAAGGCTATCATGAATAAGTGCAAGTCTATGATTATGCTATTGTGGAAACGCGCCCAAAGATTAATTATTGCAATAAGCAATTGTACACAGCCGACAAACATGACAAAAAAGTGTTGTGTTTGAAAGAAGAGTCCGAGTTTTGAATCTTGATAGATCTCCGTGAAGTAAGTGACTGATTAATTAAGAGGAATAAAGGAAAGGAGAGGGTGAGAGTAGAGGAGGGAAAGTGGAGGATATAACCGTAAAGGATGCAATTTTTTGGCGCTTGAAAATTAATTAAACAAAACAAGTGGAGGATAAATTAAGTATGTTGGCCAGTTTCCCATACTGGTGGCTGTCTTCTTAAAGTAAACATGTAGTCATGACAATGGACATGAGTCATACAGGGACAGTGTCTTCAAGTGTCTTAGAAACCAACAAATACTCAAATGCCATCTTTCCCATGGTTGGGGGGGGGGGGGGATAGCCCCACTAGTGTGGCCGCGGTATGCTGCGCTGAACCTCTGGCCACACACCGTGGTACCACACACTACTGAGGACGAAGTTTTCATAAAATTTACAGGCAGTTTCTTACATATGGTTGTATTCTATAATGTCCCATCTATCACATCTGGGATGCTTAGGTGTAATGATGTTCAATTTTCCGAGATATTCTTGAATCTTTCTGGAGCTCATATGCACTCGTGAAACGTCTGGTGATGGCAGCCATTTTGAATGTGACAAGAGATGACCTCAAGCTGTGACGTCGCGTTTATGCCAATTGCTTGTCGAGCGAGGGCGCAAGTTGCAAATTTATGCGACGGCTGTTTCCAGTTCCAAATAAAAATTAAAATAATACCCTGCGCATGCACTGCGTGGGCTTCGATGTCGACGGCTTGGACGACGCGCGCGACACAGGAAACAGCCGTCGCATTTGCAACTCGCGCCCTCGCTCGACAAGCAATTTGCATAAACGCGACGTCACAGCTTGAGGTCATCTCTTGTCACATTCAAAATGGCTGCCATCACCAGACGTTTCACGAGTGCATAATGGGCTCCAGAAAGATTCAAAAATATCTCGGAAAATTGAACATCATTACACCTAAGCATCCCAGAAGTGATAGATGGGACATCGTAGAATACAACCATATGTAAGAAACTGCCTGTAAATTTTCCGAAAACGTCCTCAGTAGTGCGTGGTACCACGGTGTGTGGCCAGAGGTTCAGCGCAGCATACCGCGGCCACACTAGTGGGGCTAGGGGGGGTCGGGGGGAGAGATAAAGGGGATATATAGAAAAAAACAAGTTAGTGCAAGTCAGACTTTTCACTGAATTCATTTTCATTTTCTGTTTTCTTTCAGCAAGTGAAGTTAGCTTCCAATATGTAAAATAACTGGGATTTTTACACAAGTCACACAGCGACCCCAATAAAATGGAGCCTCTAAAATCATCAGACAAATCTGGCAGGCATAACCCACGTCGCAATCACTCCCGTCATAGGCACAGACACGGTGAACGTGAGCCCAAAGACAACATGAGGGACACTTCATATGATGGCAGGGACAGCAGGCAGTCACGTAGACGCAGGGCAGACTAAAATGATGATTCTCAGTCCAGAACCGAGAAGCCTCCCAGCCGGGGTAGAATGCCCGATCGCCAAAAGGATAAGAAAAGAGCCTATCATTCCTCCTCCTCAAGGTCAAGACACAGGAGCAGAGACAGAACCAGAGCTTCATCCACAAGAAAGGGCCCTTCAAAAAGCAGTGAGACGTCCCGTGGGAAGAAACGTGGGAAGAAACGTGGGAAAAACGCGCAAGGAAAAGAAAGGTTTCCAAAGCTTGGAATCTCTATGGGTAAATTCCTGTGCCTGAGAAATCAAGCGGGGATGTTGAACATTCCAGCAGACAAACTGATCTTAATGCAGATGAAGGATTGTCTAGAACTCACCAATGGGACGAAGATAGGACTTTGAGACCACAAGATTCTAGACACGAGTCTGGAAATTGTTCTTCAAAAGAACACCTTGAAGTAGAGAAATCTTCCAGGGACAACAATGGCATGTTTGACTGGAAGAGGCACAGACGGGAGCTGGATGCAATATGTTTTAGGGATGACAGTACACATATTATCAAAAGGTAATTGAGCTTTGGTGATTTCATGTCATGGAATTTGTCAATATCTGTGTAATATTGTGTGAAATGCCAAGGTTTTTGGTTGTCAATTTTCACTGTATTTTACCACAGGAAATCCGAAGATTAGGCGAAGTAAAAAAAAAAACATGTTTAGCGTCCCCGCCCGCTTCCTTTTGAGAGGCCGCCTCCTTTTTTTTTTTTTTTTTTTTTTTTTTTAAAGACAAAAATTGATAAATTTTAACGATCTCTAAGAAATCGTATTTTTAGACTTTTATACCGTGTATAAAGATGTTCGGTTCTGCATAGTTACATCATTTTGGTCTCATTTTCTGTTGCATCTTGCCCATAAGAAGCCAATATGTCATTTCCTGAGTCCAAGTGGCGGCCATTTTGAAAAAAGCTGGTAACCATCTTGAAAAATAGCCCGGCTGCGTTGTCTTGAAAAATGTGTCGGGCGGCCATTTTGGAAAAAAAAAAAAGGGCCTCCTCCTTCCTTTTTGTCAAAGAGGCAGGACGCTAAACATGTTTTTTTTTTTATTTTGCCATAGGCCTACCATGATTTTTGGAAGTTTCTTGAGCGCTACCAAGATTTTCAACTCAAGCTGAGTGCCAGTGAGCCACATCGAGGTAATAACTACAGTTATACCTCCAGTAATGCCCTTTGTAAATTTATGTTAAATTTCTGTATTTCATATCTCCCTGTACTGTCCTAGCATCTCTCTTTCCACTATCCCTGATAGGATAGGCCTAAATCTTTCAAGAAAAAAAATTATACCCAGGCTAGTGTCATTGAAGTGCTAAGCATGTAGATTTTGTAGTTCATATGTGTATTTTTGTGTTAAGTGACAATTGCATGGATATGAAATTGAGACACATCAATACTCAAATAGATAAAAAAAATTGCTTCAGCAAAAAAATTGTGTCTGAAAGTTTGTACAATCTTTTGAGTATCACCTTAAGGTGAAATTGTTTAGTGATACTTTCTGTTCTATTCCTGTGAAATTGTACCTTGCTAGTGCAGACAACGAGATATTTCAGTCACTGAAAAGCAAAAAAAGTGATTGACCAGCAAGAAAGGTACTGTCAAAGGCTTTAAAATGCAAGAAATGGGAACCGGCTTAAATATGCTATTCATTTAAGACTGACATCGCTATTGTTGAACAGTATAAATTAGGCTGACGTACAGCAAGTCATCCTTAGTCACAACTCTCTTGAAAGACTTGCTGCAATTGTTCTCATGTCATGGGTTCAAACCCTGCTCAAAACAGACTGATACTATGTCACCAATAAATATGTACTAAGCTTTTCCAGCACAAGAAAATAATATTTTACCAGATCTTTCTTTTTACATTTCCTTTTTATTTATTTATTTTTTTTTAACTTGTTTTCAACAGATGATGAAGATGAGTTAACCACTGAACGCATCAAGAAATTCAGTAAGGTGCTTGTTACGAACCCACTTATGCTATAATCCTTTAGTACGGTTTGCTCCTGCACTAGAAATTTTGGTATTTAATGAAATATGTTATGGTGGCTACGTGCGGGTAAATACCCTATACATGTATAAGCACTGACTGGCTTTTATTCGCTCTCAGTTGGTGCCCATGTACAACCATTATGTGCGATTTCCATTAGCGCGTCGTTGAGCCAGCATATCCCGCCGTTCCTACCGAGCTATGTACCCCTCATCGCTGGATCGTGGCCGAGGCTGACGGTACTACCGGACGGAGACCTGGACTGTCGTGGCCCGCCTGATGTGGCAGACCTCCTGGGCTTCAACGCCGACTATTCTGTGGCTTGGCTGATCTACGGCCGGGTGCGGAGATGTTTGGTTTGACGGTTTCGCTAATACCGTTGTGGGCACTGGCTGGGCAGGGCCTGTTCCTGCTACTGGTTCCTTATTGGTAATTATACTCGGCCGAATACAACTTGCCTTTGTTGTTTTACTTATTAACTCTATTTTGCCGGCTTGTTCTTTATTGTATTATGCCTGTTTGTGTAATTTGCTGCTTTGCTAATTTCTTTGTAATTCATTTTGTTTGCCTATATGATGCCTTGGGGTTCTTGCATGAAGTTGCAGACTAACTGAGAAAGTTTGTTGTATCACACACTGTCCTATTGATTGATTTGGGAGAATTAATTAAATTTTGTTAGTCATATATTGGTCTCCTTTTTGCCTTTGATTCAGAAGTCATGATTCCTGTTTTTATTACTTATTTCTTTCTGCCATGCGTTCCCCGCACGTAACAGAATCTTTAGACTGCGATACATGAGAGCCATGCCGGTTGGCACGGACAGGCCTTGCTATGGGATTTACTGCACAAAAACGAAACTAGTGGCATCATGTACCTACATCTGACGCTCACTCCAAAAGTTTCAAGTCTGAAGCCTTGCCGATTTGCCAGCTTGTTTGCCTATTCATCCGCTATTCAACAAGCTATAGTTTTTCCAAATCCATCCTTGTTAAGTTGTCTATCATGACCAATCACTAGACGCAATTTCAATTCAATACAACAGAGGTATTTCTCGAGTTATCGCTACAATCACGAGTGTTAGTGGGGCTGTTGAGGTCAAATATATGATACAATTGTGCACTTTGTGACTAAAGCACGAAACTTCGCATGTTGGTTCGTCATGCCATGAAGAAAATTTTCAGATGTGGAGACATTTCATATTTGACCTCTGGTGACCTTTGAGAGGTCAATGAACTTTACATACACTATATATAATAATTGTTCTTGAAAACACCACTTTCCTACGACCCCAGTCTATGTCATAGGTCTTCAGGCAATGGAAAAAAATGATCAGATGTGAAGCCGGTGAGCTTTTAAGAGGTTAATGACCTATATAATTATACAGTATTTATAGTTATTTATAAGATTAACACTTTAAACCCCAACTTTATCAAGACCAAACTCTAAAAGTTACGTGTTCATGCTATGAAAAGCATTTTCATATGAAGGGCATTTCATATCTGACCTCTGGTGACCTTCAAGAGGTCAATGAACTTTGTATGCCCTATTTAAAGATATTTATAAGATTTACTATTTAGAACCCCACTTTATCTATGACCCAAGTCTAAAAGTTGGCTCTTTGTGACATGAACAGAATTTTCAGATGTGTGAACATTCATATTTGACCCCTGGTGACCTTAATGAGGTTGATAAACTTTGCATACCCTATTTGCCGCTATTTATCATATTTAATATTCCAAATTCCACTTTTTCATGACCCAAGTCTAAATAGATCAAAACAAGTGTATTTTAAGTATTATTCTACAGCATGTCATGAATTCAGACCCCAAGGACAACTTTGTAATGACCTCTGATCTCCATTTCCCTTTTTGAAGGGTAGACGGGGGCAAAACAGAATACAAAAGGTATATTGGACAATAATCTCACTCTAACAATGACCAGTGGGCTTGGTAAAAAGGTGAAAAATGTGGTGAACAAAGTCCATCTAGATGGAGGCTTGGGTCACGAAAACAAGGCGTTTTGACGAATAAGTATAAAAAATAGCGAAAAATAAGGTATTTAAAGTTCATTGACCTATTCAAGGGTACCAAAGGTCGGATTATTATGACCCCATTATCTGAAAATTCTTTTCATGTCACAAAGAGCCAACTTTTAGACTTGGGTCCTAAAATAGTTGGGTTTTGAATAATAAATCTTATAAACATCTATAAATAGGGCATACAACGTTTATTGACCTCTTGAAGGTCACCAGAGGTCAGATATGAAATGCCCTACATGTGAAACAACAAAATCCTAGCATGAACACCTAACATTTAGACTTGGTCTTTTAAAACGTTGAGGTTTATAAAGAGTAAATCGTAACGACAAAATATGTATACAAAGGTCATTGACCTCTGGAAGGTCACTAAAGATCAAATATTTTTTTTGTTTCACTCTGATCTTTATTTTCATGGCCTGAAGACCTATGACATAGACTTGGGTCATAGGAAAGAGGTGTTTACAAGAACAATTGTTATAAATAGTGTATGTAAAGGTCATTGACCTCTCAAAGGTCACCAGAGGTAAAATATGAAATGTCTCCACATCTGAAAATTTTCTTCATGCCGATGATGAAGAATCAACATGCAAAGTTTCATACTTTAGTCACAAAGTGCACAATCGTATCACTCAACAGCCCCACTATGTGTTTATTTTGTTCAGACGCAGATTTTCAGTAGACGTTGACTTCAGTCAGGCAGATCTGTGTTCGATGCTTTGTGGTGGGTGACCACTATTTGTGTGACGTGCCCTCTATTGAAAGAAAATTCAAGTAGACCGCTCGACAGATTTTTATTTTCCATGCGAGACCACTCTTTTATTTAACGGGTCCTTTTTCTACAAAACTTTAAGTGGACCAAAACGTTTGGGTAAAATGCCCTTGCAAAGTAGTCCGACAAACCGGAAATTTAAATTTAATGAAACAGTCTTTATTTCTTCCTCTGCTAAACGAATGTGTTCGCTCGTACCCCCGCCCTACAACTAGGCCGCTGGAAAGGGCTAATCTCTTTGAGCTCTCATTGGATAGATTTTGCGTGACCTGTGACGTTGAATGCAGCACACATAATTATAGCTGTTTATCATACGTAGGGGGTACGAGCAAAACCGAATGTGTTGCTTTTGTTCCAAGAAAGTTGACTGTCGTCGACAGAAACGAGATACGTCCCAACGTTGGTGGCGCTACCCATGGGCGCCGCCAGAATTTTTTTTCGGGGGAGCACATTTTTCCCAAAAATCCTGTAGGCCTACTTTCTGTACCATATTATTCTCAATTGATCATTTTTTTTTGGGGGGGGGACATTAATTTAGCCACCCCACCCCAATTGACACCCCTGCAGACGCCCATGTTTGTTTAATGTGTATTAAACTAATAGCAACTATGACTTCAAGTTCACACCTCTTGTTTTTCCCCGTTTTTTCGGTTGCTATTCTGGGGGGAGGGAAGCGCCCTCCCCCTTGCCCCATCCTTTCGACGCCGATGGCGATACCCATCCGTTACCCCGACCTCTCCACCCCACTTACCCGGGTGAATGTATTAGATCGTGCATTATTCAATGCATGATAGAACGAAGCGAATGCACATTCTTTTTTTTTAGTTTTGGTCTATCCATACTAGAATATTCACGCTTGGTATAGAGCAAAAACTTATAATGTTTGTAGAAACAAGACAGCGTTAACAATTTCCGTTAACAAAGGGATATTCCCTTTGTCACAATTTACACACCCCTTTGGTACGAGTGGAAGAGGCTCCATCGTTCGTACTCGGCTCACAAGCCCCCCCCCCCCCCCCCCCCGGTCCCCGGCAAAGGGCGGCGCGTGTTTACAGTGTGACGTCGACGGTATGTCAAGTTCATGATTGCGCAATTACCGGCAGGGGAAGTCCCACAAACAAAAGCAATTATGCAAACGTATTAAAAACCGAACGAGTGTCGTATGACGGCCGAACAACACAGCGTACTTTCAATGAAACAACACGTATATTAAGAGATGACGCGTAAGTTCTATTTTCCGTTTGTGGTTTAATGGTGGGGTTTTTTTGGGGGGGGGGGGGTTGTGAGGCTGTTTATTATTTTATACTGGTTCCGGGGGTGTGTTTTAATGTGTGCCTGACTGATTGGTTGGACTCTCAGTAGTTGACTGGTTGTAGGCTGGTCGAGAGTGCCAGGTAGATTCCTCCGTATAGTCCGTAGTGCCGTAGACCATATGAAGATCATGTATGAAAAGTCTTCCAGTGAATAGCCATTCTGAATCTATTGAATATAATTACTTGTGCTCTGAAACACTGCAGTACTTCGCTTGTCTTGTTTCCAGTCGTGTCAGCCTATATACAGGGTGAGTAAAAAAAACACGAAACCCAAATGTCGGGGGGCTGTACAGTCCGACGCCTCATAGGTCCGACGCCTCATAAGTCCGAAATTTCGAATGAACTCTCATCAATCGCGAATTCATTGCGCCCGCTGTCGGTCTAATTGCGCAATTTGGATATATCGTCTATCTAGCCCCCCCCCCTCCCCCTCCCCCCCCCCCCCCCCCGCCACACTGAAAAATAATAGTAATAAAATCATTGTTAAAAAAGGTGCTCGTTTATTAAGAAACCCATGAAGTAAAATATCCAAACTGATTGGATATTTCCAATGTGAAAGCCCACGAGCGAGATGACCGCCGCCCGTCCACGAACACATTCTCGTATTATTCTTTTTGATGAGGCTTGCGGTTTTTGCCGAAGTCAATTGAGCGTGGCCGTCTGATAGGGTCTGCATTTTGTGTAGAATCATGGTATATCCGGTACCAACTTTTACGGCAATGTGTCAGTAATGGAATTAACAAAATAGTAATTTATGGGTCATCGTGGCCATTGTCACATGCATCGCGGGATCTCATTACCAGTCAGTAGCCGTGTCACGCACACAGCCCTGTTTGACCTCAGTTTCTCGTCCCGAGGTCAAGCACGCATGGCCCAAAAGCGTACGCGAGATTTTACGAGATTAATTTGAGACTACAGAAAAACACAAAAAGTACCTCGATACATGCACTGTTTGGCCAAGATGGCTAAATAAGTGAAAAGTTGAAATCGTGTGCTTTATTTTGATAACAAAATTAACTGCTTTTGACAAATATTAAGTGTTGTTATGGCCTGTCAAACAAAATCATATTTTTTATTAACAAAATCGAGGGCCGATAGTTTTTAGGTGTACATTCGATTCTTAAAAAAGGCCGAAACAAATGGCAAGGCTTAGTAGATAGAGGAAAGTATACGCTTCATTTTCATGTGAGACACGTGCAGGAGACTTCTAATGTTTGGTCCAAATCGTCGGTTGAAAAATGAAGACATTTGCGAGATTTCATGATTTGCAATCACATGTACGCGTGTAAACGAATGTAAGTACGCCGACGTACAAAATGTACATGTACGTTGGCCTGAAAACATTGTGAATAGCACGTTCGAAAGCGCAATAAATGACATGAATATTAAGCAGGCCCATACTCGAGCTCGACCAATCAGTAGGCGTATGGGTCACAAGGTCACACCGTGTTTGGGTTCCTCGCTCTATGCTTTACAATGGCGACCATCTTTTCGCGTTGTGAAAAATGGAAGTTGTTGGAAACATTAGGTGTACATCGAATTCTTAAAATATTAACGACATCACGTTCACGAGTTTTTTTGTAGATGAAGGTTCACTCTTTGATTACCTGAACATTTGGGAGACTTTCGTCGTTCTCGAAAAAACCCGGAAATGTCATGACCTAATTGAAATAATATCGTCAAAATGCATCGAAATCCTTTTTTGAGGAAAGAAATACCTTGATAGATGTATGAAGTAGGTCTTTAACTACCTAAAACAACTTTGTTTGTTTGGATCGGTTATGGTTTGCCATGAAAATTGCGAATTTTCTGAAGCCATTTTACGGCCATCGTTCGCTGGCCTGGCGTTGCTATCAGTTGTGTGGACGAGAAAATAGAGGAGCTACGCGTGACACGGCAACTGACTGATTACCTTTTTGTAGAGTGCCATTTACAATTTGAAATTTCCACACTTGGAACTGCGTATATAATCTGAAGCTCTCTCTCCTCCAACCTTATGCTGGTTTATATATTTTTACCCGGTTGGAAAGATATTCCAGGTTACTTTATGTGCAGATCCAGCAGAGTGTGGTTTAAATGTAGCTTAATGTAGCAGGATTTCTAGAACATCTTTTTGAGTTTTGGTTTTTTAGAAAGAGTTAAAAATAAATCATCAGCATAGCTTGTTGTGGTTAGAGATGGTGGAGCCCTCCATGTTTTTATTGCCAAGTCAAGATATTGTTTTGCTACTGGATATTTAGTGTAGGCCCTATTCTTACTTATTTTACCTAGCTTATCACCTCTATATAAAGTATATTTCTTACAAGACCACGATAAGAATAGAACGGTAAAGTTACCATTAAATTGCCAGCAGATATGTAGGACCTGATCAATAAGCAAGCCCTTTTATCATGTGTAGTATTTTGTCTTTTATCTGTAGATTCAATCTTTTGTCTCAAATCACCGCAAGTGGTGATTCCTCTTCTTTGTTGTTTGGTTATCGGGATTTGTTCACCTGTACCAGGGGATTTGCCAAGGCGCAAACTCAGAAATACAGTCGGAGAGAACATCGGTGACGGTAAACACATACATTATTATTGATCAACAATCATGGGCGTCGCGAGGGGGGGGGGGCAAGGGGGGCACTTGCCCCCCCCCCCCCGGCCCCCCGCTGGAAAAGCAAAAAACAAAAAACAAATGGAAGAAGAAAAAAAGAAAAAAAAAAGAAAAAGAGGCGCGAAGACAAAGTGGTGTAAATTTAATGAGTGGGGGGGGGGCAAAATGTCCCTGCCCCCCTCTAAAACTGATAAATCGAGAATGTGTAGAGAAATACAAGCATTTTTTGGCAAAAAAAAATGTTGCCCCCTCTAGAAAAAATCCTGGCGACGCCCATGTCAACAATATAGTGTCAGTTAGAAATAAGTGGATACATTTACAGAGCTATCGTCACAACTGTGGCTCCATAGATCTTGTAAGCAGTTAAATTTTGTGTTCAGAAAAAAAATCAATAGAGATGAGGACCACGCCTTCGCTCCCAAATATCAAACCTCCCTTTCCTGAAAGCTAGATCCGCCCCTGCTTGCAGACAGGCTATGAAGCAAATATTTCAAACGATTGTGCAATATTTCCGTTTGATTGTGTACATTAGTTTGTGTATTTTTGTTCATCCCTGTAAAGTTCAAGGGAAGGGCATGCCGTTCCGCGTAAAGGGCCAGGGTCCGCATTCTGCATGTTTTGCACAAACATTTCCCAGTACTATTGTCCTCAATTGAAAACCAGATCCAGTCACTCGTGGGCTTGAGATATCAGTGTGGATGACACAATTAGGGGAGAAATTTGGACTTTGGTCTTTTCTGATTTCCGTTCGAGATTTAGTTTCCTTGAACAAAATATATATAATCGAATTATTGGAAACAATTACCGTATATAATTAACGTGTGTTTAAACTTAAAATCCGTTAATATTTTTCCCAATCCTTCACCGCACAATAGTAGTATACTTGCAAATTTAGTAAAATGAAATTGTCGTCCAATTGTTTAAATTCTTCTGATGTCATGCACATTTATAATGTCACAGCAATTCTGTCTTATTCTGTCAAGTCAAATGTTAATGGTTTGAACATGGAATGTTTCTCTTGAACTTTTTGTTTCAGAGGAGAAAAACCAAATATGTAGTGACCATTTCGGTTCTCAAGAGTACATATGGGTTCCCGAGCCGTTAAATAAGTGTGAGCCATGCAGCTTTGCGTGTTCCAGATCGACAGAGGCCTATTGCGAAGCATGCCCAGGTAAGTGTAGCTATGAATGCTGGAATCGGAGAGATCGTTTACCATGACTATCAACTAGAACGTATACGACATCTGTGAAGTGAAAAGAATGACACACAAGAGGTAAAAGCAACAGCAAAATTCAGGCGCGTAATCTAAATTCATAGAAATTCCTTACAAATAATGCGAAGCCCCCTCCTCCCCCCCCCCCCCTTCCGCTCTGACACCCAAACAAATTATACTGGTAATAATGTCCGCCTGTGCACAAATACGAAAAGAGCCAGCTTGGTTAGGGGTTATTTGTACACTATTCTGTAATATAGTCTTAATAATCGTTGGATTTGAACAGCGCCCATTGAAAGTATGGTACGAGCCCTCCCCCCTCCCCCCCCCCCCCCCCCCCCCCTACTGATTTTCGGAGGCCAAGTGTCCGGAGGAAAAAACCTGTCTACATTTCAGAATTTTTTCCTGATGAACCCCCCCCCCCGCGAAAATTCCTGGATCCGCCCCTGATATCATACCAACAGACTTATAGAACGACATCAGCTAACGCACATCCATTCTCTCACAGCCTCGGGAATGAACATGATACTTTTATATTCCTCCAAGCCTCAAGTAAAATGATTGACACATTTAATACAGTTCTTTTGTGAGTATTGGAATGCTGAAACACCCGTATCCTGATTTGTTTCCTGAAACCACTTTGGTTTGGACATAATTATTTAGTTTTTGGGAAGGAAACATTTTGTGTGAATATTTTTTTTGTATAGCTGTTTTAGATAGGAATGGATTGTTTGCATTTTTGTTCATGATTATGTCTGTGCCAGGCGGTTCCATGGATAACGAGGAACAAAAGAGTATCCAATACGCACTGTCCCACAATGGGGCAAGGTCATGTCCATGGTCCAAATGAAACAGGTGGTTTCCTGATTGCGAAATGTTGCAGGGAGAATCCCTATTACCGTATTAGGACGTCCTTTGTATTTCTATGGTTCGCATTTTTGTTTGCCACTGAAGTAGGGTTGGTCGGATGAAACATAAAAGAATTATTATTATATTTATTTTTTTTTGCAGTTGCACCCGTACATAGTAAAACGAAATGATGCACAGTGGGTATTGTCTCCAGTTTTATTTATTGCAATGACTTTATCATGAGTTGATATCACTGAATGAAATAGTCATATTTGGCAAGATATTGTTGACTTACCATGGGCGGATCCAGGAATTTTCGCAGGGGGGGGGGTCATCAACCACAAATTCTGAAATGTACAGGTTGTTTTTTTCTCCGGACACTTTCCCTCCGAAAATCAATAGGTGTGTGCGTGGGTGTGTGTGGGGGGGGGGGGTGGGGGGGGGGGGGGGGGGCTCGTACCATAATTTCACCGGCGCTGTTCAAATACGACGATTATTTACACTATACATGTATTACAGAATAGTGTACGAATACCCCCAACTAAGCTGGCTCTGTCCGTATTTTGTGCACAGTCACGCGGACATCATTACCAGTATAATTTGTTTGGGTGTCAGAGCGGGGGGGGGGGTCGCATTATAATGTACACAGTCAGAGCTGGGGTGACCCCCCCCCCCCCCGATCCGCGACTGCTTACATTATAACTGCACCAAGTAGCTCACTAACGTGTAATGTTTTGGCTGTACACAAATGTAGTGACAACCGTGACATACTAGTAAAGGTATGACACCTATGATGAGAGGCAACATCCTCTGGGATTCCACTGTTCGCTATACGCCGTACTTCACCTAAAATACAAATCTGATAATCGTTTTTAATAGCTTTTCAAATAACACAGAGCCTGAACTTTATTTTAATAAATGAGGGATGGTTAACGTGTAATCGAGCAGTTTCCAAGTATTTCAGGGGTGAATTGGGGATATTTTTAAAGGGATGGAATGGCGGGTGAGGTCTTGAAGTCTAGGATTTTTTTAGAGGGAGGTGGCGAGGATGCTAACCTAAAAATCAGAGGGGGAAATTCATAGAATTCAAAGGCGTTATACAGTGACCAGAGAATTGCATTATGAATGGACAATTAGGGACGAGGGGGGTGGGTGGTCAGTTGAAAAAGCTTGGTCAATATCCGCCCCATTTTTTTCCTCTAAACACAGCCAAATTTTTGGTGTGATACAGACTTTAATTGTTACACTATTATAATGCTTGTCTCTTTCAATATTGCAGCTTAAAAGTGTTGACTTTACTGTACTAGGCTGCAGGAAATAACGCTTTAGAAACCGTTTTAGACTGTCGTAATTCATGTTATTTTGATTTTATTTATGTATTTATTTATTTTGGGGGTAATTTCCTTGATAAATGAAGGAGCCACCACTACACAGGCACCTGCGGAGACGACCTCCACGGCCCCGCCTACCCAGGCTGCTACGACGGTCCAGACCATCATGGAAGACCCGATTCTACCAACCGCATCTGATCAAGTTGTAACCGGGGGATCTGTGGCTGATGCAACCACAACCGAAGCAAGAACTGATGGGAATGATTTGCCATCAAGAAAATGTTTGTTCCTTAAAAATCGTATTCCTTATAAATGCCTTTTAGACAACTTAATATTGAAGTTTACTTGATTTAATCCAAATTTTGTCTTTAATGTGTTCTATGTAGGCCTAATATAGCCCGAACAGTGCACATAGAAGGTTTAAGTGGCAATATCCATACAGATGTCTGTGTTTGAAATTCCGAGCAAAATACATGTATGCTGTGTTGGCAACCAAACGTCGGTCGGTCGCATAAGTTTCCCACAAAATATAACTACCAAATTTTAATTTTCAAAAAAGCAAACAAAATAAATTGAATACTTAACAAACATTTCAAATAAAAGCAAACAAAATAAATTAAATGCTAAACAAAAATTGTTTGTAACAATTGGGAAAGATGTTTATGAACAGTATGTAAAATGGAGGCAAAATAATTATGTGCAGTAATATTATAGTCACGTGGTATTTATTACAAATCGCTATATATCTAGTTATATATCAAAAGTGTGGTGCCCATATGTGCCATCGGCCTCGCATTTTTTGGCGTCGCTTTTTTTTGGCGTCGCATTTTTTGGCATCACATTTTTCAGCTCTTGCAGGGCCCATCATTTTGATAAATTTAATGCAAGAATTTCATGCAAGATGATCAGAGCTTATTGTGCACTCGCCCTTGTTTTGCATCGAAGTGCTCTTGGAACCCTGAAGGTTCGCTTTGGCGATTTTGTTTTATATTCCATTTTCGTTGTGCTTTTTATTCTTTACAGTGAACGTCGGCATGGTGGTGGGCATTGTCATTCTGCTAGTAATTGTGTGCATCTTGATTGTGTTCCTGATCGTATGTGCACATAATTGGCTGAGAAACAAACGAGGTATGATGTTCGCACTTGCAACTTAACTATCTTCACCCCTTTTCACTAATATTTCAGCCGAGGAGCAGCACAAATCCAATACCAGTTCTTAAGATACTATTGGTCCAATTGTTTTTCGTGGGCAAATGGGTCCACTACTTGAAAAGAGTATTTAGTGTATCATTAAAGGCCTTCGAGCCGGAGAGATATACTCAAAGGCAGATCAAGAACATAATTTGGTTTTTTTGGGGGGGGGCCAAAAAAAACGTGGTCCCCAAAAAGTGGGTCCAAAAAAAAGTACGGCGTGGGATTCGGGGCCCGTTTAAGGGCCCCGAACATTTTTTTGATTCTAGATGCTCAGTGGTGCGATCTGAGGCAATTTCTGACCACTTTAACCATTTTTTTTTAAGGAAAAGATGGTGGTGTACTTATTGGCTGACTTAATTGCGATGTCACTTAAAAAAAAAAAAAATGGGTGTTTTTTTTTTTTTGGGGGGGGGGCATGGCCCCCTGGATCAGCCCTTGGATATACTCAGCACGATATATGACAGAGGGGTACAACACAATCTCCCTATACACATCCTAGACTAATGTTACCTAACACATCCCCCATTCTCAAAAGAATTTCTGAGATTCTAGTGAACACAATGATCAACGCACAAAGGAGGGGGACCGTCGTTCCATCTGTCGCATACTGCGCTACACTGGGGAGAGAGGCAAGCCCACGCATACACCCCAGTTACACCTTTTCTATTTATTCCATTGCATTCCATGTTATCATGAAGGCGCTGGAGAGCCAGAGAGTCGTGATGAGCCCAACCCAGAGGAGCTGCCATTGTCAGTCGAAGACAGCCACCCTGCATCCTCCAACCACCCGTGGTATTCAGACCTCAATGGCGTCACTGCCGACCCACGCCCAGTTGGCATTCTTAACGAATCGGAAGTCTAATACCATCAAAGGGTAGTCATTTTTTTTTTACACAACTATAGGGACCACAATAGAGAATTATAATAAAAGACACCATGGGAAATGACGTCACTTCCATCCTCACAGGACTAAGAATTTTAGACGCAACTACTCTGAACGTAATGATCTCGATTTCACCACACGTAGGCCTATTGAACTTTTAAAGAATTTTTTTTCTAAACTTTTTTTAAAAATTGCTTTTAGTCAATTTGACTATTGTTGGTTTGGATTTTTAATTTTTTTTAGGGAATACAAGTCCGGAAACCTGTCCTGCAACTCTTATGGCAAAGTAAACAGAATCCCTAGATATAGATGTGTAAAAAAAAAAAAAGGATGCGGAAGGGCGGATCAATGAGACAGGCAAAATGAAACAAAACTGAAAATCAAAAGAAAATTTTTAAAAACAAAGACTTCAGTGTTCTTTCGAGAGGGTGGGGATGGCTCCTGTAAGAAACCTCGAACAACCCTACCCTTCTTAGTACGAGGCATAGTATTTGCTAATTGCGATGCATATTATGTTGATGCACGGTCGGTACATAATTATAAGCATTACTTATTGAGAGACTTATACCGACACTGTGGAAATTGTCAAGATGACGACTACAGACAACTGGTCGAAACGGAGGCCAATGTTGCATGTTATGTACAGCTGCATGCCTCTGAGAAGAAAACAAATCGTCAAACGGGAGGTCTGGGGGATTGGAAGAAAAGGTAGACATGACACGTCTCCTATCCGACCCCCACTGGCCCAAGACGATACTAAGAGAATTTGAAGCAGTGGACCATGGAGGATAACTTGTTGTCCTTCAAATAGGCAAATAAGCCATATTGCTTCATTTTCTAAAGTGATATTATACGAAACTTTAATGCTGTTGAATAAACAGTATTATACAAGACTTACTGTTGAATTTCCCTCGGCTGTGCAAGCTGAGGGAAGGTTCAAACATTGTTGAGAGTGTACAGTCTTATATAGGCGGTATTTTAAACTGCACTTTTTGATGAAATCTGGAAGATAAATTTTGATTTTGTCGAAAAACTTTGCTATTTTTGTTTGCTTATATGAGTATGATAGGAATTCTATATTATTGCAATTGGCAAAATATGGAAATGGTTTTAGTTGCATGCTGTTGTTGTTTGTACGAGGGTACGTACTTATTTTGGTCTTGAAGTTTCCTGATACAATTTTTGTAATTGATGAAGTTTTGACATGGATTTCTGGTTACCTTGTTTCAAAACAGAACAATAAAAAGCTGCAAATGAAGAAACAAAAGCAGCGGAAAGCAAAATGAATTTTCAATCGCTCAAAAAACAAACAGAGGTGTTATCATTTTAAAAACAACAACACCAACAAACTTACAGCACCAGTAACAACTCTTCCCTTAATTGCGTTGGATCAGTTATTCGAAACTACTGTGGTGTAGACCTGTATATTAAATTTCTTAAAAGCGATGAATTATGCATTTTAATACTTAAAATGAACATTGAGCTTTGAAAAAGACAAAAATATTTGTCTCCATGCAGCAAGTTTGAAATTACAATGGCGAATATAAATGTTTTGTACTCTTCTAGACTGTCTAGCCTATAATGGTTCGAAATTAAAAAAATTAAAAAAAATCCCAGGAAACAACCACTGAAAGCTTTAATAAAAGTGTCGAATAAAAAAGAAAAGAAAATTTGAAATACGGAGGTAAAAAAAGGAGTTTCGTAAGGAAAATACGGACAAAAACTCATGTCATTTTTTTCTTTTCATTGTGAAAAAAAAAAACAGACAAAAGCGCTTGTACATTGCTTGTAGTAGACATAATGACTTGGTGTTTCTACAGGTTGGTGCAAAAAGAAGGAAACCACTTTTGACAGGAACGTTAACCTAATTACTTAACTTATTTCAACTGCTTATTTTTTTAATAATGTAGTGAAGTATAGCTCTTCAACCATACATGGTGAAAACATCTTTTACAAAATCGCAACAATAGTGTTGTTATGCTAATTTGAATACAAGTCACCAAAATCACTGTTATCCACGTGTTTTTTTGTCTTCAAATCAATCTCTGGAGCTCAGTCAAGCGGATGGAATAAAGCTGTCCGGGGACAAACATGTTTGGCGCATGAAATTTATTATCTCAGAGACAAAATATCCATTTGCAATCATTTTTTTCGGCACTTATGTTTAAAGATCAATATTTTAATACTATTAAATTGAATTTTTGAAATATGCTCAACAGTTGAAAATTGCTGTCTAAAGTGGGGTTCCTTCTTTTTGCACCAACCTTTTTACTATTTTTGAAAGATTAATCCAAGTTCAAGGAAGGAAATTGCATGAAATGTCTTTTTGCCCTGCAGTTTTTGAATCAGCCACGTTAATTTTTAAAGCTATTTCTTGATATTAGCTCTTTTGGGCCAATTTTAAAAAAAATCAATATCAAGCAATGTCGATAAATTTCGATAAAGATAATTTCATGCAGTCTTGTTTTACATCGCCTTCATTTAAAAAAAGGTAGAATAATGCTTCAACTAAAAAGGTTTAAGTATGACTTATACATGTATAATGCTCTTTTAGTTAGATCTGACCCAAGAGTAGAGTAGATACAGAGAGTAACACCACGCAAAATAATCATAAAAACTGTCCAGAATTTTTTTTTTTTTTTAACTCTAAAAAGTGAGAGGTACACGATTCGAAATTTAATGTAAAACGAAGCCTTACTTTGTCCTTTGCACCAACCACCATGCATGGAAATAATTGGTCAACTCATGTCTTTTTGGATGGAAGGAAATGTCTGAATAAAGGCCCTATCAGGATTCAAGTTGAGAAAGTTAAAATTTCAAACCAAATCATGGAAATCTTTGCTCAAAGTTATAAAATCTGAGGGGCGGCGCTAATAAAGAATTTTTTTGGTTAGGGGGATCTCTCTGTTGTCACAAAAAAACCTCACTGAACTCAATTCTTTTTATCCTCTTTTGTACATAGTTTTATAGCTTGCTTGCCGATGTAGTGCCACATTCATTGTGCAATATAGTGCAATTCTAATAAAATAATAGTGTAGCAGCCCAGTTTTTGAAATTGCTGTTGGTAATTTGTGGTTCTTGTTACAGGGGCGGATCTAGGAATTTTTGCGGGGGGGGGGTTCATCAACAACACATTCTGAAACGTAGACAGATTTTTTTCTCCGGACACCTGGCCTCCGAAAATCATGTATAGGTGGTGGTGGTGATGGTTGGGGGAGGGGGAGTATCGGGGGTATGGGGTGGGGGCTTGTACCATACTTTCAATGGGGGCGCTGTTCAAATCCAACGATTATTAACACTATATTACAGAATAGTGTACAAATAGCACATAACCAAGCTGGCTATGTCCGCATTTTGTGCACAGGCGGACATTTTTACCAGTATATTTTTTTTCAACGGGGGGGGGGGGGGGGGTGACCCCAACCCCCAAACCCTGGATCCGCGCCTGTGTTACTTTGCAATCCCTTTGGTTTTTAAATCAATACCGACAATCTCTCTTTTAGTTTCAGTTGTCACACTTGTTGTTCTCATCACAACTTAACTGATTAACATCCGAATGGCGAGAAGTCCGGGGGCTAAATTTAACACAAAACTTCAACCTCAATTTAACAAAAAAAATCAACACAAAACGGATTGAGCAGGGCCGAGGTTTCTCAAAATTGAAGACACATGTTGAAACTGTTTTAAGATATTCCTACAGTATCTTGGTGGTATATGGTAAAAACGGCGTTGAAAATAAAGCTCGTTCGAAAAATAGCAGCCCGGCCTTTACAGAAAAATGGTCACTGTCCATGTCTATGGCAGTCATGTAGACCTAATTACAATAATTGCAGTTCTTTGCAGTGCTATTGGTGTTGACCAGATCTCATAGGGCCTATACATAGACTTGAGTGTAGCCGGACTTGTTTTTGACCTTCTTTCTTGACCATCGCCATATTTCTTAATTTAGGCCATTTTTTTCAGCGCCGTTTTCACCATATACCATGCATGCAGGAAGATGCTGTAGTTTAGGAATATCTTGAATTTTTTTAACATGTCTCCCCAATTCCCAGAAATCTGCATCCCTGAAAAAAGTGTAACCGGTTTTGTTTGGACCACCCTGTATAATAATAATAATAATAATTAACACTTATATAGCGCCCGGATCCATAATATGCTCTTAGGCGCTGTACACATTAAAAAGATTTTAAAAAATTACAGCATAAATATGTTTAAAAAGGTGAACATGTAGATCAATACATACAATTACATTACAAGTCCAGTGAGGAAAAATTAGCCATTAAAAAAAACATACTTTTTCTTTTAGCATTTAGCCATTTAAAAACCGGTTTTGTGTGTGTGTGGGTGACTACAAATTCGTATCCTTGTGGAGACACACACACAATAGGGAACAAAATATTGTAAAGGTCTCCACAGGGCAATTTCTATAGATGAATAGGTCTCCACAAGGTTTTCACGAAATAGATATATGGGTTTTACTCAAAAACTAGGAATTTCCAAGGTGGGTTGATATGTCGCAAATGGAAGAGTTTTAGAAAAGGGATATTAAGTCCAAATTTCAGCCAAGGAAACTAATTCTGGTTAAAATAAGAGCATTTTGGAACTTCACTTTCAAAATTGAACACTTTACTACACGAGAACAAAGAAATGTCTCCACAAGGATACAAATTTGAGAAGGTGTGTGTGTGTGTGTGTGTGAGCGTGTGTTTTTGGTTTTTTTTTAACATACATTATAAACCCAGCAATTAAAAACCGTAACCTATGAATTAAAAAGCCTGCTTAAAAAGGTATAGATCAATACATTAAATAATTTACATTAAATTTATACGTTATAAACCCAGCCAATACAAAAACCCACTATCCTATGAATTAAGGAAGGCTTGCTTAAAAAGGTGAGTTTTCAAACCCGACTTAAAACTATGTACACTGGAAGACTCCCGTAGGTTAATTTCAAGCTGGTTCCACAAGTTCAAGCTGGTTACAAGTTCAACAAAGAAAATGCAAAGTTCTTGAAACCACAATACACAAAACAGACAAAAAAACTTGCAAAGACGACTTTAGTTGCGCAATCATCTGATTGCGAAATATATTTAGGGGAATCCTCGTTATGTCATCGTACGAAGGTGTACGAAGTCTTTCTGGGCCACTGATCTCTATTGTGGCCCCCGATAGTACGGTGCTCGCTGTGTATCATGTCTAGTATAAACGACTTTGGACGGTTTTCATGAGTGAAATGCATATACGCACTACGTTTCCATGCAGATGGTTAATGATGGACCACCCTAATGGGGATATCTTTCACTTGGTGGTCGAGGCACACTTTTTCCCCTCTGTTTTTGAACAATGTTCATTAGAACACTGGTAAATTAGAGAATACAAGTCAAAATCTTGTTTTATTCGGAATAAAAATAGCATGATGGAATTAACAAACCAAATTAGCTTTCACCCCTCGAGCAAACTATTCGCTCCAGGCTGTGTAGTCTGGTTCTCAGACCAAAAGATTCTGACTATTCCTGATGAATCTTAGGTCCCAACCTCGTCCCCAGGGTGTCGCGCAGTACGCGCACACCACTACCTGCTCTCTCACCCTGGTATTGGATTATTTGCATGTGCAAGATTTTTGAGCACGTGTGCAAATGAGGAATAGTCTGGTTCCTGCCTGTGCGTTACATTTGCGTTTGTTTTTGTATGCGGTGTCTGGGGTAAAACAGAATCAATTCGTCGCAGTGCGAGCATGGCATGAGTTACGAAAATACGATCTTAACGAGACAACATGCAGTATCACATTTCATATTAGTCAGAACAAATTGGAAAGGAAATTAATGTTTTCGAGAAGGCGTAGACGAATGATCGCGAGAACACGTACTGCACGTTGTGAATAACAAGAACAACATCAAGTATATGATATAAATTCATTTCTAGCCAATTGCGGTATCGAATCAGGATACAGGAAGAAAGTTTCCTATCCAGGGTTTACTACTATGTTGGAAATAAAGTAAGCACTGGGGACGAGGTTGCTTAGATCCGGTAGCCTCCGGTAATACATTGTATTACAATTAACATCACGATGATTAAAACGGGAGGAATACCTCCTTTTTCCGAAAATGTCCGAAGTTTGCTGAGTTCATTTCGTCGACAATCGGATAGCGCCCGAGTATTTCCGAGTATATTATAGTTTTAATTAACTGCTAATTGCTTATTAATTTTTTTATGAGTTGATAATTAATATTCATTGCTTTCATTAAGAAACCTTGAAGTTCAACGACGATTTTGTGCATCAAGTATACCCGGATCGTATGGGCGAACTTTTTGCTACGTCATGTACTATTTTGAATTTGACGATCGTTACCGAGATGTTCTAAAACTCGGTCTTCATTCGGCTCCGCCTGCTAACAGTGCTATAATTTGGGTGCCTAATTTTGAAGATTCCAGATCAACATTAGTCAATGCTATCTTACAGAAATATCAAACTGTATTATCATAACTGTATGAAGCAAGTGATTTATTTACAAATGTGATCAGAACATTAAAAGCTATCTATACTATAATTCCAGGAATCTCTGTGTGTGTCTGTCTGTGTGTCTGTCTGTGTATCTGTACGTCGATTATCTCCAGAAACGGGCACCGTAATGAGTTTAAAAATCGGCGGGTGTGTAGCTCGGGACTCCAGAATGTGCAGTGTCAAGTTTGAAGTGGTTTGGACCAGCCGTTCTCGAAAAAGCTGCAAACTAAATAGCCTTGGTCAAGGCGCTATAGTAATTGTTATTCATCCGGCCGTTGTAGCGTGGATTTACGTTTCTATGAAAATCGGACTCATTGGTAATACTGCGCATGCGTGAGTATGATGATTAGGAAAGTGACCGGTCACGTGAGAGGGATTAACCAATAAAATGGAAAAGGGGTCCGATTTTCATAGGAGTCGGATTTTCATGTGACACCGTAACGCGGTAAACGATATCTTCGCTAGCGCTATGCATGCAGTCATTATGTCTATGCATGCAGTGCATTAAAAATACAGCACGAACAGTGACCTCACGCGGCCACTATTTTTTATGCAAATCAGTTGGACCCAATCTAGCGCCTTGGTTGGTTCAATCGTCCTTGTGAGGTTTTGGGGGTGGTGCTCATTATGTTAATAGCCTTAGCTGACCTTAAATGTCGTTTTCTTATTGGTCGATCGTTGCATGGAAACTTGCATAGTGAAACGTGGCACCGTACATAATCCATTACACGTACACGTTGTGTGTCTCTGCACACGGCACCAAATGCACGAAAACTGTGGTTCCTGTCACGTCCGCAAAAGGCGAATAGCTGCAAATAATTTGATGACGTCCGGATTTACCAAGGTGTGATTGGACACTCCACATATAAGCCCCGCCTATACTTATCTGTATTCGCATACGAGGTCGTGCTCTAGAAAACCAGCGCAAAATTAAGAAAAACATAAAGCTTTTGCTGACGATTGAACCAAGGCGCTAGATTGGGTCCAAATGATTTGCATAGAAGTGGTGGCCGCGTGAGGTCGCTGTTCGCGCTGTACTTACACGGCATGCATAGCGCTAGCGAGGATATCGTTTACCGCGCTACGGCCGGTGTAGCGTGAATATCCGACTCCATGAAATGTGGACTCATTGGTAGTACTGCGCACGCGTGAGTACGATAATATGCTATTTTAAGGATCGTTTCGGGAGAGTGACCTGTCACGTGCGAGGGATCAACCAATAATAGGGAAATAGGGGTCCGATTTTCATAGAAGTCGGATTTTGCATGTGACACCGGGATGAATAACAACTATCGCCTTGACCAAGGCTACAAACTAAAGTCATATTTTCTGAGGCAAACGTGGCAGTATAGCCTAGACCACCACGCACTGATGTTCTTTTCAATTGGTTTATGTCATGTTTAAGCTAAAGCGTGCGTGCTCAATATGACGCAAACAATATGCAAAAAGGACGGGCACGCGCATATGGAGGACCAAAAGTGGACATCCCATTTTCTCCATAACGCGCATTGTAGGGCGATACCATTGTCCAGTATCGGTGAATAGCATCGCATACCATGTTTCCGTATGTACACGTACGTGGTGGCTGCACGGGCACATTATTTTTGCAGTCGACTGAGCGACCATTGTAGGCGGTCGGTCGACTGAGCAAACTTACTACAGGGCGATACCATTGTCCATTAGGGGTGAATATCTGCGCTATTTTTTGGCAGCTTTTTCGAGAACTGCTGGCCCAAACAACTTCAAACTTGGCACAAACTTTGACGTGAGTGTGCGTTCAACCTGTGAAAACAACACCATTGAATCCCGTGCGTTGTTTGCACGAGCAGTTCTCAAAAACTCTGAAAGCACGCAACCAATACCAGCCGCAAAGCAATTTGCGCTGCCCGAACATGCACATTTTGGACGGGCATTGCACTGCCACTGAGTGATAAAGCGAAATCGGAAACGAAGCCGAGCTTTGAAAAAGGGCCGTCAATGTCGTCATGTTTATTTGTAGCTAGCTAGCCATGGGGGTGCACACCTGTAAATAGGCCTAAACCCATCCGCCGAGCTCATGAATAAAAGTATACCTCAATTCTATATTAGAGAGTTCTGAGAGCCATAACATTGGGGTATTGAAGAGATATGGCAATGAACATCTGGCCCGGACTCGTGCTTCCAATTCTGAGTATTTTGGATACAATTGGGCTCGAAAGTGGCCATGGGCGTCGCGAGGGGGGCGGGCAATGGGGGCACTCCCCACCCCCCCGGAAAAGCGGGGGGGGGGGGAGAGGCGCGAAGACAAAGTGGTGTAAATTTAATGAGTTGGGGGGGGGATGTCCCTGCCCCCCTCTAAAACTGATAAATCGAGAATGTGTTGAGAAATACAAGCATTTTTTGGTAAAAAAACATGTTGCCCCCCTCGAGAAAAAAATCCTGGCGATGCCCATGAAAGTGGTGCTGTTTTACCATGTTGTGGAGGATCGTTTTTCAAGATTGCTACCATTCCGCTTTAGGGAAAGTAGTGGTCGTCTTCTTTGGGCGAAAATTTCTCGAAAAGACAATGGTCAACCCACCAAAAAATGTAAAGAAATTGAAAGATGACATGTCGATCATCATTTTTCTGTGCAGCTTAACGATAAAGGGGCGGGGGGGCCGAATCCGTCCCCCCCCCCCCCTCAACATTTTCCGTGATAGCTTCTAAAAAAAAAAAATTCGCGACCCGAGCTGTTATAACTTTTTAGCCTCGAGCTTTGCGCATCTTTTGATACCAAAAACATAAAAATCGGACCACGGGTTGCCGCGTAGCGAAAAAATTTCCGGCGCTACGTGCCGTGAAAACTGAATTGTCGCCTATTATTACGTCTTGTACACAGAGCATAATTGGCATTCGTACATATATATTGCCATTCCTACATAGTCATGAAATTTCTTGGGTATGTTTAGGAAGAGTTGCTCTATGCATGTGGCGAGTTTCTAAATTGTTCGTCACTCGATGGCCGAGATCTTAGGGGGGGGCGGAATCTGCCCCCCCCCCCCCCCCCCCCCCCCCCCCCCCCCCCCCCCCCCCCCCCCCCCCCCCCCCCTGAGAGAGATGGTCAAAATAACCCGGCCCTTTTAGGGTTAAAAACCTGTGAGAGTTCTGAGTATTTTTAAAAGATTTTTGAAGTATGGGCATTTAGCACTAGTGGCTATGGGAATTTTTTTGCACTGTTGCACGAGGCTGTTTGACCTACATTTTAGACGTGAGCGTTGGGAATAATTGTCAGGTCTAGGGAACCAGACCAAAGATCCTATAGCGCCGCAATCGGCGCTATAGGATCTTTGAACCAGACTATCGTAAAATGAATTATACCATGCAAGAAATGGGGTAAAACATTTCGCCACATGTGTTGAGTAGAGCTACAAGCACTACTCGTACATTTCCAACGATACGCTCTCTGTATCCGACACCATGGACCATGAGTATATCACTACTCCATAAAACTGTGTACAAACTAAAAATGCTTCTTTGGAGGGGAGATGAAATCACTACTCACTACTCCATAGCACGTGTACAAAAAAGTCACTACACAAGTCCTACACGGCAGGAAAATAACTACTCCATAGAACTGTGTACAAACTAAAAAAGCTTCTTTGGAGGGGAGATGAAATCACTACTCACTACTCCATAGACACGTACAAAAAGGCACTACACAAGTCCTACAGGGCAGGAAAATCACTGCTCCATAGAACTGTGTACAGACTTAAAAAGCTTCTTTGGAGGGGAGATGAAATCACTACTCACTACTCCATTGACACGTGTACAAAAAGTCACTACACAAGTCCTACACGCCAGGAAAATCACTACTCCATAGAACTGTGTACAAACTAAAAAAGCTTCTTTGGAGGGGAGATGAAATCACTACTCACTACTCCATAGACACGTGTAGAAAAAGGCACTACACAAGTCCTACACGGCAGGAAAATCACCACTCCATAGAACTGTGTACAAAACTAAAAAAAGTCCTACCGTACGGCAGGACTTGTGTTGTGACTTTTTGTACACGTGTCTATGGAGTAGTGAGTAGTGATTTCAACTACCCTTCAAAAAGCAGCTTTTTTATATATATATATTTGTTTTAATGTACAAAGTTCTATGGAGACTGATTTACGCAGTGGGCTAGTGGTTCACAGATTCTACCTCGTTCTCGATATTCACCTCGAGACCACGTGAGATAGCGCGGCGTGACCAAGCGTGTTCATTGTGCTGCTGAACCTCGCGACGTTCAGACGTGACTTATTGTCCGTGGCGAATAGTTTTCTATATTTTACGCACAGCATGGCTGGACAACCGACTTGAGCACGGCGAGTTGACCCTGAGCCCGGAGGATGAAGATCTGTTTGCTCTCCTCTCACCATCCTGTAAGTTGAATAGTCCTCGGGGCTCAGGGTCTCTTGACGGGCTCTCTGGGTTTCCACCCGCGCAGCCTGGTGGTGGCCAGGAATGGCGCACAAAAACAGGTAATACTGTTAGTAAAAAAGGGAAGTTTCCTCAGAATAAAAAACGAAGCTATGAGGAGAACACCAACGAGTCGCAGTTGGATAATTCCGAAACTGTACAAAAATGTTCCCCAGACATAATGGCTTTAGGCCAAATGATGAAAGGTGCAATGGAATCAATGCAGACAAGCTTCACTAAACAATTCCAAGAATTTACCCAAATGTTCATGGCCGTGCAGCCACAGTCTAATGACGAGGCTGAGAGCGAATCTGCTCACAAAGTAATGTCGCCGAAACGGCGAAAAATGGATGGTGGAAATACTAGCCACTATGACCATGAGTCTAGCGTTGCAAGACTACTTGAGGAAACAAACCCTGATACCGCCAGCACAACTGCTGCAACACCAGAAAATAATTCTGAACAAAACGAGTTACTTGCAAATATTGCACAAGATTTTCAGATAGATGAACAAACTTCTGATGCAGTACATGCCCAGTTGGCATCGATTGCAAACTCTATAATGCGGGACAAATTGTCCGACGACAAAGTAAAAGACATGTATAAAACCTATAACAGACCAAAGAACTGTGAAAAGGTGATCCCAACAAAAGTGAACAAACTCATTTGGGACAATATGTCGAGCAGTACCCGCTCCCAGGATGTCAAATTTCAAAAAATTCAGACATCCGTCATTAAGTCAGTTGTACCTGTGCTTCAGCTTTCGGAACAACTGCTTCAAGCATCCAAAAAGAAGGAGCTTGATAAACTTGACATAAAACCACTGCTGCGTAATGCAACAGATGCGATCGCACTAATGGCTAATGCCAATTATCAGTTGAATATGCGACGCAGGGAATTTATCAAGCAAGATATTAATCCCAATTTTAAACATCTTTGTGATACTACTGTTCAGTTCATTGAACAACTTTTTGGGGATGACCTACCCAAACAAGTCAAAGATATGTCAGAAGTGAATAAGGTTGGCTTAAAATTGGCAATCAGTTCCCGTGGGGGACGTGCGAGAGGTCGGTCGGGGCACAGGTCATATGACAGAGGTGGCCACCAGTACCGGGGCGCAAGAGGCGCTGCAGGCAGGGGTTTTTTGTACTCCCGCCCGTACAACAGCCGCCAATCTTGGCACAGCGGCAAGCAGTCGAACAAGAACAAGTAAAACAGGAGGTAAGACAACCTTCAAATCAATGCCAAATAGAAGCCAATATAGCAGGTCGTTTAAAGGACTTTATTTCGTCTTGGAGGAATATTACCTCAGATAAGCAAGTTCTTGATGCGGTTCAAAATTGCCATATTGAATTCGAGGAAGGGTGCCGCCCTTTTCAAATATGGCCGCCAACAGAAATTAATTTTCATGAGACGGAGAAAATAAGTCTTGATTTGGAAATAGACAAGCTCATTAAAAAGGGTGTTATAAAACATTCCTTCCATGAAAAGGGACAGTTTGTCTCCACAATTTTCCCCAGACTTAAAAAAGACGGCACTTATAGAATGATTTTGAACTTGAAACAGTTTAACAAATCAGTTGCTTATCATCATTTCAAGATGGATACACTAGTCTCTGCAGTGCGACTAATGAAACGCGACTGCTACATGGCCTCTATTGACTTAAGAGATGCCTATTATTCGGTGCCAATTGCCCAAGAGCACCAACAATTCTTAAAGTTTTCATGGCGAAATAAATTGTATCAATTTACTTGTTTGCCAAATGGCCTAGCGTCAGCCCCAAGAATTTTTACAAAACTGCTGAAGCCAGTTTATTCAACCCTAAGAAAGAAGGGCTTTTTATCAGTTGGTTATATTGATGACTCCTACAAAAGTTTACAGGGAGACACAAAAGAAGAATGTACCGAAAATGTTCGGCATTCAGCCTCATTGTTCACCAATCTGGGGTTCCGAGTCCACCCCGACAAATCCGTATTCGAACCAACGCAACAATTAACATTCTTGGGATTTATTCTGAATTCAAATAGTATGACTATTCAACCAACAATTGGCAAAGTTGAAAAGGTCTGTAACCAAATTACATCTGTGTTAAGCAAAAACCTGATTACCATTCAGGATGTTGCGTCCACTATTGGCGTCCTAGTAGCCTGCTTTTCAGGGGTTGAATACGGACAATTGTTCTATAGGAGCATTGAAACAGACAAAATAAAAGCTTTGCAAAACAGAAAAGGTGATTTCTCTGCGCTTATGCGGTTGTCTGAGAAATCCAAAGAAGAGTTAAACTGGTGGCTTACTAATATAGGGGGCAGTGTCAAACAAATTTCTCATGGAGAGCCAGACTTGGTTATTCAGTCAGATGCATCCAAACTTGGTTGGGGTGCGGTCCATAAATCACTCCATGCAGGAGGCAAATGGACAACCACTGAGGCTACTCAGCATATCAATTATCTTGAATTGCTAGCAGCATACTTGGCTTTACGTTCCTTTTGTTCCTCGTCAAGGAATGTCCATGTGCTTATCCAGATGGATAATACCACTGCAGTTGCTTATGTAAATTCTATGGGTGGTATAAAATCTAAGCCATGTAATGAACTCGCACAAAAACTTTGGTTTTGGTGTATAGATCAGAATATATGGGTATCTGCTTCTTATCTCCCAGGATCGCAGAATGTTGCTGCGGATAAGCAGTCCAGATTATTTAATGATAGGACTGAATGGATGCTTAAACCCAAGATTTTCAATCGCATTCAATCCCTTTGGGGCGATATAGCAATTGATTTATTTGCATCCCGACTAAATAAACAAATCTTGCCTTATGTTTCATGGAGGCCAGATCCGGGCGCTCTCTTTGTAGACGCCTTTTCAGTGTCATGGAAACCTTATTTTTTCTATGCGTTTCCTCCCTTCAGCATGATCGCCAGGTGCCTTCAGAAGGTAGATCAAGAAGAGGCAGAAGGGGTGCTGATTTTCCCGCTCTGGACAACCCAATCGTGGTTTCCCAAGCTCATGGCGATGTTAGTAGACAAGCCAGTACTGCTGCCAAGACAAAGGGATATGATGACCCTACCAAGCAGCGATCAACTTCATCCTCTACGGAACAAGCTTCGGCTGGTTGCCTGCCACTTATCAGGAAATCCTTCCAAATGCAAAATGTTTCTCAACAAGCAACCGAAATCCTCATGGCCTCATGGCGAGAGGGAACCCGAAAACAGTACTCTGGCTACCTCGAAAGATGGCTTCGCTTCTGTCGTCAAGGACAGGTTGATCCAATATGTCCCCCTGTGAACACAGTTTTGGACTTTTTGGCAGAATTATACCATTCTGGCCTTGGCTATAGTGCACTTAATACCGCTCGGTCTGCACTCTCAGCTACGGTAGTGACTAATAATTCCACTACTGTTGGTAATCACCCTTTAATTTGCAGATTTCTTAGAGGTGTATTTCAGTTAAGACCGCCCCCAACAAAATATACAGAGGTTTGGGATGTAAGTATCGTCCTAAGATATTTAAAGAGTCTTTACCCACTACAGGGGTTGACTTTAAAAGAAGTGACTTTTAAGTTAGTTACTCTAATTGCTTTGGTCTCGGCACAAAGATGCCAAACTTTTCATTTGATGGATATTAAGAATATGACAGTAACTGATTCGGTTTATACCTTCTTTTTTGCTATACTTAAGCAGAGCCGTCCAGGTCTGCCCAATGTTAAGGTTATTCTGAAGCCTTATTTGACTGATACAAGTCTATGTGTAGTTAAGACTCTGGAAGAGTACTTACGCCGAACAAGGCCTCTCAGAGGAGAGGAAAGTCAATTGTTTATTTCTCATTCTAAACCTCATAAAAAGGTTACCAAGGAAACCATAAGCAAATGGATTAAACAAGTATTGTCAAACTCTGGCATTGACGTGTCAGTATTCAAACCACACAGTACCAGATCAGCTGCAGTGTCTGTGGCAAAAAGGGCTGATGTTACTATAAATGACATACTAAAAACAGCAGGCTGGAGCACAGAAAGCACGTTTGCTAAGTACTATGACAAAGCTATTGTCATCCCAGCAACTGAGTCTTTTGCCAGTGCTGTACTTCAATTGTAGAGAATTACTTCCTTGCATAATATTATACAGTCCAAAAAGTCTGTTTAATATGCAGTTTTATTTATTTGAAAACACATTTACAACCTTCATGATGAATGTTTGCATAATAACGTTGTCGGTGTTGTTATTGTAAGAATGTGTAATTAGTATATGCTTCAATAAGCTTGAGAGATTAATATAGTGGAGTGATGAAAAACAGTTGTAACAAAAGCACTGAACGAGAAATGCTAGTAAAAGCAGGTGAATTCAATAAAACATTGCAGCAAGATTTCTGCTGAACTGAACCAGTATGAAGTTGTGTGAATACAAAGCTTCTTTCCGCTGTACCTGGCTCATGCATTATCCTGCTTTGAAATCTCACGTGGTCTCGAGGTGAATATCGAGAACGAGGTAGAATCCTAAAATTAAACGAAATGAAATTGAAGTTTGATTGGGATTCTATCGAGTGATCGATAGAACCGAGGGATCACGTGCCTTCCACAAAATGATAAATCATAATTATATTCCATGGTCCCACCCTGGTTGGGGGGGGATAATGTATTCGCCGTTAAAAAATGAACACGCTTGGTCACGCCGCGCTATCTCACGTGATCCCTCGGTTCTATCGATCACTCGATAGAATCCCAATCAAACTTCAATTTCATTTCGTTTAATTTTAGGATTATTCAGTGGTGTGCGTATTTTAGGTTGTGACCGGACACTAGTTGTGTAGGGTTCAGTAGCTCTACTGAAAACACCTACCGACCGAGAACCCCCCATTTCGTGCACCATTTGAATGGCGCAATGGCGCAATGGCGCGATGATCGAATCGGGAAAGAACCTCGTCGTGATTGCTCAATCTATCTAGAATGACATAGGGCCTAACATCCGTTTCGTCACACCGGATATCCTGACGAATTGCTCTCCCTATCTTGCGGTTAGTTTGTGTGAGTGACGATTTGTGTTTTTTTAATTTGCGGCGAGGTAGGCCTAGGCCCACTTAACTTAGTTTACAATTACATAAATTTGTGTAGTGTCAGTATCATATCATTACCAATACCTGATTAGCTATTCTTGCAGTTGCACGAAGTTGACATGATGGTGGATCTTCGCGTTAAAGGTAGGCCTATGTCATGTGGCGTAAAATATAAAGCTAAGATGTAGGCCTAGGCCTATGTAATTCCAAGAAATTTTAAGGAATTTTGGACGATCACTTGACTTTGTGTGTTCTCCCAGAAAATGAAATGGCTCAAGCCATGTAAGCCTTGATCGCACTCCTAGAATACAGTAGAAGGCTGTTTTCTGCATGACAGAATCGTCGGTACTTCTTACTTTTAGGACCCGTTCCTATATAGTATAAGGTTAAACAACTGACTTAAAATGACACTCAAAAGTAGCTGGAGTTACCCAGCCCTGAGTTTTATCATTGGGTTGTCATCTCCCCAATGATAAAACTCAGGGCTGGGTAACTCCAGCTAACTCAAAAGTGATATTTCTGGCGATCGTGTAGTGTAGGGCCAGGTTCCTATATAAGGGAACAAAATCCACTTTAGTTTAAAATTATTGGACCTACCAAACTAGTTAGCGACATTCTCAATAAACAGCATGAACAGGTATGTCATAGATAGAGGGCAGGGTTTAGATTTTTTGAGGGAAATTTGGGGGTAAAATGACGATGACAACACGCGACCCGAAAATAAAGATGGCGATCACCGCGCGATGTACCCTGAGCACGCACAGCGCGATGAATCGCAAGGCACAAACCGCGCAGGAAAATTGTGATTTCTACCCAGAGATCTGTCAAAAATTGCAAAACAGGTTTCATTAGAATTGAGAAAAGTCAGAACAGTTGGCAATAACACCTTCTTGAACATCGGCAGGTTTAATGTTGTAGAAAGAGGGCAGGGCTTTGACTTATTAAGGGGTTAAAGACGACGATGACAAACAGAAAATAGACTTAAAAAGCAAGATGGCGAACTGCAAAAAAGGGTAGGAAAGACACATTTTCTTTGAAAGTGCTTTCAATTTTACAACTTTCATGAGTTTATCTGAAGAAAAAAAGACTGCTTCAGCTAGCTTGAGAAACTCTAGCTGTAATGTTTAATATCGCATTTAAGCATTTGAGCTGGAAGTTACTCAAGCAATGCTTCAACCTGCCAAAGTCACTTTGGTACTGACAGTTATCTGTAAAAGTTATTTTTCAACAGAAGTGGCAAAAAATAGAGGTGTCCTAAAGATAAGGATTACCGAAGCGTCAACGCAGCGTCAACGTCTCCAAAACCGCATTCAAATTGACAAAAGCAGTGTTCAAAACTGTACATTTTGGACTAAAACCAATTGGTTAAATGTCTGAAAATTGCAATTTTCCATTCAAGAAAAATTGGCTCTCCGTGCAGCTCCGAGATTGGCAGAGCGCAGTCATGTTTCCTCAGGGGCAGTGAGGACCATACCAAATGCTAAAGTGGTGAAAGCATTATACAATAAATCAACAGAGGGCGGTCATTGCGAGTAAAGCAGCATACATGTACGTTATGATAATTTCACAATACCTGCACACCCATTTGGTGTAGTCCAGGCTCCTTGCGAAACTTTAGAGATCTATCATTTTGTCGCATAAAAAAACCCTATTTTTTCGTAAACAAAATGTAACCTCTGACCCACCGAAAATGTCTTTTAAGTCTAAACTTTAGGCTACAGAGTTCTATATCTTTTTTGTCAATTTAGAATGCGTTTTGGAAGTGTTGACGCTTCTATTACATGTATGTGTTGATGCTGTGTTGATGCTTACTATAGTACCCACACTAGTTAAAGCACTTAACATGAAGGTCTACAGTATAAGGCCAAATAAAAAAAAATTAGCATCCTACCTTTTAGTTTAATTCGGCCTAAGAAATTAAATTTGCAACTCAGTCGAACGAACGTGTAGCATGCTCGACAATCCATTACGACGATGTTGTTCTAAAGCCTAGAGGATTTTTCCACCTTTTTACACACATAGAAAATTAATACTGACACATCTAAAATGACAAACATGGGTAAATAATTGGTGAATAATTTCTGTTATTACGCACACTGTTGAATTGTCCACATCTGACACTGTGGAACTGCCCATTTATTAAAAGAAAGCTGGCACAGCCAATAGGCCTATGACTGTGAGTATGAGACAGGCTCCATGAAGATAACATTTACCAAAAGAAAAACAGAACCGGTCAAATATCCACTGCCTCAAAAAAGCAAAACATGATATTCAATTGCAAATTTTCCAAACCTACTGATTAGTGGTTATAGTGCATTGATTTCATCCACTGCCAAGTTCTATTTTTAGCCTTATGAACTGGTCATCATACTACATGTACTACATGTATTTTGCTTGTGTAAGATCTTAGTGAACCCTAACAGTCCTGAATCCTCCAAATTCAATACAATTTTGCACACCCCCTAGGGAGTTAAAGTGAAATGTTTCTTCCCTCTTGTTTTCATTCAGTTCGAATTTGCATCAGCCGTCCCTCCTCATGGCTATGGCTGTTACTGGTGTTTCATTTCATACTGCAATCCGCGACGCTGCCTGTAACTACACCCCCAAGTAAGTAACCAAAGTTTCAAAGAGGCCTGTGTGTGCTGAACTTGAAACAAGGCATGGCAAGCCTAGTAAAGCTGGTCTCACAGCACACACATTTCTATTCCATTGATTCATAATAGCTATTTGGCATATTCAGTGGCAGATTTTTTCATGTGTCAGTCACACAATTGGCCAGATTCAGCCCATTCATGGCATAACTCCAGACTGGGACTAGTCTATGTAATAGACCATGGCAAAATCTATAACATTTGAGCATATTCGCTGATTATAATTATGCAAGACAACCGCATCTTGACCTGTAGATTTTGACCAATCAGCAGGCGCTTTTTATATCGGGTCTTTGGTCATTCACCGCTGTCGCGTCATAGACACATGGAAAAAAAAAAATACCCTAGACACAGCAACAAAGGCTGCGGTCACGCACTCTGTATTATTTTATGCAATACGTGCCCGGCTGTTGTTGTATTACAAAACACTGCCAATTGGGCAATTCCATTGGGCAAAGAAAAGGTCCTCAGTATTTCACCAACCAAGTTTGCAGACTCAACTCAATTTTTAAAGGAGACATTTCTTCAATATTTTGCACGTGAGGGAAGTCAAGTGATTTCAACATGAGGCTTAAGAGTAAACTGGTGCAAGTCCAATCATGGTCCAACTATTTGTCATGTAGTTTTAGTATAGTGTCAATCAGTGTCTGATGGCTGACTATATGGAGAAATGTGTAGTAAAGAGACTAGCATGTTTCTTTTTCACAGTTGATTGATGCAGTACTGAAGTGGTGTTGGACTGATTGTTTCATGTGCCAGTCTATTTTCTTGTATTGCATGCTTTCAGTACTTTAGGTCTTGGGACTCTCATACACTGTATTGAGAGTCCCAAATTTTCGGATTACATGTAGCATAATCTTATACAATAGCACTGCCCGGCTTACAAGTGATGGTGAGTGAGTCAGTCATTTAGTCAGTCAGTCGGTCAGGTAGGCTATAAATAGGACTACATGATAGGCTGGCCATTTGGGAATTCAATGGGGACCAGCTAGAAATTTCACTTCGATGCCCCTGTGACCAGCATGTACATTTCAATGCCCAAAGATTTTTTTTTTACTTCAAAAACTTGTATATTGTACATAATGTCATGTAGTTTATATCTGTTTACCTGGTGATTTTTTATAAAGTGTTTGTAGCTGCTGGATATCTTCATGTCTCTCCGTCAGTCCCTCAGCCCGTTAGTTAGTAACAAACGTTGACATTGTCTATTGCTCCTACACATTTTGACCGATTTCAACCAAAAGTATCAGTAGCCCAGCCCCAACATGTCACATGACCAAACTGGGGTCAAACGTCATTATTGGGTCACTGGGTCCAAAAAACACTACTCATTCCAGAATTTACATGGCTCAATCACGTGACTCATGCATGAACACAAATTTGTTGGCCAGCAGCTCTTGAGATATTTTTGATCGAGCTTGTTACATACTGCAAGTATCCATCCAGAAGCATGGATAGGTCATTGGAAAGTTTTTTACATCATCTTTTGTTGACTTTTAGTTTTTCACGGAAATGTAATTTTATTCATAACATATCAACTAATATCACTTGATTCTTTCAACATGTGAGATGTGCCATCCACCAGTGACTCTATGTTAAATGTGACCTTTCATCACAACATGAGCTTAAAGTCAGACTATTTAAGAACTGAGATACCTGCATTTGTATTTCTGGAGAACAAGAGCTTTCGAATGGTATACAAAGTTAAGAAGAGTTCAGTAACGGAGTTCAGTAACGGAAAAGAAGACCACCAAGTTACTTGAGGTTGTACATGTTCTCAAAAATCAGTTGTACATGTACATGTACAACCGATTTTTGAGAACAATTTTTTATAGATGTTTGACAGAACAAAAATGTTGGAGAAAGGTAATACAGGACTTAATTGTAGAGATTATATTAACGTTCACCTGAAAACAAAAAACAGACCGCCCCTTCAAATTTTAGCTTTGCCCAACTGTACTGAGAAAATCACAATTTCCATTTTGTTGTGGCAGGTCACATTATCTCACATATGAGTTCATTGTTATTGCTATGAAACTTAATTCACAGAGGAATTGAGAAAGTTAATATCATTCATATTTGTACATTTATCTGCATGTAGATGTGTTATAAGGATATTTACTTTACTTTTTTTCCTCCCAGGAACTGAAGCTGACTTAATATGTCAATCCAAGTTGGGTGAGATTTTTGTCTATGACGAGGGAGTGGGGATTTGCGTCTCTTGCAGAAGTTGTCAGTGTGCATACATCACAGGGAATCCTCACTGTGTGAAGTGCGTAGGTAGGTCTCACTTTTCACTGCATTGAGATCCCAGTTGTTGTCAAGTTGATCAAATGTGATACCACAAGTAAGTCCACAAGTACATGACGATTACAAGCATATCGATATTGCTTGATTATTCAATATTATTTTGAAATCATTCGCTTATTTTTTTTTATAGCAATTTTTTAATCAATTTGAAATACATGTATCGAGATTTTCGATATTGAGGAATCATATCGAAAATATCGAAAATGCATCAGATTATCGTCAAAATAAATCTCCCGTGTGTGCTTTTACTTTGTGTTTATCGTTTGCTGTATAATGAAATAAAACTTGGTGGCAACTTGTGCTTGTGACTCAAAAATAAAAAAATTGCAAAATGCCAAGCGGTGTCGCTTTGTGCTCTGCATTCGCTGGAATTCGTGGTCTCCTCCAATGTAAAACTGCCTGTTCTGGACAAACTGTCAGTGCTGATGTTCGCTTTAAAAAGTTTGAGAAAGCCCTGGAAAATTGGGACTTCAGATTTTTTATTTTTTTTTATTGTTGTTGTTTGTTTTTTTTAATCAAAGTGCCATCTTTATTGTCTTTAACTTTTGCATGGGTTAATAGATATATCGAATATTCTCGATATTGGATTTCCGATATATACATTATTGACAATTCTGATATTGACGGTGCTTAATACAGGGTGAGTAAAAAAAAACAAGGAAACCCAAATGACGCCCCTATTTTTTTTAAAGAAGTTGTGTATGTAGCCCAGTCAAGATCTAGGATACAAAAGCCAAATTAGTAAGCTTCTTTTATTAAAAATATTGATCATATCCCTCATGTACATGTGTACTTTTCAAGTTATCGACTTTTACATGTAAACATAACATGGTTTTATATTTTTGTCCACGGATCACAATAAAGGTAAGTGATATTTCAGCAAAACGAAAACCATTCACATATAAAACAAAACACTCTCACCACCACACACATTGGCATCTATCATAAACCTTTTAATATCTGCTTCCAATGTTCAAACAACATGCTTTATAATGTCAGTGGAGACATACATGTACAGGATTATTCCGATATCATGATGCGACATGCTTTTATTTTACTGTTATGTCAAGTACAGTACCTTAACCCTGCTATGCCCAGTGCAGTTGGCAAAGAGAGTTATCAGACCTTTCAAAACATTTAAACTTTGCCTCCCTAAAAGGGTTTTGAAAGGTGAAATAGTGCTGGAACTTTGGGACATTTCGAAAGGTGAAGCAACTCTGTGGGCAAATTCAGTAAGTTGCATTTCAATACCTTTCGAAAGGAATTGAAGGTGTGGTAGTGCAGTAACACTAAATTCTGGAGGATTTTAAAAGGTCCAGCATTTTTTTCCCTCCAATTTGCCAGCACCCAGATTTTGAGGTGTTTTTAATGGTCTAACTACAGGAGAGCTATGTGTATCTGTGATAATAATAAAATAATAATAACACAATTTAAGCGCACATTTTCACAAGTGTCGATGCGTGACTAAGGACAACTCCAGAAGACAAATTTTAAAAATTGTGTTTGTGTCCAAAAATTCCATTACTTAAAAAATACATGGGTGATTTGAATGATTCTTGTACTAAAAGAAAGCTTAGTTTGTGGGCTTTCACATCCTAGATCTTGAAAGCCCTACATGCAGAACTTCTTTACAAAACAGGGGGCGCCATTTTGGTTTTCATTTTCTTGACTCACTGCTCGGACAAACAAAACAATACTCAGTTGTTGTTGGGAAATTGTTACAGCCGATATGTCCCTTTTTTATTCTGTGTAGACTATGGCATTCTACCCTGTCAAACTACTACTGCTCAGGTGACTGCTCAGATCACTGCCCCAGTCACTGGTACTCCGCTGCAGGAATCCACCCCATCCCTGCAGACGTCCATGCAGACCACAGAAGAGACACCATTGATGGCCTTTATGACAACTATGCAGCAAAACGATACTGCCGAGACCAATGCGAACAACGTGGAAAAGGCAACCTGGAGTACTGTAGTAGGTAGGAACGTTGTAATTTGTCCCAACACACGTCACGGTCGCCCCACAAAAATAAAAGTTCTATTCCGTGGTATTGCATTACATGTTTCTGCCTGTGGTGGCACACGAATACAATATGTGAGAATCTCCGTTTGTTCGCAATACAGAAGATGAAAAAACTTGTTTGTGATGCTGACGCTGCTAACACAAAGAAGCAAGTAAAATATGCTGGCAAACGATAAATGTAGGATACAAACATCCACACAATAATCCTTCTATAGATTGGGCGCTGTTGTAGTATTATTGTGTTATTCGTGCGAGAACGATGCTCGAGGTCCACTTTTTCGACCCCAAAAAGTTGGGATGTTTGTGTTAGTGGTGAATCTAGCCGTAAGAGTTCGCCTTTTGCGGACGTGTTAGAAATCACATTTTGTGCTTTAGTGATTGGTCACTGCTGTTTGTGTGCACTGTGCTGTGTAATACTAGATACACACAACGTGTATACATACACGTTGTTTGAAAACGACAGGGAGCGTGTATCATACTCAGTTGTGTCCGATGTAAACAATTGTTTTTTGGTTTTTTTTCGTCTTTCCTCGGGAACAGTAAGACATTAGGTTGGTTTCTTTTCAACCAGATGTTTGAAATAGGATAAGTAAACATGAAATTTTCAGGGATTTTCAGGACGCACCTTGCCCCTTTTAAGTAGCCTTTTGCCATGCCAATTGTGGTTCTACAGCGGCGAAGCTGTGGAGCTGCGGGTGAATGGAGCGAAGACCAATTCAGCATGCATGAGTGGCAAAGCTGTGAGGCCTTTTCTAACTCTATTATACATTTTTTGTTGCATTATTCATATTTTTTATGCAAATAAGTAGAGTGCTGAAAGGTTAACCAATCACAACGCGGACTTCTCCTAGTTGCATCCAGTTGTGAAAGGAATGTAAGCAGTGCAAATGTATTAAGCGGAAATAAGTTCAGAAAAGCAATTATTTCATACCCTCATAATCTCTTGAAATACTTTTATAAATAAAACAAACAAATGAAAGGACAATTACTTGAGCATAAGCTGGAAAAAATAGTCTCAAAGCTATTTTCCCAAATAAACAATATACAGATCCAAACTACACTGGTCGATTGTTGTCATGAAAATCGCCTGTGCTTGAAATATTTTACCGTATCCAGTGGGAAAAAATACAAATACATCATTCCTTGTACAACTCCTTCAATCGCCTGATGCTGTGTTACAACTGACAATGTAGTAACCAACAGATAATGTATCACCAACCGATAATGTCACACAAATTGACTGATAGTGTAGAAAATATTGAAATTGCATTGACTTTAAGGTCAAAACTGGGCTTCCAAATCAATTTCAAACTCAAGATATGGGTCCTTAAAGTTCGCTGCTCTGTCTGGTAATACCTGTTAAAGCCACAATGAACACTATGTATAAAGTGCTTAAAGGTAGGGTACATGCAGATCATTCGTTTGAAGCAACAAAAGTGCTCAATAAATGCTGTAGTATTCTGAGAAAACTATATTCTAGGATATTGGTTTCAATTTAAAAGTTGCCGAGACATGTTATTGTTTGTTTTGAATTGCACTCAAATTCAGCAGCCGGGTAACGATCCCTGGCGGGCCCGATTGCAGCTACGCGATGTCAAGCACTGAACTGACACCTGTAGCAATCAAACGCCAGTGGGCCTCATGGCAACACACACAAGCATACACCCATATTCAAGGATTTGCCAAATTACAAACAAACCGTAATAATGGAAATTTAAAAAAATGCGTCTAGAAATGGCCTTTTATTGTTTTCTTCAAAATTTCAGCATGCCAAAAAAGATTAATTTCACAAGAAAATTAGTGCCATTAATATCTGTAAACCAAATAAGCTATTCATGAATAATTTCATTAGTGACTTTTTGGATAGCTGCAAATGATCTACTCTACCTTTAAAGATGAATATAAATGAGGTAAGTATAGCAGTATTTCATTCAAGTTTGAGGGAGTCATATCGCAACATCTCTAGCAAACCTTGAAACAGATTTTATTTGAAACCTATTGTGCTTTGATCCCATATAGGCTTTCCATTGATAGCTGTAATGGTAACAGTCGTCGGTGTTCCTAGTCTTGTGTTTGGGGTTTTCATGTGGAAAAGGAGGCCTAGTACTAGTGGTATGTATCCAACATTATTTCTAAATTTTGATTTTGATGGCGCAACCAAATTTCCAGCACCAGTTATTTTTTTTCTCTAATCTAACACCCAGATATCTGATTATAATTATTATTTGTCAGTAGTTGTATTAGACCAGACCAAGGTTCCGGAAGTGATGCGGCGACGCGGCTTTTTTTATTTTTTTTTATTTTTTTATTTTTTTGCTTTTTTTTTCAAGCTTGGATTGTACAGACAAGGTGGGGTACTATTTTGCTTTTTTGGTGTCCTCATGTACATTGGTGTCCTCCATAATTTGCCTTGGTGCCCTCGATCATTTGCCTTGGTGCAATTTCCCATTCCTTGGTGCTCTTTGGTAAACAAATTTGAGGATGTGCAGCAATAGAGTGTGCTGTTGGAGCTACCGCGAAACATTTTGGAAAAAAAAAAGATTGATGCGCATGATTAAAATCAACAAAGAGCAAATGACCTACAATGTACATGTATGTACTGTTAACATGTATATTTTTGTCGTACTTTCAGGTGCAGCCCGCCAGCAGGTGCCTACACAGGAGACCGGCAAACGGGAACCTCACCCTAGCACCGACCTGACGGGTGTTATACCTCCTAATCATGAGTTTTCTGAGAACGAGTCCTGTGTTTAGGACAGGCAAATCCCTGAGGCTTCCGATTCCATATCTCGTAGACAGAGTCGCCGTTTGTCTTTTGTGTAAAAACAAACCCTGATCATGATATTCACGGAACTAAAACTATAACAGGGGCGGATCCAGGAATTTTGAATTTGTTCAGGCCTGTCATATTTTATTTCACGTCTCAGTGGCGTAACAAAATCATTTTTAGTTTGGGGTGGGGTTGGGGTGGGGTAGATTAAACTTTCGTTAAAAGCGCACTCGGAAATCAGTGCTGAATTGTAGCCAGATTATTTTCCCCGGACACCTGGCCTCCATACAATCAAAAAGTACATAATACGTGTGTCTGTGTGTGCTATGTTTAGGTTAGGTTGACTCTTGTCAGCACAATGACTTGAGAAATACTTTACTTAGGGAAGTTGAAATTTGGTTTGTAGGTTGTTCTTGATAGTCTTAAGGAGCCTGTTGCTTTTGGGGCCGACAGGTCAAAGGTCAAGGTCATTCTATACTTAAACAACAGAATATGTTGTCAGCACGAATGCTTGAGAAATACTTTATTTAGGAACTTCAAATTTGGTTTGTGGGTTGCTCTTATCCAATCTTATCAAGCCTATTGATTTTGGGTCGAAGGTCAAGGTCACTTTTGCTAAAACAATAGAAATGTTCCATTTTGGTTAGGGACACTGACTTTATAAAAACTGCCATCATGCCAGGGAGATTGCGCAGGTCTCACTTGCATTTTAATTCTTAAAAGTTTGTTTTTGCTTGCTCGTCCTGGTGTATTAAAGCATAGACCTAGAATGCATGCACAATAGATAAATTGCATAATGTTCATGTTGTTAATAATGAGTGTAATAGGCGCTAATAACACCTAGCCACTATCGCATCATTGTTCTTTGTTCTATAAGGCACAATGAAGCGATGATATATGCCTACCTATAAGTACAAAGGAATAATACTTGACATTTTTGAATGAACTGAATGCTGATAGGACAATCTTTTTCTGCCATGATGGTGTACTGCCAGCCTAGCTGCTTAAATGAATAGGGTGTGATTACCTTTCATTTAGAAACAAACAAACAAAGAACCCAACAAACGAACAAACCATACCCAAGAAAATGACTGTTGAAAGTGACAGCATCGAACACTAGTCTGTGTACTTTATACCCTTTTAGACTGGTGTTCCGAGTCACATGAAACTGAACTATTTTGAAGGTTTCCAACACATGAGTTACTTCATGTGCAAGTCTTTGAAAGATTGAGTGTTGGATCGACTCCTCAGTCTAGTCCATGGTAATTGTGACATAACCTTTGCCCATCAGATACTAAAATTTGTTTTGGTTGACTACAGTTTCCTTGGGCATCGCGAGGGGAGGTGGCAGGGGTGTGGGAAAATGTCCCCCTGCTCACCCTCGAAAAAAATTGAGAATGTTCTGGAAATGTACAGGGATCTTGGGGGGGGAGAATGTGCTTTGCCCCCACCCCTAGAACAAATACTGGGGACGCACATGACATTTGCTTGTTATGATTTCTGAGTTGGTGTGATTCTGGAAAGCCAGTTTATATATTTGAAGTCAACACTCTCATTGTCACAACCTATATTCCGTCATGAAAGTCACCCAGCTGCATTGGAGTTTTCTACATTTTGAGACAATGCTCAGTGCTCTGATGATCAATATCTTACATGACAATCCATGAAGTTGACTTTACTATAATGCAGTCAGCAGGAAGCACTAGCAGAAAAAAGATTGTCTTACATGCAACCAATATTGCTTAATCCCATCTCTGGGCCCATATAAGTATATGCCAGTTCAATATTTTCCTTAATTTTGATTTTAGAATTTATCTCTTTTTTGGGGAATTATTTTATGATCCACCCAATATATGAGTGACTGGTCACCAAAGCTACACATTTTTGCAAAATGGAAATCAAGAGGAACTACTAACATTTTCATATTCACTCAAATGTTAAATAGAGTGATATTTGAATATGCCCTATTTCTTTAAATTGAAAATTAACCGGTTAGGGGGAAAAAGTTCCTTTAAACTCTGTTTTTTGAGGATCCAGTCACAATATTAGGACTTTGCCTTTCTTCCAGTAGGTCCTGCGATGGGATTAAGTGGTATGATTGAGGCAGGTTTTGTCCACTTTATTACAAATTGAAGGGTATGTCTTGCTGGTTTAAGAACAGATGTGATGTCTTGGACGTAGATGGGCAACAGTTACAGGGGCCTTATTGAGTGGTAGTGTCTGTTTCTTGCAAGCCATTCTCCTTCCATGTTGTAATTTTGTTTGACATCCTGCAAAATGTTAATAGATTTCCTTGAAGACAGCAGTCTTCAATGAGGAACCTTATTATATTTATGATGGCAGACTCCCCGTGAATTTATCTCACAGGGTGTCATGGGATATTAATTAATAGCAATTATCAATAATGTTGATAATTGTTGAAAGATGGATTTACTTTCTTTTAACTTGTCTTCACAATAACATTTTCAAGTTGTGTAACATGGATCTGGTGACCTTCTTAAGATGGCACCAAAAGTTGCTTATACTGCAGTTTTGGGTTTATGCAACCTGCTCCAAGGCTGCATTCTTATTGTAACTTTGTTTTACTCCTTTTATGTAACCCATGCACACACAGCAATTTTTATTAAAACTCTTTGTTTTAGAGTTTATATAACAATTATGTAAACCTTTACATAACACAAAATAGGGCTATATAAGTGAGAGCAAAATAAGTCTAAGGCAATATTTTGAGACCCTTGGCCGGAAGGACTGACGCAAGAGACCAGAATCTTCAATTCTGCTGGCAAGATTGCCAGATAGTTTCTACCGATGGACCAAGACATGGAGATCGACCATCGAACTCAAAACTCAGCTTAACTTTCTGTAGCTGAAGTTTTGGATCTTGGCATGCTAAAATTGGCCAAGACTCGTCTGTGTACAAGGCAGTGCCATCGCTTCACTCAAGGCAGCAGTCCAAGAGTCAAGTCAAGTCAAGAGCTACGGCAACGAGACCGCATCCCGAGGAGTCGTCTCTTCACCAGTTCAAGCAAGCAAGCAAGCAAGCAAGCAGCTAAGTACATGTACATGATCATGAACTCAAATGAACAATCCAATGCCGGCTCTTGCTCTCAATTCAATGACAATGTTTCTACAATGTTTTGTAAACTGTTATCTGAGTAATGTATATTCACTGTAAATATGTAGTTGAAAAGGTTAAAAGAATATAACCGATAGTAATAGCAAAGTACCTTTCTTTTGTTTATGTGTGATGATTTTGTTGTTGATTGCCAAGCGCGCGGTCATTATGGATTCATGCGTAACACAGGGAAATACTTGCTTTTGGATAGGCTTGGGTAATTCCAACCCCCACCCCACCCTACCCCCCCCCCCCCCAAAAAACCCCAAATCCCCCTCAAAAACAAAGTAATTACTTTCATGACTTTGGAAATAGATTGTCGGCTGTAAATCCTTCCTCTTAATGACCATGTTTTAGTGATAGGTTTTATTGAACTTCTCCCTATTTTCCAAATAGTGTTTTTGCTATGGATGCAGGCCCATCGCCAGCCCTGAGCGACAGGGGGGAGCCATAGTACCAACTAGGGGGGCCCACTACCATAAAAAAAAAAATACAAAAATGCATATGTCTCTTGCTGGGGGGGGGGGGGGGGGGGGACTGCTCGCCAAGGGAGTCCCGGCCCTGTATGGATATTAGCCATGGGCCTGCATGGATATGAGGTGCGGTTTCGGAACAGAGTTCTTACTCGGGGCAGAATCTAAATCAATGCCCCCTCTTCCCCGCCCCCAAATTGGAGTTACCCAAGCCTATATCTTTTCTTAATGAAATATTTTGTAAAGTAGTAAAGTGCAGGAAACAGTTGGTAAAATGGTGAAATGAATTTGTATCCTCTTTAGTAGATAACGAGTTATTATTTTTATCGACGAATATCATCATGTTCGTGAATGTTAAGAATTATTGGTGTTGGTATACAAAATAAATACTGAAATTACAAAAATTCACTTTATGTACTCAGTAATTTTGTGGATATTGTTGTGTAATGTTGTGCTTATCTGTCTATTCCTGCAGTTCTCTAGTTAAAAATGTGGAAGTGTAAAAATCGATTTTATTAACCCATTTTTGTCAATAAATCCATTATTTTTGCCCCAAATCGTCCAAATAATACGTGTCAGAGTATTAAGTGAAATTCGTCTGGCATCAACTTGCCTTTCTATTGTTTGGGAAAATTACATTTTTTGCCCACATTTTATCAAAACAGAACTTATAGTTTTTTAACTTTTCAGCCGAAAAAATTCAATTTCCTTGAAAAACACAGGGCAAGTGCTTAATAGGCCATAAGACACAAGTCAATATCTGTCCAGATTTGCCATTCAAAACAAAAATTGTGTTGAAAATGTAGTGGAAATTATTATTTTTTTTTGCACTAAATGGATTATTAAAAAAAATAATAATAATAATTGGTACGGTGTACGACTATGACATCATGTTTACCTATAGCACAGACGGGCCTCTCTAGCTAGCTTTGCGTTGTTTGGGAAAATTTAAATTTTTGAACAAAGTTTTGATACTAAAAATGTTATCGGTTCAAGACAAATTAACAGAAAGTGAAAGAAGGTATTTTAAGGTTTAAATCGATGTATGTCTTGATCACCTGCGAGACTTTGGAGTCTATTTCCCGATCTTTTTAAAAGTTTCATTGATAAATATTCGACATGGATTCAATTCACACTATTTCACAACAGAATAATAAAAAGATGAACATTAAAATTGAAAGTCAATTATCAATTTGTCAAAAACAAATATTTGTAATTTTGAAAATATCAAACAAACTAACAGCAACAACTCTTCCAATGAATTCCATCTGATCTATTATTCGAAATTACTGTAGTGTAGACCTAGAATTTCACTTTCTTAAAAGCAATGAAATATGCATTTTGTACTTGGATCATTCTATAAATTAATGCGAGGACCAATTTCTGTGTGTCCCTGTATGTTACATCTGATATAAGATGTTTTAAATTCAGGACACATTCTTCAATGCCTTCTATCTCTGAGAGTGATTTTATGTAAAGCAAAGTACCTGCCGAACGAGTAGTAAAAGTTTGAAGTCAATTTTAATGATACTTGCGTGGTAATTTAAGCAGGTCAGATGTAACAGAGACACACTTTTGGACCCCAGTTTTATGGAATGACCCTCTTTTCTAATAAGCAATGATATTTGAAAAAAAAGACAATGAATATTCGCAGGCGCGGTTCTACGGGGGTGGTAGGGGGGCTGTAGCCCCCCCCCCCCCCCAATTTTGTCTAGCCCCCCAAAATAAATTCCATAAAAAAAATGCATTAGCAAAAAGAATGATTGGGTTGTTTATGCGAACGGTCTCCCCCTAAAGAAGAAATAGCCGTGACAAGGATGCATTAGTTAATATATTGTGAATGATTTTAGGATTTTATTGACGCTCCCCATTGAAAATATGGCATGAGCCCCCCCCCCCCCCCCCCCCCCTATTGATTTTCGGAGGCCTAAGTGTCTGGAAAAAGAACCGGTCAACATTTCAGCACGCCTCCCTGAAAAAAATTTTTGATCCACCGTGCTAGCCCCCCCCCCCCCCCCCCAGAAAAAAATATTGGTTCTACAACCGCGCCCGAATATTCGTCTTCATGCAGACAGTTTGAAGTTGCACGAATATTATTCGTGCAACTTCAAACTGTCTCATAAAAAATGGAAATTTGCGCTCAGATAATCTATATTCAGATAATCAGAAAACAGCCGATGGCTTTAAATAACATGTCGAATTAAACAATGAAAATTAAAGTTGGAATGAGGAAGTAAAAAGACACACTTTTGCGCTCAGATAAGCTATATTGTTCGGAACAAAAACATACATCAGAAAACAGCCGATGGCTTTTGTCGAATTAAAAAATGGAAAATAATAGTTGGAATGAGGAAGTAAAAAAGACACATTTTTTATGGGGAGACAGGTATGGGCAGATATTCAAGTCATTTTTTTGTATTCATCGTGGGGAAAAAAAAGAGAGAATAGCGCTTGTACATTGCTTGTAGACATAATGATTTGGTGTCATGTATTTTGTTCACGTGTAGTTTCCTCTATTAATTCTTCCATGAATTCACCGTACATGTACATGGGCGTCTCCAGGATTTCTGTCAGAGGGGGGCAAAGCACACCCCCCCCCCCAAATCCCTGTACTTTTCCCAGCATATTCTCGATTTACCATCATTTGTACATGTATGTCATCACATTTCTTTTAATTATCTTTTAAAGTATTAAAGAATTGTCCAAGGTCAAGTAAGGAATGTTGCATGAAATGTCTTTCCCCTGACCCCAAGTTTCTGCATCAACTACGTTCATGATATATTTTTCGCTTTATTTCTTGATGTATGTATCCTTGGCCAATATTGGGCCAACAAAAAAAACTTTATAAGCAAAGAAGGAAAAATGTGTTCTCTTTTCCTCTTGTAAGGAAAATCAAGATTTTTTTGTCTTACTTCGCTTCATTTTGAGAATAAAAATAGTGTAGATAAATGCTTGGGCAATTCTTGAATGCATTATTTGCTGCTGACCTTATTCATCCATAAATGCATTATATTGCATCCGCATTTTTTCAATTAATTTTTGGAAGAATAATTCAAGGTAAAGTAAGAAATATTGCATGAAATGTCTTTTCCCCGGTTCCCAGTTCTGCATCAACCACTTTTATTATATATAAAATATATTTCATTTTTTTAGCTACATATCTTCATACTTGGCCCATATTGGGTCAAGTTGAATCCAAAATATATGTACAAATTCACCATCAAGCAATAAAAAATGATGCGTTTCTTCTTCTCTTGAAGAAAAATCCAGATAATTTCGTGCAATTTTTGTTTAACGTCACCTTCATTTTAAAGAGGAAATAGTGTAGATAAATGCTTGAGCAATTCTTGTACAAGTTTAATTGACTAATTACTTTAATTCTTCCAAGAATGTCGCATTTCTTTTCCTATTATTGGAAATATAATTGAAGGTCAAGTAAGAGAAATTGCATGAAATGTCTTTTCCCCGATCCCCACTCAACCATCAACGTTTATTATAAGTTATTTTTTGAGAATAAGCCCATATCGGGGCAATTTTGAAAATTGAAAAAACATGAACATCACGCAAAGTGTTCCCTTTTCCCCATTGTGTGGAAAGTTCAGATGATTTTATGCATTTTTGTTACTTCACCTAATGGTAAAAAGTTAACGTAAGTATAGAAAAATGCTTGAGCAATTCTTTTTAGATGCACAATTTACTGCTTACACGTACCAAGGCCGCACTTTATTTGTATACTCTTCGAGATACAGTAGTCTTGTATAGAGAGTTACATGATTCAATATTTGCTCTTTGGTCCGAAATTTCAAAAGTTCACATTGAAAGGAAACTAAACTACTATTTTGATCAAATATTAAAGTTCTTTTTTGGGGGGGGGAGTGTAAAAATGTCTGAATTATCATGGCCCAAGGGATTAATTTGGACTAAAATTAGAAACAATCGAACCGAATCATGAAAACGTTTGTATATAGGCCTATAAACCTGCAAACTTGTATAGGTTTTATCATGAGGATGACTTAGCTCCCGTTGCCCCACCAAACCTTCCTGAACTCTTTTTTTTTCAAATCCTCGTTTGTACTTCCTTCTAATTCTCATAAGCCTGGCCGGTTCGCTTGCTATTTATAGAGTCACATTATCTTTGCGAATAGTGCAATAATTCTAATAAAATATAGTGTAGCAGCCCACTTATTGAATTTGCTGTTGGTAGATTGTGGTTATTAGTGTTTAGTTTCCAATCTGGTTTTAAACCCGTACCTATTTTCTTTTTTGGTTGGTCACTCCTTCTTATCATGCACAATACAACATCCGATTGCGGAGAGGTGGGACCAAAAATAGAACACGACCTCTTCAAAAACATTCAACACACAAAAATAGAATAGTGCGCTGATCTCAAGTTCAACAATGGAAATACAAAGTCCTTGAAACTATATAATGGACAAAAGCATTTAGTTATAACTAAACACTTTACCTAGAAAAGCTGAATTTGCTATGACATTTCGCAATATCAGATTACAACATAGGGGAATTTTCGCACATGCATCAGGCGCGGTTCTAGAGCCAATATTTTTTTTTGGGGGGGGCCTAGCAGGGCGGATCCAGATATTTTTTTCAGGGATGGCGTGCTGAAATGTAGACCGGTTATTTTCTTCGGACACTTAGGTCTCCGAAAATCAATAGGTGGGGGGAGGGGGGGGGAGCTAGTACCATATTTTCAATGGGGAGCGCCAATAAAATCCTACAATCAGGCACACTATATTAGAAAACAAAGTGCACTCTCCCACGACTATTTCTTCAGGGGGAGACCGTTCGCATGTACGTCACATTCCTTGTTTTTGCTAATGCAATTTTTATGGAATTTTTTAGGGGGGGGGGGCTAAACAATTTTTTTTGGTGGGGGGGGGGGGGCTAAAGCCCCCGCTAGCACCCGTATATATAACCGCGGTTGCAAAAATGTCTGAATGATAAAGGCCCCAGAAGGGATTAATTGTGACAAAACTACTCTTCAAACCAAATAATGGAAATGTTTGTCCAATCATGAAATTTGAGGGACGGTGCAAGTAGGGAAACCTGTAGATTTTTAACAAGAAGTCCTTCGTGAACTAATTTGTCTAAACCTCGTTTGTACTTCCTTCAAATTCCCATAAGCTATATATGGCTCGCATGCTGATACAGACATATTATGCTGACTTTGAATGATGTATGACAAGATGAATGCCAAAGGTCAGAGCGGCCCGAAAAAGACGTGTATAGCCTACGTACAATGTCTATGTGATTTGGAGGGAACAAAAAGTAGGGATATGAAAGAAAAAAATCAAAACAAAACAAAAATGTTTTTCGCAAATCGGCGAAAGAAAGCCTGCACTGACCGAAATTTTCTCAAATGAGGTCATTTTTCACTTGAGTCCTTTCGTCCGTCCCCTCCCCCTGCAATGACGGCTCCCCCGGCAGTAACCTCTGTGGATATGATCCGCCCTTGCTTGTTTGAAACACTGAACACCACTAAAAAACTATCACTTTGAGCTTAGAAAGTATCGCCAAGTTATGCACTCCATTTTTTATATTAATAATAAATTATCATGAAATGAGCTGAATATCTAGCAGAATAAAAAAAAATCTAAGACAAAATGTTGCCGATTTGTTCTGAACCAGCTTCAAGTTCAATTACATGTATTTAAACCAAGCCATTGGACCTAGTACTAGACAGCAGAGTGACCGTAAGGTCAGAGCCAAATTCTGCTAAATGCACATCAAAAGTCTGTCAGATTTATCAAAAATCTGCCAAATTCCCCAGAATTAATTACTCAAAATACACTATAAACACTTAAAATCACATGCAGATTGGTAGTATTGCCTTAATAAAGATTCAAATTACATAATAAATAATGTAGTCAAATAAAGATGTTGTGAAATTATTGGAAAATTTCGGGCAAAACGCGGAGTCCAGCCTTCGTCCGTTTCCCAGTGAACCTCAGCCAACCTCTCCCATTATTCAAGGGTTTGTTTGAAAGGATTGAAGCTTTTTTAAAACAAATGTACACTTTTTTGTTCAAATTTGCTGATTTTCTGTCAAATATAAACAATTTTTGATGAATTCTGCCAGAAATCTGCCAAAAAATCCATACTTTCAAATTTTCTGTCAAACTCGTGGTTTTTTTTTTTTAATCTGTCAAAGTTAGCCGAAAATCGGCTAAAACGGTCACCCTGCTAGACAGGCGTACGCCAGCAGATTTTGCTTATTGGGCTATAGTTAATATGGGTGTCGGACGCTTCGCCCCATTTCCACGTCGCCCCATGTCACTTCGCCCCTAACCACTTCGCCCCATCCCCACTTCGCCCCATCCCCACATCGCCCCATCTCCGCTTCGCCCCATCCCCACTTCGCCCCATCCCCGCTTCGTCCCATCCCCACTTCGCCCCATCCCCACTTCGCCCCAGTAGTATGAAAAAGGTGAAGGCTAGGGGTGCAGACCAAATAAACTGCCAAAGACCCCAGATAATAAATGCTCCCAATTCTAGAAACTTAAGAAAAAAACAAACTCTTTGATGAGGTGCTCGAGACGGATCGAGACACAGATGAGAGAAATGATGGCTCTATCCCATTCAGAGACGCCTCTCCTATTGGCTTGTTAATAAAATCATCAGCCGCTGGATTCAAAAGAATCCGTAGGTATGGGTCAGTGAGTTAAAAGGAACTCACTGCCTTGAGGAAAATGTTCCGTCAAAATTTGTCTAATATGTGACACTTACAACTTCATTTAGATGAGATTGGTTACTCCAACAGTGAAATTAGGATGTCAAAGGTATTGTCGTTCTCAGATAAGTGGGAGACGGGTTGGTATAGCCGGGTTGGGAACAATTAAAGTTTGATCTTTTACTTAAAGCTTTTTTTCTCGGTAGGGGAGAGCCTATAGCTTGAGAGGTTGGTTATGTACGTATTGTTCATTTGGTGATGGGCTAATTCTTTCCGTTGGTTAGCAATTAGTGAATCTGTTGAAATTGTTTTTTAAGCCAAAAAAAAAGATGAGATTTTTTTTGCACGTAACGGCTGGGGCGAAGTGGGGATGGGGCGAAGTGGGGATGGGGCAAAGTGGGAATGGGGCGAAGTGGGAATGGGGCGAAGTGGGGATGGGGGCGATGTGGGAATGGGGCGAAGTGGGGATGGGGCGAAGTAGTTAGGGGCGAAGTGACATGGGGCGACGTGGAAATGGGGCGAAGTGTCCGACATTCGTTAATATAGCCCTCAAGCGCCCCATATATCGAGTCGAATAATGGCGCGATGATCGAATTGGGAAAGACCCTTCGTTGTGTTGCTCAATCCTGAAATCGACCGATTTCGTAACACCATGCATCCATGGAGGTAAATAGTAGTTACTGGTTTTGGTGTGACGTTTCGTGTTTTTCATTTGCGGCGCGGCGCGACGCGACGCGAGCTTGGATTAAATTTTGCATTGCAAAAAGTGGGCCAAGACTTTTGACTTTTGTGTATTATCAATAGATCAATACATTACTATTAGACCTAGTATTATCATGATTATAGGCTATTCTTGCACGAAGTTGACATGATGGTGGATCTCCCCGTTAAAGGTATGTGGCGTAAAGTAAGAGTTAAGACGTATGTAATTCCACGAAATTTTCAAAAATTTTGGACGATTTGTTGATTTTGTTCTCCCTGAAAATGAAATGGCTTGTTCGAACAGTAATTTTGTTGATGTACTACTAATCTGTGCATGGTGCGGCCCCTAACCGGAACCGTACCAGCTAACGTCATGAACGTGGCCCCCCCCCCTTTGATTTTTTGCCATAGCGCCTAGCCCTAGCATGCCTAGCTAGAGCTCTTAACTGAAATTTCACAGAAAGTGAATTTCCATCAAGTTCTAAAAATCACGAGTTTATCCACGGCATCCATTACGAAGAACATTTTATTTTGCCTTTATTTTCCAATTTAATTTTGAAGTGCACAGCTCAGTGAACTTTTTGAAGGACCCCAAAAATAGTCAATAATTTTCTGACAAACTTCTAGTTGGGTATGTAAGTGGAGATAATTGTTTATAAGAATTCAGCCGATTTGTGCCCAATTTCCGGACGCCACAATTTTTGAATTTCAGATTAAATTTCATGAAACCAAAATTGTTCTCAGAGGTTAAATAAGGTACATTTAAAGGTACGGTTTCAGTATTTCTCTGAATGAATTTGAAGTTTGTCAACAAAGAAGTTTGGGTAATCCTTACCTTTCGGTCCCCGTTCCTATATAAGGTTAAAAGACTCACCAAAACAGCTGACTAAATGACACTCAAAGGAGACATTCTGATATTTCTTGACACATTTGAACAGTTGGCAATGACACCTTCTTGAATATCAGCAGGTTTAATTTTGTAGAAAGAGGGCAGGGCTTTGATTTATGAGGGGTAAAAGACGATGATGACAACCAAAAAATATATTAAAAAAGCAAATGGCGAACTGCAAAATAAAAGGTAAAAAGGTCACATTTTCTTTGAAAGTGCTTTCAAAATTACAACTAACATGAATTTATCTGAAGAAAAAAGACTGCTTTAGCATGCAAAAGTCACTTTGGTACTGGACAGTCATCTGCAAAAGTCAGTTTTCAACAGAACTCGTAAAAATAGAGGTGTCCTAAAGATAAGGGTTACCGAAGTTTAGCAACACTGATGTGGAAAGTCAGGGTAAACGTCAAAGTGCGCCATGTTAGGGAACACCACTATAACAAATCGGGATAGGCTAATGTCGTGAATGTAGGCTGATGATTGATGAGGTCAATGGCATAATTCATACACTGTATTTCATACTTCCTTTTTTGTTTGGCATTACATATGAATCATCATACTTGTACTTTGCTTGTGTAAGATCTTAGTGAATTGAGAGAAATGTTTCTTCCCTCTTGTTTTCATTCAGTTTGGATTTGCCACAGCCGTCCCCCCTCATGGCTGTGGTGGCTGGTATTCTGTGCCTGTTTTCTACAGTCTACGTCGCTGCCTGTTTCAAATCAAAATGAACCAAGTAAGTAACCAGTGTAAAGAAGGCCCGTAATGAACTTGGAAAAAAAGGATCCTCAGATGTTCATATATATTTCAGGAAAGATTTCCATATATACGAAGTTCACTAATTTTCCTCTGTATTGACTAACAAGCCCCCAGATAGCAATTTCATGTCATCAAAGTAAATTTGAGCAGTGAGAAAATATAAGCATTTTCTTAGAAAACACTTAGAATTTTTCAGTCCAATCTCATAGGGTTTGTACACAGGGTGTTGAGTGACCTTCAGGGAAATCTTCCATATTTCATTCCACAGTTTTTAAAAATATTTTTGTTTCGGCCAAAAACAAAATAATCGGTCTCTGGTCAGACCGAAGTTCTGGAATCGATGCGGCGACGCGTTTTTTTTTTGGTGGTTTTTTTTTTTCTTTTCAAGCTTGAATTGTACAGACAAGGTGGGTACTATTTTGCTTTTTTGTGTCCTCATTATACATTGGTGTCCTCCATAATTTGCCTTGGTGCCCTTTATCATTTGCCTTGGTGCAATTTCCCCATTTCTTGGTGCGCCTTGGTACAAGAATTTGAGGAGGTGCGGCAAAAGAGAGCACTGTTGTAGCTTCCGTGTTAATTTGAAGAAAAAAAAGGTTGACGCACATGATTAAAATTGACTTTTTTTTTTTGCCTTACTTCAAAAACTTGTTAAATGCACAGTATTATACCGGTACATGTATGTGACCTGACTTGTCACCACTAAATGAAAAAAAAAATCATTAAATGAAATAAAATATAAATGAAGAAGCCATTTTGCAGTACAGAGAGGCAAAGCCAACATTTGAAGTGTGATACTTTTTGTACCACCCGATTTAAATAAGGACTTTTCATCAACTAGCATGGACTACAAAGGCGGTATTTTTTAACATTGTCATTTTCTCAAAATTTAACTGCAGTCTACATTTGTACATGTATGTACAATGTATTTCCTTTTCTGAACTCAGTTACATGTAGGCCTGCCATCAGAATGTTGTTGTTCCGGAGAATCCAAATATAAAAGTTATCAATTCTATAAAAAACATCAGACTTATCATGCTCATATTGTTGTGTGGGTCACATTGTTTATCTCTGTTCATTTGATACTGATAGTGCTAGTCATATTTTTTTTTTTTTTGTATTTTGAGGCGTTTAACACATTGCAAGTTGTACAATTTAAGAAGTGGATGGTTTTTTAAATGTTATTCTGTTACTACATTGGTGTATGTACATGTAAACTTCACTCACCAAATTTTTGTCGTATTAATTTTTTTCCTTGTTTTTTACCCCTGAATGGAACTGTAGGTGATGAAGACAAAAGATGTTTTTCCAAGTTTGGTTCCAATTACGTATATGAGGAGGTACTGGGGACGTGTGAATCATGCCGCACCTGCGAGTGTGGTTACATTGCAACGAATCCGCACTGTGTGAAGTGCGTAGGTAGGTCTCGCCTTTCGCAATGGTTAAACAAAGCAAACACTTATCCAGGCAAGAACCACTCCAGATTGTAAGTTTCAGTTCATCATTTGAAAGACATGTACTGGGTTGCAAGACCTACTATTGGAGAATTTCATGCCAAAATTACAGAACTTTACTTTTATTATATCACACCGTAAACAACGTGCATGTTTATAGGGTGGCATGGGTGGCTTGTGCGTAAAGTGTTGCCTGTCGATCACCACTGTGGCCCGGGTTCGATTCCCGGCTCGGACCACATTTGTTGATTCTCGCCTGTGCCACGAGGGTTTTTCTACGGGCTTTCCGGTTATCCTCCTGCAAAAATCAACACTTTCGATGTCTGGCTGTGTTCCGTGGTCAAACATGGGTCGTGCATGTATGGCGACTGCCTAAGGAACCTTTATGTGCCTTCGGGCTTCGGCTAGACCACATTGTAGCTGCATTCTTCACAATAGGCCCCTCTCAAAGGACGCCATCTTTGTAGAAAATTACAAAGTTAAGTCTGCGTATTCAACACCATCAGGTGCATATATGTACGTGTTCTACATAGCCTCGGATGACGGACACACAAAGGGAGAACAATAGATCCTTTCAGTCCTCGGGAGTTGGGTCTTTTGTTGAAAACGGTCCCCTGAAGTAGGTTTGTGTGCTTAGTCTATGGGAGAGTGTTATATTACAGGGACAAAGGGAAACACAAAGCATTGTCCTCAGGAGTATAGTAAAACAAGAGTGCATGCGCCATTGTGTAAAATGTTCTAAACCTATGCGCGTGTTTCTCAAAGTTTCTTCGAAATATAATGCAGCCGATGCGCGTCACGAAAATTTGACGCACAAAATGCCAATGCATTTGGCAATCTGTAGGGTGGTTAGCCCCCCACCCAATTTTTATAATTACTCTCTAAATATACATGTACCCCAAATATTGTTTAAAAAAGTTACAGTTAACTTATGATTGCAGTAAAATTAACCAACTGTTAAAATTGCAGGTTACATTTATTATTTCACAAACTATATAGTTTTCCTGCACAAGCCCTGTTTCATGCTAACATTTTACAATTTCTTGCATTCCTGAATAACTTATTTTTGTTTAGATTTTGGAATTCTGAACTGCCAAACCACTGCTCTGGTCACTGGCACTACACAGCAGGAATCCCCACAGACATCTATGGAGACAATGATTGAGCCAACATCAACAGGGTCGACCACTTTCATGACAACAACACTGCCAACACTGCCAACATCCACTGCCGAGACCAACGAGGGCAACTCAACCTGGAAGATTGTCGTAGGTAGGAATATATTGCAATTTCAGTTGTTTAGCCTAAGCTGATTCAGTATTCGCTCGTACTCAATGCCCCAACAGGCCGCTGGACAGGCTATTTTTTTCTAGATCTATGCATTATGTAATTCCTTGAAGCCTTCATTGGATAGAATTTGTTTGAACAATAACACTGGTCAACCTAGCCCAACTGCCTCTGGCTGTACACTATCACAAGCGCTTGTAGTGCAGTACTTTGCTCCCCTACACACCGAAGCGATTTTGCTACCGATTTTGATCGAGATTATCTTCTCATCCAGGACAGAAATTTCCAAAGTTAGTGTTCCTAATCCTAGTCATAGAGGAAGTCGTTTTCGAAAGCACGTTCCTAATATCTAGAAATCTTCATCCATCTGGCCAAAAAAACGATGATCAGTCTTCAGCTTCCACGAATATTGTCCAAAAAATGTGTCAACACTCTACATGGGATTTCCAAATGTCGGACGCGTTGTAATGTATGCATTATGCAGGCGGGCTTGGGCAAGGTTATGAATATATGCATTGTATAGTTCATGACCTCGTGTTACGTCGGGCGCACGGCGCGGCTGACCATACAAACGCAAGGTCATGAACTGATTGTCGTTTTTTGGCAAGATGGATGAGGATTTCTAGATAAAAGACCGTGTTTTCGAACAGGTATGAGTTCCTCTATGATAGGTACCCTAACTTTGGACATTTTTGTCCTGGTAGCAAAATCGCTACATCACTTTTCAGTGTGTAGGGGAGCAATGCCACTCTGACCGTATTACAAGAGCTTGGGATAGTGTACGGCCAGAGGCAGTTGGGCTAGGGTCAACCCTTCGACCTGTGTATGATATGTGTGCACAGAACGTACATGCAATGGATGTGGCAATTAGTTCCTCACAATGCTTTGCGCGCCTGGTTTTTTTCACAAAATTTTGTGAAGATTAGCCCTCGTTAAGATTAACCCTGTTTACGGGCGACCAAAGATTCGGTATTGCAACTTAATGTAGGAGGTCAAAGGTCATTTGGGATAATCATAAATAAACCAAAACCTGCATTTGTTTTTGAAGGTTCTTTCTGCCATTGTCATCTGTTAGTGCCACATTTAACGTGTACTTGTGCATCATCTCTATCTCGAATGACCTTTGACCTCAACTACATCAATGAGCGGGAACGAAATGCCAAATTTACTTATTTAGGATGAAAGTGGAATCAGAGGTTGTTTATAACACAAGAATCTAACCTGTGGCATCTGACATTGCATATACTAGTGAAGTTCCTGTTCTAAATGTGCCCGTTCTGATCCGCCAAATTGCTTGGACTGCGTTAGACCTACAACGTGGCGGTATAGAGTGCAGTTCCCCCTAAAACAGTGCGCCGTATCTACACCTTACCGTTCCGTGATGCTCCCCTTCAAAAAATGGCTGAGGCCCACCTCACCATCTTCCTCCTTCAAGAAATGGTCAAGCCCATTCAGTCAACCACTTTTTCCACTTGTGTTAACCTGACATACCTGTGGCGCGGTAAAGTGCAGCTCCCGTTCAAAATGTGCAGCAGTGTGTGGCAGGTCTGTATACATGTTTGTATGATCTAGGCCTCCGAAAATGACGCATATTTTGCAGCTTTTTTGAAAACCCATCATCCAAACAACTTCAAACTTGGCACTGCACATTCACAATTTTCAACTTCATACAGTGCCCGGTTCTGGAGATAATCGGAGTACAGACAGACAGACACACAGAGATTTCCGGAATTATAGTAAAATCTAACATGCAAAGTGAAAGTAACAGCATTGATTCAACACATATTTGAATTGAACTTTTGTTGACTGATGGTTTCACAATCTCACCAAGTCAACTTGTCTTTGACATTTTGTTTTCTCAGTGTGCATACTTTTGCCTCCTTTTTTTTTCAAACAGGAGTGAGCGTTGGAGGTACCATTCTTGGGATTGCAGTCCTGTATGCAGTGTTGAAATGTTGTCGCTGTAAAAAAGGTGATATTGATGACTGAATAATTTCCAATATCTTAATTTACACCATTGTTTTGTTGTTGTTCTGAGATATGTGTGTTGCATCCAATGAAAGTTCAACCCTGTGAACTTGTGGCATGCTGCAGATTGTCTTTCATTTGCCCCTTGAGCATGTTGAGGGAAGATGCAAAATAGTGCTTGAGTCATGTGCTTTTTTTGCTTTGTTTTGTGGGAAATCTAACATACGTCCAACCACATGATGTACATGTACAAGGTCGTTGAGGTGGTGGTACCTTAGTTTGGTTTGTAATAGTTTTTTTTACCCATTGGATGTCACATATTAGGTGATGTATCACATTCACTTTTTCAACAGCAGCTCATTAAAGTGTCTGACATGTACGTCCAAATGTACCGAACTGCCCTTGGCTTTTTTTTTTTCTAGATAGAAAGTTGTGAAAACAACATGCGCATAACCATCTAATAAGTGCAAAAGAAGTGAGAGTAGGCTGAATTCAACATGTGTGTGTGTGCTTTTATTTTCTTTTACGTTATTTACTAGCACCCGGGGGTACACAAGAAACACAGCCCCCAGAGGAGACTCATCCGATGACAGGCCGCCCTCAGGAATCATCTGTCTAGGTTTGATCAAATCTGTCTCAACTGTACTAAGATGAGGAAGACAGCGTGGGATACCACCCAACTTTCTGCCAAATTACGTACTGTAAAAATAAGTTGACAGTTTTAACAAAGGGATTATGGTGGACAAAATATTGTGAATAAAATAAGAAAAGTTAATGTTCCTTCAATTCATTGTGCAGCTGTGCGCCAAACAACTCAGTAAATCATTAGAAACAAAATACCAAAATAAAAAGCTTGCTTGGATTTTACACAGTTTATGCATACCTGGAAGTTGACATAATTCTTTATGATGTTAACAGTTTTTGGTTCTTGGTAAATGCCTGTCTTACTGAAGCATGTACATGTAGGTCTAGAATTCATGTGCAGTAGATATAGATTGCGCAATGTTCATGTTTCTGTTACAAGTGTAGTAAGCTCTAATAACACCTAGCCACTATCACAGCATTGTGCTTAAAAAGCACAGTGCAGCGATATATGCCTACCTGAAGGTAAAAAGGAATAATGCTTGAAATTAGGGTTGTCCTGAATATTTCGAATATTCGATCATCGACTGAATATTCGAATAGCTTTTTGCCACTTATTTATGAATATTTGGAAAAAAAAATACTATGCATATACACACACTACTGTGATGTTACTCTATCATAAAGTTGCAGCGTTTCATTGTCACGTGCTACTTTTTTGGCTGACGGTAACTTTTTTGCTGACGGCTGTTCGTTGGTTCTATTCTTTTAGCAGGTAAAGCCACGGACAATTTATAGTACTTATTGAGTGTGTTCGATAACTTCTCCTAATAATCAAACAGCGTTCGATTTACCTCTCACATGACTTCTCGCGCTTACTCAAGCCTGGCCCAAGTAACCGACTCGCTGAGCCAGTTACTTGGTTAAGTATCCCATAAGGCCATGCAATTAAATATGGCTGCCAACGTGGCGTGCGCCTCAGGCCGTGTCCGAAACGGGCTTCCAGAGCTACGGCTACGTCTATTGTCAGCGCGTCCCCGCGTATTTTCAATGGGCGCGGACCTATACCTAGCTCTAGACAACATGATTGGGATGCAGCCTCATTGTCATGTCAAAGTTCAACTTTCCAGCCCTTGCACGAAACTTTACCTGAAACTGTTTGTTTATTTAGCTCCACTGCGCATGTCTGTCATCACGCGAGGAGCCAGGCACGAGTAAGCGGGGGAAGTAATCGAACGCACTCTATAAACTGACATACAGATCCGTATCATTTGATTGGTGGAACTCACATCACGTGACATTCATTATTCACTGCCATTCACGCCAGGGCTCAAAAAGTCCCATTCGCCCATGGGGAATGGGATTTACTAGATCATCCTTGTTCCATGGCGCAGTATTTGTGTGCAAATGCATGCTGGTGTGCACATTGAGCGACGCAGTGGCAGCTGGCAGTTTCGAATATTTGAATATTCAGTCAAACACAGTTTCGAGTAATCTAATCTTAATTATTCGAAAATGGACAGCCCTACTTGAAATATGTAAATAAAGTTTATGCAAATAGGACAACCTAGTAGAAAAAAGGTTGCCCAATATTGTTTAATCCCATCTCAGGGCCCTTACGCTGATTTTTTTTTTAATTAATTTTTAAATCTTGTTTTTTTTAATGTTGTTGACGAGTATGGTGACCCACTCAACAAATGAATGATGGGAATCAACAGGAACTGCCAACAATTTTACATTCATTCAAATCTTAAAAGTTGCGTTCCCTGTGCTCTTCAACAATTTTTTTTTTCTATTAATAAATTTTCATCTTATTATGTTTTATTTCAACCAATTAACCTCTTGTTTTCCCCTTTTTTTGGATGTCCGCCAAAAAGGTTTTGTTTTGCTAGAAAAACAGCAGTGCAGAAAATTAATCTCTATTTCTTCACAATGAAATTTAACTGGTGGAAAAAACACACTTCTTTGAAACCTCGTTTTGTGGCATCCAGTCGCAACCTTTTTACTTGACCACTACCAGTAGGTCCTGCGATGGGATTAAGTGGTACGATTGAGTCAGGTTTTGTCGGCTCAATTACAAATTGAAGGGTATGTCTTGCAAGTTATGATGACAATATATGAAGGGATTGTCTTGCTAGTTACAATGTATGATGACAAGATCAGATGTGATGTCTTGGATCATGTAGAAGGGAAACAGCTACAGGGGTCTATTTGATGGTAGCGTCAGTTTCTTGCAAGCTGTTCTCCTTCGTGTTGTAATTTTGTTAGGCAGCCTGCTATGGAATTAATAGATTCCCTTGAAGACAGAACAAGTCTTCAAGATGGAACTTTGTTGTACATGTGTATTTCTGATAGCAGACTCCCCGTGAATTTTTCTCACGGGGAAATGCTTCTCGATAGGCTTTGGTGACTCTGAATAAAAACAAACAGACTACTTGTACTACTCTTTGGAAGTAATTTAGGGAGTTAATCCATCCTTGTAATGATCATGTTTTATTGAGGCAATAACCAGTATATATTAGTGGATTTGATTGAACTTCCCCCTCCCCCTATTTTCCCGATATTGTTTTTGCTGTGGATATGTGGTGTGGTTTTGGAACAGAGTTCTGACTCGCGGGGCAGAATATAAATTAATGCCCTCCCGCACTCCCCTCCAATTTGGAGTTACCCAAGCCTACAAATGTATATATTCTTTTCTCAATGTACGGTACTTTTTAGCAAATAGTAAATGACAATCAGTTTGAGCAGTTGTAGGTACTTGCTGTACAAAACTTGGATGCGAAAAATATGGGAATGGTTGGTAAAATGGTGGAATGAAGTTTGATCCTCTTTAGTAGATAATGAGTTATTGTTTTTTCGGCGAAGATCGTTGTGTTTGTGAATGTTAAGAATTACTGGTGTTGGGGTACAAAATAAATGCTGAAATTGCCAGATACAAATTCACTTTATGTACTCCGTAATTTCGTGGATATTTTTGTGTTCTGTCTTGCTTATCTGTCTAGCCCTTGCAGTTCTCAAGTTAAAATTGTGGAAGTGTAAAAACAGGTTTTATTAACCCATTTTTGTCAATAAATCGATTATTTTTTGCCCCAAATTGTCCAAATAATATGTGTCAGAGTATTAAGAAAAGTTCCTTTTGCATCAACTAGCCTTTCTCTACATTGTTTGGGAAATTGACACTTTTTGCCCACATTTACCAAAACTGAACTTTTACTTTTTTAACTTTTCAGCCAAAAAAAATTATTTGCTTGAAAAAAGCAGGGCAAGTGCTTAAAAGGCTCTATAAAGACACAAGTCTATCTCGCCAGGGAAAGATTCCCATATCTGGCCATCAGTTTGCACCCTGTGCACAAACCCTACGAGACTGGTCTGAAAAAAATGTTTTCCAAGTAAATACTTCAATATTTTCTCTGCTAAATTTGACTTTTTTTTAGGACATATCACTTTCTGATGGCTGTCTTGGGTCTCAGGGCCCTGATGGCCATATACATGTATATGGGACAGAATCTTTTCCAGGCCAGATTTGCTATTTAAAACCAAAATTGCGTTGAAAATGTGGGGGAAGTTATATTTTTTTTCGAAGTAAATGGATTATTTTTGAAAAAAAAAGGTGTCTGATGACTATTACATTTATACAGGCCTCTGCATTGTTTGGGAAAAAATTTCAATTTCTGGCAGAAGTTTTGATATTGAAAAATGTTACAGAATAATGTTGATGACACAAGACAAATTAACAGAAAGTAAAAGAGGGTATTTTAAGGTTTAAATCGATGTATGCTTTGATCATCTGCGAGACTTCTGAGTTTAAAATTTAATTGGGGGATTTTATCATTGGTGCCGTAGGCTACATGGTGTGCACCCGTACCCGGTACCGGGCCGTAAAAACAAAAATAGCGGGTCAAATCCTGATGCACAGCGCCCTCTAATAATAAAAGTAGTCAGATCCCCTTCTTGGGAATTGATCACTGCGGTTTATTGCGTATGTCTACAGGGAATCCAACACACTTACAATCGTTACGCGCGGAAAATATAATTTCCCGCGAAAGTTAGCGAGTGATTGTCAACAACACAAGTACACCGTACACGTCCTTTAGTGGTAGGCCTGTTTGTATCTGAATGAATGGTGCACTTATCATCGGCAGCAGGGGATTTGTTTTCAAGCGGAGGGTTTGTGATATATTCGTCCGGCTTCAGACGCATCTATCGCAGTACAGAAGTACACGTTTCGCGGTACAATCGCAGTGGCCTTGCAGCTGCAGACGACGAAGTCTAACTGAAATTGAAGCGAGTTCGTTTGTTTTCCGGAACGCTCCTATCCTCACGTTTAACATGGCTCAGCGATCGATAATGTAAGAAATGGCATATGAATTAATATGATATCTGTTTTCACATTGCCACACTTGATACAATTCATTTTAATAAACAATTTAATTTACATGATTTGAATCCTGTTTTACGTAACCTATCAAAAATCATGCCTGTACTGGGGCTGGGCCAAGTTTTACCTGGCTAAGTAAGATAACACATGTAAGACTGCTGGTGTACCTATGCAAAGGTTGAAATGGACTAGACTTTGTGCAGAGCTTTGTGTGGAAAGAGATGGTGGCTACGTTGAAGGCATTGGAACATGAGCATGATGAGGGGTTAATGTCAATTAAAACTTAAAAGCACTTACTAAGATACTTATGTTAAATCATTGTGTCATAATTCAATTAATTGGACATGTTGAATAAATTGTTAAAAAACAAAGGATGTCTTCTTTCTAGTTTAAATAAGGCAGTGTATATTTTGCCGGAGACGGCAATTACCTTTAGTAAACGTTAGTTTGCCGGATATGCACTGAACATGCGCAGTTACTGTTTTTTTGTACATTTTCCGGTGACAAGTTTTAGTCTGGCTCCATGCCAACATTATCGTTGTTACCTCGTATTCACAAGATGGGATTCAGACCATTTTATAATTTCGGACTTTATTTCCCTTTTAAAAAAAATCCTCCAGAGCCACAAATCTGAAAAAGAAAATGTAATACTCTGCAAAAACTGTTTGAGACATGTCAAAATAATAAAAGAAGAATATTCTTATTTATTTGGGGATGAGAAATTTTTTTTTTAAATGTGGTGCGGTCGGAATCGAACGCGAGTCATCCCGCTTACTAGAGCCTTTGCTTAACCATTACATTTACACCAAACGTGCTACACAACTTTTGGTGGGAATTTAATACATGTTATAATTCAGCCCTATTTTAAAGAGTACAGCGCCCTCTGTTGATATGGATTGCCGCCGGCAAACCTTTAGTAATCGTTAGTTTGCCGTCATTACCTCCGGCAAAACATCCACTACCTTTAAATAAAGCCATTCCACATGCCCAGAATACCAGTTACCCTTTTGCACAAACTTGGCCCAGTGTAGGTTTTGACCCTTGACAATGACAGAATAACAATGAATGCTCAGTCATCTGTGGCCACAGACACACAATCAAGATATCATTGGAAAGAGGACACATTGGCATTGCACATGATCTTTAACTTATTAAAGAATAATTATTAGATTTTTTATACATTTTGTACCATTTTGTTTCCCTTTTATGATACACCCTGTCTTTGCCTACATTTAAATGTGCGCATGTGCAGCTCTACATATGTGCCAACACAAGAGTGGCTCTATGGCCGATTAAAGAAAGGCTCGGTATAAATAACATTTACAAACAGAAAATTGGTGTGGCTGTCTGGGTCTTCATCAGTAATACTTCAGCTATCCTACTAGGGTACACAATCAATACTTCCAAATTTTATTTGTTCTTCATTTTTCTCAGGTCGTTTTTTAGTCCGAAGCGGCAGATTGGAACAACTGACAAGGCAGCCTCCACTGGAAAAACAAAGTGAGCGGAAAAATATATGCAGTTATATATATATAGCAAGAGAGAGATTTTACACTGCCTGAAAAATAAACTTACAAATGTTTTGTTACTTTGAAAACTGTTAATAATCTATACACCAGTTTTGGTTGGGTTACATTAATCAGTGAAAAAGTATGCCACCAAGTTGTCATTGGTAGCTCCATGTGTGGTGTAAGGCCTACCATACGGTACCCTAAAACATATAACAGGCATGCAACTTTTCATCGGATCTGCTGATTTCCACGTTTTTTTTACTTCTCATGAATGCCATTACAAATTGATGAAAAACACTGTACGGAGTCTTGTGTGCTTTTGAATTTCCTCGTTTTTTTTCTTCTAAATTCCCAGTTGCATGCCTTTTATTAGGACCATTCATTTCAAGAAAATAGGTCTGAGAACTACATATGACATTATAAGAACTTGTGGGATGTCTGTTTGCAGGTACTTTTTGAGCTAGGAATAGAACATGAATTTCAGTTTCATTGTGGTCAAAAGAAAGGGAGTTTTAACATCATAACGGCATTGATTTTCTATCATCCATCAAAGGGATGACAGATCTCCTCTGAAAGTGAAGAACGGCACAAGCCTAGAATCGCCAGTTCAGCAAACGCACAAGAAGTCGCGCCGCATCCTTGACAGCGATGAAGAAGACAGCAGTGAGAACGTGGGCGGGACCTCGCCCACCAAGACCCCACCCAGAAAGACCACACCCGCAAAGACCACACCCGCTAAGTCCACACCAATGGAGGACGCGCCCGTGGAAGACACGCCCAAAAGAAAGGTCAGCAAACTATGGAAACTTCATTAGTACAGCATCTGTGCATTCTCATTACAAGCTTCACAATTTATCTGGAAGTTGGACTTCCAAATCCCACCTGGTCAATCAGCAGATCAGCATTTCTGAGATATGGTGGACTCATTAGGTTGCTTTTTGGAATGAGTGAAAATCTTTTGTATTTAGGTCAAAAAAAGAAATAGTTCTGCTTCCGGTTTCCCTACCTACCCTATTCTGAGAGCCCCTACCCTATTTTTTTATATGGGAAAAATGAGGAAAAAACACCAAAAGCCATCAATTTCTACCTTTTGCCCTTGACTACAAGCGGACGCCTCCATGTGATCGTACACAAAAAAAATGGGGAAAAAAATCCCTACCTACCTACCTACCCTATTTTCAAATGCCATGTAATTGAAAGCAGATGTATTTTTTTTGGGCCTTACCCACATTCATTACATGTAGCTCCAAATTTTCCCTTCCAAATATGTCTGTCATATCCCAAAAATGTAATTGTCTCCGTTCAACCCAAAGGTGATTAAGAGAGAACCCAGTCTCCCCATTCCCATTTGTTTTGTGTTCTTGGGCTAGACACTTTACTACAATTGCCTCACTCCATCCAGAAGTATGAATGAGTAAATTCTTTTGTATTTACCCACATTCATTAACTCTAAATTGTTCCCTCCTATTATTTCTGTCATATCTCAAAAAGGTTAACTTTCTTTGTCCAACCCAAATGTTATGAAGAGAGAACCCAGTTACCACATTTCCGATTGTTTTGTGTTCTTGGGCAAGACACTTTACTACAATTGCCTCTCTCCGTCCAGAAGTATGAATGAGTAACCGTGAGGGTAGAGACCAGAGTGCGCTGAGCTTGAGGTGCTGCAGAAAACTGGTCTCATGGCATCATGAGCAGGATAATTACATGTAGTTGTGAAGTGCCTTGAGTTATAAAGCACAGCATAAGAGCCACAATCTATTGGTATGTGTTCAAATGGCAAAACTGCTTGACAATTATTACGAGAATGGCGGAAGGTTCTTGTTGAAGCATTCAGCATTTAATTTTACGACATGAAATAATTGACCTTGTTTTATCCTTTTTTTATCAGCAGGCCACAACTGCTGAGCAGATGACCTCTGACCCAGTGCCACCATCACCCGTGACCCCCTCACAACCCATACCAACAGCCTCACCGATGTCCACACCAGGCAGTATTCCTCTCAGAAAAACTGGTACGCAATCTTGGTTTGTACCATCCGGATGATTGGGGCCAAATTTCACGACTCTGTTAACCACAGCTTTCCGCACTTTCGATCACCATTCTGTGCTTAACGCGATAAAAAAATGAGCTGACCCAGTAAGCAAAATGGACCACACTTTTTAGTTCATTGCCTGCACGGGGACCCATCATTTGTCAAGAAAAAGGTGAACAAGCCCAACATTTACAGATAACTTTTTCATGTTGTAATATTGTTTTAGCAAATAAACTAGTTTGTTTTACAGGCATGCAACTTTTCCTCGGATCAGCTGATTTCCTCTTTTTTCACTTCCAATGTTTGCCATTGAAAATTGAAAAACAGTGAACAACGTCTTGGAAATATTTGAATTTCCTCTTTTTTGTGACTTCCCAGTTGCATGCCTGTGTTTTAGCACACTCAAGTATCTTGATGCATAACGTTTCACAAATAAAGTATTAGTGATGAGCTGTGCACTTATAAAGGTGGATAATTCTGTTTTGTCATTTCTATAATTAACCCATTATTAAATGTGATACATTAGTGACCCCAAAAAAGTTGTGCAAGCAGACATCTTTAAATTTCTCAAAAAGTAGCCAACATCAGCATTTCATGTTGATGGAGCATATTGTTTGTACTCCTGTGTATAATCACAGCAAAAAGTTGGTGAAAATGCATTCACACAAACCAGAGACACAACAGATAATAAATGGCAATGTGTTTTTCACCCGTTCCAATGTGATTTGCACAGTTAATGAAAAGACCCATTGCAGCGTGCCGGTTGAGCGATTTCCAATGCAGTGTATAATTCCCATTGGAATGGTTGAAAAACACATATCCTTTTTTAATCTGTTACAGCTCTGGTTTGCATGAGAGGGTTTCCATGACATTTTCACTGATTATGCACAAGAGCATAATTAATGTGCTCCATCGAAATGAAATACTTGTGTCAGGTACTTTTTGAGAAATTTAACAATATCTGCTTGCACAACTTTTTTTGGTTACCCTGGCCTGTAGTACATTGTGTTTATTCCTTGAATCAATAAAGCCATAGAGAGCTGGGTTGGTTGGGGCAGTAGAGGGAGTAACAGACAGGGCGGTTTAGGGCGGTCAAGGAACCAATGGAACAGGGAAATCAACAGCAGGGAATTTGTACAAACATAATTTTGACAAAGATATTGCATTGTTTGTTTGTGAGCAGCGAGGAAACACATGCGAAAGAGGAAAGCAGAGGAACAGAAAGAGGAGGAGGGAAAGGATATTGCCACGCCCATCAAGGGGGAATCGGAATCTAAAAAGATCAAGACGGAGAAGTCGTTGACCCCAGTAAAGGCATCAAGTGTAAGGAACAGAGTATTTATTTTGCTTTAAGTTTCCTTGTAAAAAATACAAGAATACAACTGTTAATTTCAAGTGGCTGTTTTCAGTGATTAATTGGAGTAAAATTTAGCATTTTTAATGTGGTTTATCCTTTGAGAAAATGCTTTTTTTTTTAAATATTAAGTGATTAACAAAATCTGCCCCTTCTTGAAAGGAAACTTTGTGAAAAAAAAAATGTATTGAGAAAAGAGCTCTTGTCAAAATACTGTTTGCCTTATATATGAGGTCTATTTTGGTCAAATTACCGGTATATTTTGCGTAGCCCCACAACATTTGACAGGTTACAAACAATCCACTTGAAAATGAAAAGTCGAAAAATAACCAGGTAATTCCTTGTCATTTCCCAGCATTAAATTGAGGGATTTTTTTTAATTACAGAAAGCAGCTGAAAGCAGCACAGAAATTGATTCACCCGTGTCAAAGGTCAAAGACGAAATGATGGATGGAGTTGAGGAAGCAGATGACGTGACAGAGGCAAAGGCTAGCGAGGAAGGTGAGTCTGATGTGCAGTGTTTAAACAGTGTTACGATGAAGTGAAGTCTATCACAAGTCCAGCGACAAATAAATCACAAGCATTCGACTGGAATCAACCATGGGCGTCGCGAGGGGGGCACTTGCCCCCCCCCCCCCCCCCCCCCCCCCCCCCCCCCCCCCCCCCCCCCGCCCAACCCCCAGAAAACAAAAACAAAACAAAAAAGAGGAAAAAGGAAAAAGGACCAAAAAAAAGGAAAAAAGTGCGAAGCCATATTGCTGTTAATTTGATGGGGTGGGGGGGGGGAGGTAGGGCAAATGCTCCCTTTGGGGAAAAATTTGCTTTGCACCCCCCCCCCCCCCTCCCCCTCCCCTGGAAAAAAATCCTGGCGACGCCCATGGAACCAATAAACTGACTAGACATTAATGTTATCACCAGCTTCTATTGCAAACCCTTGTGATGGATTTGTGATGGATTTGTGATGGATTTGTGATAGACTTGCATAGCTGCCAACTGTTACTAATTTTTCGTAATTATTACGAATTGTTTGTTAAATTACGAAAATACGATTTGCCACTAAAACATTACGAATTTCCTATTTTCTACCTAATGAAAAAAAAATACTTGTAAAGTATCGTTTTTGACCGAAAACTTCTGGCGAAATGTCGCGATAATGGATGGACTGGTGACAAGTCTATTAAGAATGCAGTCAAGCACCTGATAGACATCAATGTAGTGTGCACAGTGGAGTACTTGAGGACCAGACTAAAACTATTTTTCAATGGTGTGTCATTTGTGTGCATCTCGTGAATGTGTGACTGTGTGTACTGTATGTGAGTACTTTTCAGTGACGATCGTGAGCACATTTGGTCGCTTATTGCCGGGTTGAGACCCATCAGTGCGAGAATTTAATCATGGAATTTAATAAGAGTATGGTTCGAATAATTGGTATTATAGTTTGAGTTTGTCACAACGTCCAGAAAAGATAAATCAGCATGCGTTTGCAAGGTATGTTGGCGGGATATTTCTATTGCATACGGTCATGACGGTGGCCCTAAATCATTGTGTGTAAAAACATTGATACGAACTCGAAACTCCACATCGATAGCATGCATCTCAAAAAAATATGCGCACATTTCATTATTGTTATTATTTATTTGACTCCAACAAACGAATACAGACATTAAAACAAAATAATTAAAAAAAAATAAAAAAAAATAAAAAATGTAATTTTTTTTTTTTTTTTTAAATCTTTTGGCCTACATTACATTATTATTCACAAGAAGAAGGGTATGCACACGTATGTATGTGTACATGTAAACCATGTACCTGTACTCGATGTTGGTAAAGCTTTTGATAAAACGAGCAGTTGAAAATGACTGCGCGGGTTGATTACTAATTGGGATTTTGAAATGTTGGCAGCTATGGACTTGTGATGGACTTGTGATACGCTTGTGAACACAATTGTAAACATTGCTCTTTCCCGTCATCTTTGGTCCTTCAACTCAAGTGGGATAGTTCAAAGCTCTGCATAGTCTTTTGTTTAGTTGTCAGATTCATTTTAATGGATACTACTATCAAAACTTCAAAATCTCTGCAAATTTGCTTGTTTTGTACAATGATAAAAAGTGAAAACGAAGTGATCCCATGCTTTTCTTCCTCACTGGAAGTATAAAGCATGCTATCATGCTTTTCCCCATGGAGGATTTGAAACACGCCGTAGGCTTGAGCTGTTAATGTTGATTGGTTGGTTGGTTGACAGTTTGCTCGGCCATATATTGTATTCATGCAACTCGAGTATTACAGCTTTGCTTCCGAAGGCCGGTTTTGATAACACTGATGTGCATGCGTCTAATTTGCATATTTTTGCATATTAGATCACGCCCCAGTCGTTTTCGTTTTCTGTACTCTCGAGTACAGAAAACGTACCAGTACGGCCCGGGTGTGCGCACGGACGATGCCATATGCCGTCTTCACAGGTTACCCGGCCGCCATTGGTTGTACCACTTGGTACTTGTTCGTCATCAAGAAGCAATCCGTGTTCGTAAATTGACATCGCTGTGATAAGCAAATCTATCTGTCCTTTATTTTGTATATTTGAACTAAGTTTTGATCATTTCATGCAGTCAAAGTTGAAGCCAAACAAGCAAAGAAGAAAGAGAAATCTCTCAAGGTCAAGAAATCTCCTGAGGCAAAAGACAAGAAAGCTGAGACGAAAAAGACCAAAACGCCACCGAAGAAAGGCTCCAAACGTGAAGTGCTGAAACCATCAACAAATAATGGTAACATTCCAAAATGCGATAGAAGAACATCATTTGAACCGGGCATTGGTGCATTCCAGTATTTTTTTAAAAAAATTTAAAAATGAGTCAGTATGTCAGTATGAGTCAGTGTTTTGTAGTTAAGTACATTTCCATGAGGAGTATCAGTACTTTGCCATGACTACGACTTTGAAAGGTCAATATGGGTCATTTGAGGTCATTTGCAAATGCACACAAAAAAATGCACAAAATTGGACTGTTTTAAGAACACAAAACATATAGGGATCGAACGCAGAAAAAGGGGACACGTGCGGTCCACGGACTGTGTAACAACACATTCTTTTTGCCAATTACTTTTTATTAACTCTTATCTTATTCTCTTTGTTAATAATATTAACAAGTGATGTACCGTAACTATCTATTGTTTTCTCATTTTGTAGATGAGAAGACCAAAACCAAACCAGAAAACTCAGAGGACAAGACAGAAACGGCAAAATCACCCAAAGTGAAGAAAGAACTTGCATCCCCCACAAGCAGCAAGGCAGCTAGTAAGAAAGAAGAGAAAGGGGACAAAGATGAGAAAACTCCTGTGAAGAAAGAAAGCAAAACACCGGCCAAGAATGTGTTTGGGTAAAAGAAATGCTGATTTTTAAATTGCCACATAATTTTGTAAAGCACTAGAAGGTCCACGAAACTTAACCCTATTCCAAAGTTATAACCCTCCATGCCGAGCCTCAAATGTTAGCATTCACCACTAGTGGCGGGAGAAACCGGAGATTTAAAAATCCGGTTATCCTTTTTTTTTTTCAAACCAAGTAACGGTTATCCAATTTCACCAGAAGCTCCCGCTGACGAGCTCACATTCATGCCAACAAAAAGTGATCAGTGAGGTGCCACACGCAAAGTCCTCAATGATGATTGGGTATAGTTTGCAGGATTCAATGACCTCTTGGCATTTAAAGCTATAGTCCATCATTTGCAGCCATCCGAAAAAGTAACTGGCATATTATTGTTGAAAAACATACTTGGTTGAAAGATAGTAAGTGGACTAAACTCCCTGTGAAATTAATCTTTCTGGCAAGCTATCATGTTGAAGTAATCAACGAAAGAAGGCCTTTCCAACGGTGCATCTTAAGACGCACCGTAGGAAAATTTAAATTAGTAGTTCGTTTTGTTATTCGGCGCAGCGCGCGCAAGCATTGGCACGACGCACACGCGCGCGCGGTTACTATAATTCGTCGGATCCGTGCGCGACATCGTGTAGCTGCAATCGGCTCAGTGAGAACGCGTCTCGGACGCTGAATTCAGGCCCAATTCAAAACATGATTCAGCAACCTTTGATTTGAAATCGAGATCCTGGAATGCTGTTTTTCTCGGAATATACAGCTGAAGCTGAGCTGAAACTTCATCAGGTTAGTTGCTCAGTATGCTTCATTAGATTTTGAACACTTTTGTTGCTTCAAACGAACAAATGCACAAATTACAAATGATGGACTATATCTTTAAAAAACACTCCAAAGCTGAAGTGGTGAAAAAAATGGGTGGGAACTCTCTGATCAGTCGAATGGGTAGGCTATTCATCAACCAAGAATACCACTAGTAAGTGAATTATGTTACAATCAGAGACTGTGGAGCAAATTGGGGGATGTTCCAGTTGTTTTCTTTAGCCTCTGTCCCAAAAAATGGAAGGCCAATACAAATTTAAGGTCGGTTTTGAATATCGGGTTTTTGAAATCTAAACTGAATAGTGGAGTTGGAAACCAATTTTACAAAATTTGGAACTATTTAAATCTTTCTTTATAATAATAATCCACAGAATGTTTTCTAAGGCAGCTACATCAGACAACATGGAGTACAATCCCGGGGCCTCCCGTTATCATCCAGTCAACGATGCTTGCTGGAAGCAAGGAGAGAGGTACTGTATATTGAACAATTGTTGACTGCTGTGATGTGGGATATGGCCTTTTTAACACCAAAGGGGAGGGGCGCATAGCACCTTAAATGAAGCACAGGATACCGATGTTGTGTTGTAGCAAACTTGAGGCACAGTAAAGATGGAAAATCGCACGCTGTTCACAAACTTTTCAGCGGTTATGCTATTACACGTGCATGCAGCAGGAATGGCATGTGCAACTTAGAATAGCGCATTATGTGCGGAGCGCGATATGAACCGTAGAGTATGGGATAACATTACACTGTTATTCAGTGGCGTCACCAGACTTTTCAGTCTGGGGGGGCACAGGGGGGGCACCAGCATTTGATGGGGGGGGGCACTTAGGTGGATACGGATCGCCGTCCTGGGGGAGGGGTCTAAGGGGAGGGGGTGCCCCCCTCCCCTTTGGAAAATTTTCGCATACGGAGGATGGGCTAGATGCAAAATGGTGCCACATTTGATGCTAAATTCGATCTGAAGATATCTCCAGAAATTGCTATTTAACCAACTCAGATGATGGGAGTTGAATATAACAAAATATATATATATTTTTTTACCAACCCAAATCTCAGATGGGGGGGCACTCGGGGGGGCACTAGGTTTTCCAGGGGGGGCACGTGCCCCCCCTGGCCCCCCCTTGGCAACGCCACTGCTGTTATTGCCATGGATCGACAAATCAGGATCAAGGATTCAAATTTTGCTTGAGATCCCATGTCCTGTACTTTGTGTGTTTTCTCAGGGTTCCATACATAGCACTGGCCAAGACCTTTGACATCATCGAGGCCACCTCCGGCCGGCTGAAGACCATCGAAATCCTGACCGACTTCCTCACGTCCGTCATGGTGCTGAGCCCCAAGGATCTGGAGATGTGCGTGTATCTGTGCCTGAATAAGATCGCGCCAGCGTATGAGGGGATAGAGCTGGGCATAGGAGAGACGCTACTCATGAAAGCTATCGCTCAAGGCACAGGTAAGACAGGAAATGTAAAATGATGTTATCAGGTGAAGAATTAGTGGCAATGACGTATGCTTGAACTCTTACCAACAATTGAATAAGGGGATTATTGTGTGTTGGAGCACTTGTAAAAGTGTGGTTTAAAAATGGTTAGGTGCCTTGCTGCCGATAGCCATAATCTGCGATCAGGACCTTAACCGATTTTTAACATCACATTTATAAATGCTCTAACATTTATCCCCATTCTTAAATAACTTTTCTTTTAAAATCCACAAAAAAGAAGAAAGTGGATAAACTTCCAATGATTTTCGTCTACAATTTTGCTTAATGTTCGAGGCCACTTAAATGCTTAAACAGCAGCGTTAACACTGACCGGTGTCTAAACGCTAGTTTAAGACTACCCGCATGACGAGCTCTTGACCAATGGGAATAGGTAAACTGTCTCAGGTTTTTTTTTATCAGAATTAAAAACTGTTGTAAGGGTATAAAAAAGGGGCAAGGTTGTTTGACAAACTGGAAAATGTATGGCTCTTCATAAAATACACTGAATCCATTGTACTGTTTGTCATAAAAATATTAATGAATTTTATGGACCATTTCAGGGCGTACGATGGAGAAGGTGAAAGCGGACGCAGCACAACAGGGAGATTTGGGACTAGTTGCTCAGGTTTGTCCAAACTAAAAACTTAAGCTGGAGTTTTTTCTTACAGCTATTCATTTCTCAATTTTAGTTTAATTAATTTACCCATTTGTGGGGGGGGGGGTCATAGCTGGGCGAGGATGCCAAAAACTTGTAATGTTTGTAAATAGGTCGTATTTTCAGGCAAATGAGGACACAGATTGAATCTTAGACAATCTTTTTTTTTGGAATTAACAGAGCAGCCGTAGCAACCAGCGTACTATGTTCACCCCGGCGAGACTGACTGTGCTGAAAGTCTTCAACACATTGAAGGAAATCGCCACAATGTCTGGCAATGCTGTAAGTTCACTCAACTCATTGGGAATGAAAAATTGATTACTTGAATTTACATTTCTATTGCTTATGCACAATGTATCGTTTTGTAAATTCTGATTATATCTTTTTATATCTAAACCTGTGAGCACCTGTACTACATTGTATTAATTCAATGAAGAATCCATAAAATCAATGAGTGCTTAGGCGGTAGCCCTGTGCGTGATACGATGGTCGTGACCAAACAAATTTATTGAAACATGGCTAGGACACGGGAAATTAAAAAAATTGTGGCTCCAACCTTGGATCACACTCACACTCCCATCCCCACCCTGTCCTCTTCCCATCCAAGCTGTGGCGTCAAGTTTATCACGTGCTTATCCCGTGCTTGCAATAAGAAGGTCTGGGTAGGCACTGTGTAAGCACTGCATAGACGTAGGAGACTTGTGAGTGAATTTTGTGAATTCCAGTTGCATGTCTGTCAGTTTCATATCTTAATCTTTGTTTCAGTCCATGTCTAGGAAGATTGACAAGATTAAGGGCCTTCTGGTTGCCTGCAGGGATTGTGAATCCAAATACATCTTCAGGTAAGATTCATTTTTGGATAATACTCAACATTTGAATTTTTACTCCTTCACGGCCTGTGACATTTATGAATATTGACACAATAAAAATGTTTTGCCAGAATAAGTTTTTTTGTAATTTATTTTTTTTTTTTCCTTCAAATTAACCACAAAAGGAAACTGAGTAGGGGCATTATGAATAATTTTAAAGTCTCAGTTGAGCTCAGTTGGTAGAGGACTGGTACAGCAATCCAGAGGTCGCATGTTCAAACCCAGCTACAGTCAATTTCTTTGTTCAACTTTATAATTAGTGCCAGAATAACTGTTAAAGTGAAAAAATACATGTATGGGCCAGTGGCTCTCGTCTATACAGAACTTTAACTTTTTATGCTTGTTTTAAACATTTTCGATTTGCTGCACATGTTCCAGGTGATTGAATGTATATCATAAATTTTGAGACGTTTCATAATTTAAACTTTTCTACCCTCTATACTGTTTTATTCAAGAAATTTATTGCAAATATGATCTCAATTCTCAGGTTTTAGGGTTAATTTATTTTCTTTTTAATTTCCTTACTTATCCGTGATGATAATATTTCTGTACTAGATTTCTTTGAGCACTGAATAAGTAGAGTTTTGTGTGGAACAGATATCAGCCAGTTTGAATTTAATCCTATTTGTCTGACTTCCTGGTTTTTTTTTCACTTGTAGATCATTGGGTGGGAAACTGCGAATTGGCCTTGCGGAGCAGTCGGTTCTTGTTGCTATTGGTCATGCAGCCGTCATTACTCCCCCTGGAATAGGTATGGACATTTTAATTATTACTTTTCCTCCCTCTGAAATATAATTCTCTCATAAAAATAATACAGTTTTCTCCGAGCGTTTGTGTATTTGCAAGTTTTGATTTGTAAGAAACTGGAAATATACCATATGTGACCCGCTCTGCAAAAATGAGTCTGATGTCGCATAATTTGAATTCAAGCTTTTGCCATTTTGAAATGGAAACAGTAAAAATTTGCTCAAAATTTGGATTTTTTTGTTTTTGTTTTATTTTGGTTGTTTGATAGTTTTAGTTCAAATATCTTACACAAAAATGTAAATATTGTAAGAAAAAGAAAAAAAATTATGAATCTTTGGTGCTTTTCTTGGTTAGTTACAGTGTATTCGTCATTTTTCAAAGCCCTTTTTCTCCATTGAGACACTTCTAGCTTTGCAAAAACTTTACAGAATGAAACAAGCACAACAATTCAACCAAATGTCCTAGAGAGGTCCATGATATACCAAATGAAAGCTTATTTCATTCCCATTTTATTAATGTAGTTAACTCAAAATGTCAGTTTTGCCACAACAGACTCATTTCTGCAGAGCGGGTCACATATGTGGAACAGTCATAGAATAAAAGCAAAATTGTATTAAAGGGAATATACAACATTTGCAAACATCGAAAAATAAAACTACCAAGTTTTTGCGAAATACCTTAACAGGATGTTGGTAAATGACAGTCTAAAGCATCCTGTAAAATTATGGCACCTGGTATACTGTCATTTTCAAGAAAAGTGGTATTTTTGTATCAATTTCCAACGCTGATCGGCCGATCAGCGTTGGAAACAACTGGCTTTTTTTCAAATACTGGCCCCAATTGACCATTGCACTTGTTTGCAATCGATTACAAACCTATGAACGGGTACGAGCAAGCTAGACTGGTTCCCTGACCTTACAATTCCCCAATGTATGTAAACTGCTCTGTTTCTTCTTATATGGAGTCAGGGAACCAGACTACAGGAAAATGATCGTTTTTCTTGGTTTTTATAGCATTTTCGAACCCAAAATCTCCAAAAAGTCAGTGTAACTATATTTGCTTTATATTTCCAACCCCCCAATTCCATCCATTTCTGAAAATTACAGCAAAAGCAAATGATGTATATTCCCTTTAAAGGTATTTTAGTTTTGGAAACGTCTTTGTTTAAATTTGTTCCAGCTTCGGATAGCGTTTCATCAAAGAGTAAAATATCAGATGCAATGAAGAAGAAGATGGATGATGCTGCACTTACCGTCAAGACAACATATTGGTAAGATGGGAATAATTGCCTTGTGCAACAAAAATGCTGAACTTATCTGGCAAACTAAATTGGAAGCCATTACTGAAGTGGTATCACGTGTGTGCCTCTTTGCAGAGGGCGCTCTTTCAAGAAAACGGAGGGCATTTTATATTTCCGGATCTCAGGTTGCGGACAAAATTCTTGTTCACATTTTAACATAATGTTTTTGTTGTTGCTTTTTTTGGTTTAATGTAAAGATAATATCTGTGAAATTTAATTGCCTATTAAAAAAAGAATGTCCGATAGTCACTCTTCAGGCGGGAAAAAAATTGCGTGATTACAGTACCAAATTAACCAACCTCAAAACTTTTTGGCCAAAAGAAGGACAGACCTTGCTACCTAACTACCTATCATTTTTAAGGCATGACTGTAAACACGCAATTATGTTTCTCTGCCTCTTCATAGAACTCTTTCTTGAAGTGTCATTCACGCCTTAACACTGAGTATAAGAAGCTTGTCATGACGAATGAGGTACTGAATAGTTTGATATGAATTTATCTTCTTGTTAGCTACATTGTGAAGTGGGTACACAATATGAGGGTGGTAAAAACTGTAAGCAGGGCAGTAAAACTTTGGTAAAGGGACTTGGAAATTTACAGGATGTCCCATCGTTTCAAAACCCATTGTGGAGAACACTGATTCTACTATTAATAATTCCACTTGTTTTGCTTCCTGAACATTTTGTAGTGAGCTTCCGAACTACGGCGCGATTATACCCGCCATGCTCGAGCATGGTTACGAAGCCTTACCCAAGCACTGTAAGCTGACCCCTGGTATACCCCTGAAACCCATGCTGGCCCACCCCACCAAGGGGGTCTCCGAGGTGCTCAACCGCTTCCAAAATATGGCCTTCACCTGCGAATACAAGTATGATGGAGAGAGAGCACAGGTGAGTTAACAATAATGTCAAAGTTGAAGCCAAGTCCTCAAAGGTCATTCCAAACTTATTGAAATGAATTGTAGCAGTGGCATTCTTTTTGCTTTGTCCATCCCCTGTAACTTTTGACCTAACTTGTGATTTCACTTGAGAATGACTTGTGCTGGACTTACAGGCTATAGGATAATTTGCTTTTCAGGCATTTTTTTTATTTCCAATAATAATATCACTAGTAATCTAAAGAAAATTGTTCAAAACCTAACCTGTTGAAGTGGGGTGCTGTGGTCCAATGGTTACGGTGTTCGACTTGTGTGCCGTGGTACATGGGTTCGAATCCTGACCGTGGGAACATGGTGCTTGTACTCTTGAGCAAGGCACTTTACCATTATTGCTTCGTCCTTCGGATGGGACGTAAAGCCGTAGGTCCTGAGTGTTGTGTAATGCACATTAAAGAACCCAGTAACACTTATCGCTAAGAGAAGGGGTTTTCCCCAGTGTTTCTGGCAGTGGCTGCAATATGCGCCGCAGCACCTTGTAAACCCTTATAAGGTGCTACATAATGGGTCTCATATTTCTCATAAACTTTATTTACCTTTCTTTAATAATAGACATATCTCCAGCGCCTTGAGTACCTAATAGTTGGTAGATACGTGCGCTATAAAAGACTCCGATATTATTATTTATTCCAGCTCAGTGGATATTAATTACACTTTTTCTAGAAAACAGTGAAAACCGTGCATAACCTTTTGACCACAAAACACAATTTCGTCTCGGCACTCTTTCCAAAAATTTAGCCGCTTGACTGATCATTGGAACTCGCCTACATTTCTTGATTTCCTCTAAATGACATCAAACCAGAGGGAATAATCTCATGGGGTAATACCAGTACAATCTTTAATTCAAGTGAGCTTTTGATAATAATTTGTTAGGTAATGTAAAGCTGTCAGATTCAGGAACGGATCCCGGGAAACTTCGTGTGAAGTGTAGGAGGGGAATTCAGTCTTGTACCAAAAACAGTGAGGATACTTAAGTTGTGTGATGTTACAAAACCTCTTCCGACTTTATTACAACTGTGCCACAATTACAATGTACATCTTCTCTCTTCCATCGCCAAAAACCAACTCCCTTCCATTTTTAATCACAAAAAACGAATTTCTTTCCCAAAATATTATTATCGAAGTATTTTAGCGTACGCACGCGTGCACACGCATGCACCTATGTAACGCAGCTGTTCACATGCACACCTGTTCTTGTGCGCACTGTTCACGCGCCATGCATAATTATAATTACTTTTCACATCACTATATGCAAATGATCCTACATGCCTTAACTACCATGATGAAGAATTTAGCATTTAAATATGTTCCCAGTTTTGACTTCAGTGTTAACTCCTGATTCCCTTGGACAAAATACTTAAAAGCCATCCGAGCACAAAAATGTGATTTCATGTGTGTGCTCATAAAACCTATTAGATGGAAAGGAATTTTGAATGATGTTGCTCTAAAATGCAATCCCACAGTGCAATAAATGTGGCTACATACGAGCGTTTCCTATTACTACGAAACCTGTGGCGCATAACGTGTCCGCACACCTGTTCTTTGTGAAGAGCAAAGTGACATGCTCATTTACTGGTTGGGTGTTCTTGGCATATCAGCTATTTTTGGCATATCAGCTTTGATAATGAAATGGGAATCAGGTTGGCATAGCGGTACTTTCCTCGCCTTCCATTGCTGTGACTAGGGTTCGATTCCTGCCCGGGCCAATATGTGGATTGGGTTTTCAGTCCCTGTCTGATTCCGTGGGTTTTCCTCAGAATATTATATACTCTGGGGTTTTCCTCCCACATCTAAAACTGTAACTTTTTTTACACTGTCTTTTCTTAACTTGGCCCTATGGGAGACCAGTGGATTCCACTGAACGGGCTTCCCAGTTAAAATAATAAATAATAAAAAATAGTAAATAATCTTTGTGGAATACAAATGCAGATATGAAAATAGCTGGACAGAAAATGCACAAACATCGATGCACCCACCAAGTTTCATTAAGGCCAGTTAGCAATATTATACAAATATTGAATGCTTCGAGTGGTGTAGTAAAACTAGCTTCCCGAGGTGATCCATGGACCATTCTATTTTCCCGATGCGAAGCCGAGGGAAAATAGAATGGTCCATGGATCACCGAGGGAGGCTAGTTTTACTTCACCACGAGGTAAAGCATTCAATATTTGTTTTATAACACTTCACCCACAGATTCTGCTTGATTTCAATATTTTAAATTATTTAAATCTGAACACAGTTGAAATAAACTTCAATTGCAATACAAAATTGGTGGAAAATGTATTTCTCTCTTAAAAACTACCCCTTCACGAAATGTTTGAACCCAAGTCTGCGGCGCGCTCTCTATGGAATAATACGCGCTACGCGCAACGCGCACACCAGCATGCATTTGCACACAAATACCGCGCCGTGGAAATAGTACTTTGGTTGCTAATGGTATAGTACTTTGGTTGCTATGCGCATAGTACTTTTGGCCGTGCACAGAAAGATAGCAAAATTAGAAAGTGACATGTGACTCGCTCTCGGCCAATCAAGACACAGAATCTGTGGGTGAGGTGTTATAAAATAAGTTATATAGATCTCGGTGTTATGCATTCTTGCATTGCTGTGTTTAATCATCCCTGTCAGATTAATGTTTTTTGAGTGGTCGGGCACAACCCGACCACTCTTTGGATTTGTTGCGATTAATCTTTCTTTCTTTCTTTCTTTTCTGCATAGCACGTTTCCGCGGGTTTTCTCCTAAACGGTATATGATATGAACTTGTAACTTTTAACATATATTGAACCTCATTTCGAGTGGTGCATATTACACTGACGTCACTATGACGTCATCGGGTGTCAAATTACAAGCGATTTTCGTTGAAAAAATGACGATCTTCTTTCATCTATAACTCTTCAACAAAATGATCAATTATGCTCCAACCTTGTAATCAGATAAACCATAAATTGATAAACATTTTTTGTTGTGTAGGTGAACTCGCTTGACCTTTACTTCCGGGTCTGCCGGAAGGTCAAATTTAGGTGAATTCAAAATGAAGACATTAGCCTGAAATCGAAACAAAGCACAATTTCTTCCAAACGGTTTACGGTATGATCATAAAACCTACTGTGAACTTGTACCATGTTACGAAGATGTTATAACTGTTGTTACGTCATCATGACGTCATCAGGTATCAAATTACAAGCGATTTGATTGCACGATTTGACAAAATACTTTGACCTATATCTCTTGAACTAAATAGGGTATATTGTGTTCGTTTTTTCGTGAGGTTGTAGACGGTGCCTTGAGCAACATTTCTTATTCCCGGGCACAAAACTGCTTGACCTTTACTTCCGGTGTTACCGGAAGTGCAATAGAAACTGAATCTAACTCTAAAACGGAAACATTTTCGTACAGACAAATACATTACGGAAGTTAAGTGAGGAATGCCAATCACATAAACATTATTTTGACGTCATCCACGAAAGGGCGCCCTCCAGCGGCACATGGAAAACAGTTTAATCTTTTAAAACGTTAAAACCCTCAATCAAATTTTTATGATATAATTGCCCCTATATATCCCGTGAGCAACCACAAATGAATTTGCAAGGTTTCATAATCATGACGTCATCGGACCGGAAGTTACTGTAGGGAGAATTCAACAATGACCATTTTATTTTTAAAGTTAAATCCATCATTTGATCCCTGTCTCATGACTTTGTTTTTTGCCCCCCCCCCTCCCAAAAAAATGACATCTGTTACACTTAATATTGACCTTTTGCTTCCAAATACTGTGACGTCATCAAACTGGAAGTTAGCTGTTATTATTACATACATTTAATTTCCATATTTCCATGCGTTATTTTTACTTAATGATAAACAAGTGTCCTCCCTTCCCTGTTTTGACTGATGACGCCATCAAACCGGAAATAACTTGTACTCAAACTGTTTACTGAAATTTATCATACCTTAAAAGACGCATTCTTTTCGTAAAAAATAATTGGTACTGGAAATGTTGAAGTTCTTGGTCCTTTTTTTCTGACATAAACATATTCATAACTTAAGTGGACAATTTGTATAATGAAATGGTTGTCTACCCGACCACTCTGCGTTTGTAACAACAAACGCGAACCTCTAGTTTTATTTTTTTTTTATTTTAGATCCATCTCCTTGGAAATGGTGAGATCCACATCTACAGCAGGAACCAGGAGAACAATACTTCCAAATACCCGGATATTATCAAGCGCTTGCCCAACGCCTACGATTCTGAAAAGGTAATTAAAAAGTCTGAAATGTTTTACTCACATAATGGTTAAAAATTATAAAATCTACCAATCTGCAATAAGAGACTTAACAAAACAAGTTTGCTGTTGTGTTTAGCCGAAGACTAAAAAAAGAAATTATCACTTAGTTCAGAAACTGTGTTATGTCAGTTTTTTTATTGTGATTTTTAACCCTTAAGCACTTGTATGAAATTGTATGACATTTTATTTACTGCTCCATAAATCAATAAAATCGTAAGAGTGCTGGGGCGGCTTGAGGCAGTATGAGGATTTACAGGTAAGGCAGTTTGAGGCATTAGGAGGGACAGTGGGTCAACAAAATATATCCCAAGAAGATTTTATTACGGCTGTGCATCGGAACCGGGTACTCGAGTACCCGACTACTGATGTCAGGAACCGGTGCCAAATCATGGGATCGGGTACCCGTAACCAACTTTACAAAATACTAAGTAACTTCTCAGACAATGAAAAAGAAAGGTTTTAAACGCCATTTGTGGGGAATTTTCAAAATGAAAACCAGGCTACGTGGAAAAGCAAAACAAAAGTTGTGCATTTTAATGTGTGACATATGGCGCTCTCAAAAGTTGCAGTTCACACCGTGAAAAAAGTCTCCGGTTTCTTGTATGGAGCTTGCCCAAAAAGTGGTGCAGCGACGCGGCTTTTTTTTTTTTTTTTACCTGATTTTTTTGCTTCAAATGTTGGCTGATGACTGCAAATGGTGCCGGACTAAACTTAGTGCAAATATATGGGAGTCCAGAGAGGCCACATAAAGCTTATTCTCGACCATAACCCAATCTAAAAACACGTTAAAATTGTGCAGCAGCAGGATTCCAGTCAAACCAGTGAGTTTGGCGGTTTTGAGACATCATCTTTCATTGAAAAAAAACTTTTTCATTTTGCCGACGCCCATGGCTACGGTGACGCGCGCGCATACCAGAAACCGGAGACTTTTTTTTTTTTTGGCCTAAAGCTATAAAGCTCTTCAGACAACTTCTGGGATTTGAATTTGGGGGTTGGGTTTCTTTTATGTGTACCTGGGTACCCGTGTTTACCTCAGTAGTGTACTGGTTCCGGTACTACACATAAATGCACACCACTCGATTTTATATGGGCAAACAAAACAGAACAGCAAGTCAGTCATTGATTAGTCATTTGTACAATAGGCTGGCCCATCGGGTCCAGCAATAGTAGTCTAACATACTTTTATGCAATATAAAGACATAAAATTTTTGTTTTTAAGTTAAGAATTGTGAGATGAGATGAGTTTTAACCGAGTTTGCCCTGAATTTAAATACCCAGGTGAAGACATGCGTGCTTGATGCTGAGGCAGTAGCATGGGACCGGGAGAATCAACAGATACTTCCATTCCAAGTCTTGAGTACGAGAAAACGCAAAGATGCAGCGGAGGCTGAGATTAAAGTCCAAGTCTGTCTCTTTGTCTTTGACCTTCTCTTCCTAAATGACGAGGTAAGAGGATTGACTAAAAAAATATTAGCTTTGCCAACTAATTTGGTTTGGTTGGCTTGTTTGCTGGCTTGAAATGAGCTGATACACAGGCAGGCAAGCTAATGATTAAATGGATGGGTGATTATTATTAATATCAGGCTTCCAAGTAGTTGCAATAATTCAACATATGTGATGCGATCAAGCTACATGAGTCGTTAGTCGGGAATTTTCATTTGGAGATACAGGCCAAAATAGGGCCACTTCATCACATCACTTCATCACATCTCTTGGTGTTCCAACTTCCATAATATTTGAACTAAAAATATGTAATAAAAAAAAAATTTGACCGGGGTCAACAAATGACTCATTTAGCTTGATCGCATCACATATTGTACACTTTGGGGAAAAGAACCCGGATTTCTATACAATATCATTTTTGATATTGTATGGTCATCCAGGCATTTTATGGTATCGACATGCATTTCCCAAGTTCCTGCTCAATCAAAGTGTAGAAACTCACAGTTGTCAACTAGTCAACGGAGCATAGCGCGCAGTATGGACACACTAGCAGGGTATACGCACTGAAAGATTACAGCTGCGAGCGGAGCGAGATTCGATTTGGTAATAATTTGACGAAATTTGGAAACTAAACATGCTGAAAATACCTTGTAAGCAACCAAGATGACAGTTAATATTCTGCGAGCGTATGTGGCTGAGAAGAATCTACCGACAGATTATGAGTTAATGGTTACGAAATGGTTACGCTAGCGGGTATTTTGTCGAAGTTTTTATATTTATGTGGAAATGAGGAAAGCAGTCAGTGATTATTACAAGACAGCATCATGAAATTTATTTCTTTCAGATCAAGTCAGGCTCATATAAATAATAATATTGGATGGCTTTTTTTCGGGGGTACAAGAATATATTGCACTTGCCATAATTTTTATACAAATTTTATACAATTAATGAATGTTTGTGAGTGCAATGGTAAGAATAATTTCATAAGCATTCCTTCTGTCGACGAATGAAAATGTTCTTACCATTGCACAAATGTGAAACATTCATTATTTGTCTTATACAACACCTGAATAAATCATCTTGTCATCTGATTGGTCAGAGCAATTGACCGTGAAATGGAGTTCTATTTACCGAGAAATAGAACTTCTATTTTTGCCGTGCTGCCATGCTGTGTGTTGGGACGAATAATCTAATGACACGTGATCAACGACCAACCAGTCAGATGACGGGCAGGTGTTGTACAAATTCTTGTATCCCCTTCAAAGCCATCAATATTATATAATTATTTCAGGCTGCCCCCCCCCCCCCCAACTTTTTTTCCTAACTAGTCATTTATTTTGGAATAGCTGACCTGTTTCCCTACCACTGTAAATACAATTTTTGGCATTCCCTTAATATTTAAGTCAATAATTTCAAGGTCTTCTCGGTTTTTGTTTCATTATTGTGAGTATTAACATTTCTGCTTCTCTCATTGCAATTACAGAACAGTAGGGCCAGCAAATGTTTACATGCATAATAAAGACACATTTTATTACATTTTATGACGAGATCATAAAATCTGTCATTAATTGCTTTGATGAGTTTCAATAAGCGAACATACACGCATTTGTTTTACCTCTATGACTTTTATTTAAAGTTATCAACAAAAATCATTGCAAGCGTCTGTTTTTTTTATACTTCATTAATTTTAAGTATATGTTCATCTTTCTGCAGTCTGCATAAAAGCCTCTTTGATTCACTGTAAAAGCATGAGAAGTTGGTAATCGTGGATTAAATGTTTAATCCGGAGTCATTCTGTCTACAGACACGGATCTATATTTGATTTGAAGTGGTTTTTGGAGATACATGCATATCAAGGAAAACTTGCTGGCTTATTCTTTTGAGAGATGAACTGGCTTTAGTGTTTGATATTTTTGGAAATATTAAAGGCCTGAAGTTTTTCATCTGTTATATCATGTCGTAATATTTTCATATAGTGACTTGTTTTTCTTGAACTTGGGAGCTTTTTAGGAAAAATAGAAATTGTTGATCCAAAGACCATTTCACTCAAAAAATGACCAATTAGAATCCAGCCCGCGCTCATGAATGTACAGGGTGAGTAAAAAAAAAAAAGCGGAACCCAAACCCCAACATATGTAGCACCAAAATTAAAAATGACTGGAAATTTCAGAAACAACTTTTAGATGAAAAAATACTGATATTGCTCAATCAGTTCAAAGATGTCACCATTTAAATGCAATGATCCTAAAACCTGTTTTAAAAAAAGAAAAAATTATTGTGTGTTCTGACTGTTTGGAACAACAAAGAAAATGACACAGAATACTTGTTTCAACAACTGCCAACAACTGTAGTACACAATATCTTTAATAACAACCCTGCTTAATAGGCAAACAATATGATTTATAAAATCCACTTTTTTGAGGACAATTGTGACGACGATTCTTGAAATCATATTTTTGGACGAAAGATGTTTTGGGGTTGTTGTGTTTAAATGGAGATATATTTTGAACGGATTGAGCAATTCAAGTATTATTTATCATCTTAAAGTAGTTTATGAAATTGGCTTTCCAGTCATTATATTTTTTTCATCTAAAAGTAGTTTATGAAATTGGCTTTCCAGTCAATATTTTTGGTGCTACATATTTTTTTAAAATATGAAATATATTTTTTGAGGCTTGGGTTCTGCTTTTTTTTACTCACCCTCCTGTACATGAGGTACGGTTATATCTTTCTGATGGTAGTCTTGGCAAAGTTTTGCTTAATTGCAAGCCTGAAGAATAGGACCTTTGTGGAAGCATTCATCCCTTGTCTTTGATCCTAGCCCTTAGTGACCAAGACCCTTCGTGAGAGGCGGGGGTTGCTCCATTCTCACTTCAATGCCGTGGAGGGAGAGTTCATGTTCGCCAAGTCCATGGTTTCCACGGATACGGAAGACATTGCTGCATTCTTGGATGAGTCCATTAAAGGTATGATCTAGAATGTTACCTCCATTTGTGTCATGACCTTTGACCTTATAAACCATCTGGTTCAGTTTTATACTGCAAATTAAAAGTTCTCTTGTTTTCTTCCAGTTCTTTTAAAATCCACTGAAAATTTGGAGTATTTTTTTTTGCGGGATTGAGGACATTATAGCATGACCACTTTAAGGCCAAAAAAAAAAGTCTCCGGTTTCTGGTATGGAGCTTGCCCAAGCTTGCGGCGACGCGGCTTTTTTTTTTTTTTACCTGATTTTTTTGCTTCAGATGTCGGCTGATGACTGCAAATGGTGCCCGATTAAACCTAGTGCAAATATATGGGAGTCCAGAGAGGCCACATAAAGCTTATTCCGATCATAACCCAATCTAAACCAGTGAGTATGGCGGTTTTGAGACATCATCTTTCATTGAAAAAAAAACTTGTTCATTTTGCCGACGCGCATGGCTACGGCGACACACGCGCATACCAGAAACCAGAGACTTTTTTTTTTGGCCTAATGTACACTTTATTTTAGTTTAGGAGGATTTGGGGATTGTTCAGACCAAAAATACCAAGAGAATTGCATTACATGTAAATGAGTAAATTTCGAAAGGAAATTTCCAAAAGAAAACACAACAATGTATGCAAAACTAATTAAATTCCTGGCAGTAAAGTTTCCTCTGCGAACACTGAGCTGATATACGGCTCATAATGGGGCTCACTGGAGACAGCGTGCCAACACTTCACCTTGATTATTTCAATGTTGCAATTCTATCCAATTAAGGCAGTGTATGCTTTAGAGCTCTTGTTACAATGTTTCTTTTTCTTTGTAGGGAATTGTGAAGGTTTAATGGTGAAGACATTGGACCAGGACGCTACCTATGAAATCGCCCGCCGCTCACACAATTGGCTGAAAGTGAGTGAGAGAAACAACATGCTTTATCAAATTAGGTTTTGCCCTTCACTGACGTTTTTAAACTCTGTATTCTCAGTGTGTTACCTCCCGAGTGAAAGTTGGAAAAAATCACTTGGGTGGGACTCGAACCCACGACCTTCTGCTTTCTAGTGCAGATGTCTTACCACTCGACCACCGAGCTAACGGGATCGGTTGGCCAGTTCGAATCTGATGTACATAGCAGCTTTCACTCGGGAGGTAACACACTGAGTATACAGTGTTTAAAAACGTCGGTGAAGGGCAAAACCTAATTTGATTTATATCACCCGACCCAAAATTCCATCTTATAATAGTTTATGCGGTACCCGCTGCTATGTACATCAGATTCGAACCGGCCAACCGATCCTTTTAGCTCGGTGGTCGAGTGGTAAGACATCTGCACTAGAAAGCAGGAGGTCTTGGGTTCGAGTCCCACCCGAGTGATTTTTTCCAACTTTCACTCGGGAGGTAACACACTGAGTATACAGTGTTTAAAAACATCGGTGAAGGGCAAAACCTAATTTAATTTATATCACCCGACGCAAAATTCCATCTTATAACATGCTTTATGTTAACAGACATCCGTAGATAATTTACTTTATTGCGAGTCACCAAAGCTTCCCTGACCTTTCACACAAATATTGCACAATGAAAATCAGCAAGAACAATTATATATTTCATACAAGGACAATTCCATGGTAAGTCACGTTACATGTGGAGAGGGTCTTCCGTCAATTCTGTGCTGTTAGTCTATAAAGTCAAAGCATTGAGGGTGGATTTTTCTCACAAAAGATCCCTTGAAATTAAGTGACTAAACTACACAAAGAAAGGCTAACAGATTGAAGTCCTGTTGGTTTGGCAATGCGTGGTTTTTTTCGTATTACCCATGTTACAAGAAAAGAACATGGCAGAAACTTATATATCCTGCATTTGAATGTTTCCTCATCCGGTTCGTTAGTGTGACGTCACCTCCAGCACTTTCTGCATGAGTGGAATCGGAAGTTAACGCAACTCGAGCGTTTGTAGCCAATGTGCGCTAGTCACCAATGGTGGGCGCGCGTGTATGACGTTTTTACTAACGAACCGGATACTGATGAACAAATCTTTTTCATGTCCTTACATCATTAGGGTGTAAGTCATACTTTACCATTTCAATTATTAAAAAACATTCAGTCACAAAATCTGTAGAAATATATTTTTAGGTTACTCGCATTACAGTTTGTCCACCCATCTTTGGTAAAAGTTAAAACATTATCAACTAAACATCAAACCCAAAAAACTCTGTTTTGTATAAAAGATGCACCTTTCTCTCTGCCTTAAAAACTAACACGCAATAACATTTGCATTTTGCATGTAAAAACAAGGTGCCAAATTGAAGACCTAAAGTCTGTAATTTTAGCCAAAAAACCTATTATTGTTTACCAAAAAATACACAACCAAACCCCATCTCTCTGCCACATCACTGCAATGAAACGTCTTGTCTGCTTTCATTTGATACCACGTTTGAGGTTGCACTGCTTGCAGTTTTGAAGATTTCATAAATTTTCCATTTTTAAGCCTTGCCGACATTCTCATGGAAGTGCTCACAAGTAATGTCTACATATGTTGAAATGAGAGCAAAGTATGATCTTTCGACTGCATTTGAAAAAAAAAATGAGTGAAAAAAAGGCTCATTTCGTTGGATCTGGTTTTTGCTTGCAGTTGAAGAAGGACTACTTGGAAGGTGTTGGCGACACCCTAGACCTGGTGGTGATTGGTGGTTACCATGGGCGTGGCAAGAGGGCGGGGACGTACGGAGGCTTCCTATTGGCTTGCTATGACGATGAAAACGAAGAGTTCCAGACAATCTGTAAGGTGAGATGGGGCACAAGGAAAAAAGGGATAAATAAAAAATGAGTTTTCTTTCTTGATGAATGGGAGGTTTATGGTAACATCATATGAATGATATCTCTTTGTGTGTTGTGTGGTTGTGAGAAGAACCAGTTGGTTTAACACTGTTTTGTTTTGTTTCATTTTGAAATACGGATAGGGTCATGGATGATTTTAAGAAGTTTGAGTTCTGTTTAGGACAGAAGCTGAAGCATCAACTCTAGGTTAAAGGTTCAGCACATAAAACCAAAAATTTTGAATAAACATTCTCAGGCTAGATTTGGAACTTGATTTGTGACTCTTCAGTTACTTTTTTTCAGGAACCATAGTCAGATCTTGAAAGTCCTCGCTCTACTGAGGTATATTGAAGACCTTTCTGGTACCAAATGTGTAAAAAAACTGTTTTACTTATGGCTGTACTAGAGAATTTCAACTTGGCTGTAAATCTAGACATGCAACAGTCAATATTTTAATCCCAGAAATCTCTATTCAGATGGCCTCCACTTTCTCAGTTTGTAGTTTTAAATTTTTTGTCGACATTTAGTATACAAATAATGAATGTTTGTGAGTGCAATGGTAAGAATAATTTCATGAGGTGATAGATGAAATGTTCCATTCCACGAGGCCTCGTGGAATTATTTGTTTTATATAACACCTGAATAAATACTTGTCATCTGATTGGTTGACTTTTAACATGTTTAAAAGCCAATTTATTCAGGTTAAAAACTGTTTAAAAGTTTGACAAGTTCAGAGCTATCATATTTAATTTATGCAAACTGTTCAACAGGTTGAGAACCATCATATTCAATTTATCTCGATTTAAAACAGCGCCACCATCACCGGCAGCAGTGACACCGTGCAATGGAAGTTCTATTCACCGTGCAATAGAACTTCTATTGCCTTGTGCGCTGCGCGCCGCACGCGCGCCGCACGCGCCGTGTGTTGGGACAAATAATTCAATGACATGTGATCGACGATCCACCAATCAGATGACGGGGATTTATTCAGGTGTTGTTTAATTGATGTTAATAACAAATATGTTTGTGAAGGGCAGAACCCGATATTGAGGTAAATCGACGGCTGTTTAATATTTATGGTTTTATTCATGCTTTACAAACCCTAGCCCTGCCATACGCAACACAGTGCATCAGGTGGAAAAGAACTGGTGCACTTTGATGCATTCAGCTACCAAGACCAGTGCATGAATGGCCAGCTCTGAAACAATGAGAGCTAAGTCCCATTGAATAATGCTACAGTTGTATCCTGCTGCATTCCGTGACCACCGACTCTGAGGCAGTGTGGCCTTAAAACTTTTCCCCCTGATGCATCTTGCTACATTTGGCAGGCTTGTCACTTAGTCAAGTGTTGCATGTTGCTACGTTTGGCAGGGCTCTAGCAAACATACCCTGGAGGGTTAGGGTTTAAGTTATTTGGCTTTATTGAAATTTTGTTCTCTTGTTAAATCCGTCTTTTCTGCCTGTAAACACGGAACTCTTAATTTTGTACCCCCAGTTCGGAAACCTTACAGCATACACGATTGTTCAGCTTCCAGAAGTGCTACACTGTCCTGAAGCCACCTCTTGTTAACATTAATTACTGTCTCATGCCTTTTTCCCTCCAGATTGGCACTGGTCTGAAAGACGAAGAGCTGGACACCCACAGCAAGTTCTTCAAGGCCCACGTGATTGACAAGCCCCGCCCATATTACCGTCACGACACGAGCCACATCCCCGATCACTGGTTTGACGCCGTTCAGGTGTGGGAGGTCAAAGCGGCCGACCTGTCCATCTCGCCGACCCATCGCGCGGCCATCGGCATTGTAAGTCAACTTCTTGATAAAATCAAACATAAGAAAAAAACACGAGTAAAGTCGTAAACAATATGTGGCATGTTCTGTCAAATGGGGTTGTGTGGCCAGGTGGTTAGGATTCGTGACTCACAATCAGAGGGTCAGGGGTTCGAATCCAGTTGCTGACCATATGTTGTGTCCCCCGGCAAGCCACTCCACCTCCACTTGCCTCTCTCCACCCAGGAGTATAAATGGGTACCGGCATTAGCTGGGGAGTAACTTGCAATGGACTGGCATCCATCCAGGTGGAGTAGAAATGTTCTTAGTCATTTCATGCCACTAAAACCGGAGAAAAACGCCGGCCTAATGGGCCATATTGGCTCACGACAGACTTTATTTACTTCAGTCAAAACCAGATGCTTTACTGTAGATCTTGAAATGAATGCAGATTCAGCTAAAGAACATCCTCTCTCACCAGGAAAGGCTTACATCATAAAATGTGCTGGCAAACTGAATCTGAATCTCATGCCATTTTCACACTCACCGTCAGCCAATCAGAATCTCTGGGTAGACTTCTTGACATATTCCTATGCACTGAATATTCAAGTCTGGAATCGCAGGTTCAATTTTGCTAGCCAATAGGAGAGCGCTTGTCAGGACAGCCATTTATGTGCTAGGAGGTCAATTCTGGGTTAGCTTTTGTGAAGAGCTATCTGATTGGTCAGAAATTATGTCAGTCCATATTTGGAAGTGTTCATGAATAATTAATCTAGCGTGGTCAAATAGGAAATATTTGGACTCGGTTTGCCAGGGTATCATCTTATGACGTATGCAAAGTGACTTCCCTGGCTAGCGAGGATGCCAAAGCACGACTTTTCAGTTTGCATATTTGTTTTCCTTATAATTGTTGAAAATACATTGTAAAAGTTTTAGACCATAATTTTGCCTTAGAAGGTGATTTTTTTCCGATGATTTGTCAAGAAATTCACAGCCCTAAACTTTAGCAGGCAAATTCTCTGTTTTCAACTCTGTGACATCACAAATTTCAAACAAGCACAATTGTGCCTATGAAAGTCTGTTTTCATAAATTAAATTGTCATTGTAAAGGGAAGATCCATATTTGAGCAATATTTAAAACTTTTTTCATCCCAGAAAAGTACACATCACATGGTGGTGTACCGGTTAATATATCGCATTTGCCTGTCATCCCCATTTTTTCCATTCTCCTAGGTTGATCCTGAGAAGGGCATCTCCCTGCGATTTCCTCGCTTCCTGCGGGTCCGAGACGACAAGAAAGCGGAAGAAGCTACCAACAGTTCACAGGTTAGTAGGTCAAGGGTCAGGACAAAGGCAAATGTGTAGTAAATCTTCGTATGATGGATTTGTTAAATGTTAGGCATGCTGGCAAAATGAGACAGAATTCGGCAGAGGACAAAATGAGGGTTTACAAGTATTAGGAAAGAGAATCAAATTCTCCTGAGGTTGGGGTGTTTGCATTAGTAAGATTGGAATATTTTTACTCATGATTATGAAAATTAACTAATGCTTTGATAGGAGCGTCTTAAAATGCGAAATATGGTTTCCACATTGTGGTTTTTGCTGTTTGAATTTGAAAGCCCTGTAAAATAACAATGTCTCATTGCATTATTTTGACACTTCTCATCATCTTGTTGTAAATTTTGCAACAACTTGTTCTACGATAACAAAATCTCAAATAGAACAAACAGAAGAAGTTTGTTTACACTTTCTTCTTTTTTTCCTTTTTCTGATCAGGTTGCGACTCTCTACAACAACCAAGACCAGATCAAGAACCAGAAAGCGACCGGTGTCCTGAAACCCAAGGCCAGTGAAGACTTTTATTAGGCAGAAAAAAAGTATGACACAAAAACAAAATAGAACAGTTCTTCAAATGGCTGTGAATTTGTGCAAGTCTTAAAATTGCAGCGCTGTGTTCAGTGAAATACTAGGCAGATCAGGTTGGTCTAAAGACCTTTTGGCCGGTTGAATGAAAACATGTGCAGTGCTTTTGGAAATAAAATAGAGGCTTTTGTTCTTCAATGACATCGTATCATTGTAAATACTGTAAGCCCAGAACTGTATGCTCAGCACTTCTCTGATTGCGTATGAGAAAAATAATTTCAAGCTTATGTGGGTGGGACTCAAACCCATGACCTCCTGCTTATTAGTACAGATGTCTGACCACTCAACCATCGAACTTGCCTTCGTCAGTTATCAGATTAAAAATGATACATCGTTGGGGACCATGTCAATTGAAGGAGTACTACAACATTAAAGTTGCGTTCTCCTTGCTATTTTTGAGATTCATCCTGAAAAGATAGATTCCTTTTCTAAATTGCTATTTTTCTAGCAATACAAAAGTTAATCAATTTTAAATGAGACATCTACGGAAAAGAAGCGTCCCATGTTAAGTTATTGAATTATAACTTTACAATTTCAAATTACTGGCTGCCAGACAATAATTGCATTCTCGCGGGGCAGGCTGGTTTCCACCACACAACCAGTATCGATAATGTACAGGCCGGGAACCAGCCTGCTCCCAAAGTGGATCTGTTTGCACCCAAAACAAAACAACATTTTTTAGAGGGTTGCAGACGACCAATTAAGGAAAGAGGGACATTTTTGGTTGAAATAAAAAGTATATGATTTTGCAGAGCACAGGGAACGGAACTTTTGAAAAACAAATGGACAAGTAAAAAATATTCCATTTGAAGTCAACGGTTATATTGACAATGTTGATAATAGATGTTTTTAAACTGAAGTAAAGCCATATTCAGTTATTTCTCCCATTAGATTGGGTAATGAATGAATTTATTCAGATGAAGGTTATATTATGCACTCTAATTCTAAATTCTTCTCAGCCAGTTAATATTTGGCTAGGTAAAACTGTTGGGTGTTAATTCCAGATGCATAGATTTTTTTTATTGATACAAAAATCTTAAAATAACCCTAAGATAATTTCAGCTTATCAGCTCACACTGAAACTTTAGGGCCCATTGCAATTCATATCCAGTACAAGTTCCAGACAAGTTGCGGGTAGAATCATTCACTTTGTCTGGAAGAAGCTCGGCATTTGTCCCAGACATGTTCCGAGGAAATTTTCTTTAGCAACTGCTTGACTCCTAAATACTGACAACTCCATTGTGGGAAGATTGCTGGGAAGTTGTTCAGAATCCTGCAACTTATACCCGATACAACGTCCGGAACTTGTCCAGAACTCGTCCGGATATAAATTGAGACTGGCCCTTAACCGAATGTTGATGTTGTTGGGTTTTTGTGAGTTCAAGCAACATGCATTTTGATATTTTATAGTTTTTGTAAATAAGTAGATTTATTAAAAGAATTATCCAACCAGTCCATTCGATGGTGAATTTACAAAGCACTCAGCCCGAGTAAAGATTATAAAGGCTCAATGATAGTTTGCCTTTTAAAAACTATAATGGAACTGTTGGTTAACGATGAAATCAAATAATAAAAGATTGATAGTTGCTGAAAAGGTTTTTAACCAAAAAGTGTAAATTTTAAGGATTCATTGAAGGAATTTTGTGTTTCAAATGTGAAAGATGGACACTCATGCGATAGTGTAAGCCACATTTTCGGTATTCAATTTCAAGCAAAAACTGAATTGTCCTGTTGTATATTTTGATGAAACATTTGAATATTCCTGCATTTCAGATAATTCTGTGGTACTCATTAAATTTCATTTCCAATTCCAAAGCAGGAAAAATCTGAGAAAGTACCTTGGTGTTGTTATTCAAAACAACTTGGAATAGGACAAACAGTCTCATCACGCAGCAACCAAAGCTACCGAGGTGCTAAATTTTGTGCGAAGAAATTTTTACCAGTGCTCAAAGACTGTCCAAGAAAACCTGTACCAAACCATTGTCCAACCACATTTGGAGTATGCCTCAGCCGCTTGGAACCAAGGAACCAAAAAAAGAGGGAGGCTCTACAAAAAGTCCAACGAAGACCAGCCAGGTTCGTGTGTGGTGACTTTAGAGCCAAATCCAGTGTGACCAAGATGCTCATCAACCTCAATTGGAACCCTATTGAGACTAGGCGAAAGACGCAACGACTAGCCACACTCCACAAGATTCTTAACCAGCACATCGACATTGACGCCAACTTATACCTCAGACAGAAAACTATCAGATCCAGGAGAACCCACAACAAGCAGTTTGAAGTCCACCATCATACATCTACCCCCTTTATCCAGTCTTTTTTTCCTGAAGCCATTTTACTTTGGAATGCCCAACCACAGCAATCCGTCAACATAATTTCCTCTGCAGCCTTCAAAAGCTCCATCCAAGACCAACAAAGACTTAACAGGCCCCCGCTAGGCATCGACTCTTGTCAACTTCCAGTTAGTTCCTGGTGGACCGTTCAGGTTTTTGATGTACAAGGTACAAGAAGCCAGAGCTTTTTGGTGGTTATTTATGTATAAATGTTGAGATGAGCAGGTTTGCTTTAGTCCCTGTATGACTGGAAACAGGTTCTTTTAGAAAGTCAGTAAAAACAAAAATCACAGTACTCAATTTTTTTTTCGGAATCCAACTGGCATAGTTTTCTTACAATATGCCCACGGTGTAGATGTATTTCCAGGCTCATCTTATTTCCTTTGAATTGAGTCCACGCTAATGAGGAAGTCTAACGACTGCAGCGAACACATGATGCCAGCAACGTCATCACTACGCCAACAGGATCTTTTGTGACTTCTTTTCCAGAAAGCTTCTAAGGAAACCCTGTATATGCTAGGATCCCTCATTAAATCCTTGAAAATAGCATCAGCATTTGCGTGATGATGCCTCCAGTACAAGAAATGTAATCCTTTTAAAGACCATCTCACCATCTCATTTGTTTAAATGACGTAAGATTGACGTTCAGAACTTTTGTGACGCAGTACCCAGCCTTGTTACTTGTTAATTGCGTTTTACAAATAAGGTCATATTTTGCTTATCCTGTTTTTAAACTGATTTCATGAATAACAGCCTTAAAAATAAACCAATTAAATTGTGACTTGACGGGACACTACTCCAACAATAATAAATACCAATGTTCTTTAAAAAGTGCACAGAGGCCTATGCACCATTTTCCCTCTCAAAGTTGTTTTTTTTTTGGGGGGGGCCTTTGGAGCACATCCCCCCCCCCCCCCCCCACCCACATTCTGCTCAAAATTCGGGGAAGGAACAAACGAGCGTTCAAATTTTAAAAACAAATTGTATGCCCCTTCCAGAATAATGATCACCCCTCCTCCCCCGAGTGCCAGTTACTATCTACTGTGTATGATTATTAATCTGGTTCATTTGGTCAATAAAAGCATGGAGAAAGGAAAACATAAACCTCATCTCCCAGAAAGTATACGCTCGGTTCTGTCGTTACCGGGAATTTTCGAGAATGCAGTGTCGAACTATCGTCGGAGTCGATCCTGTTTACGTTAAGCAGAGTTGTAATGACTCGAGTCAATGACTCGACTCGAGTCCGAATCGAGTTTTGGCGACTCTACTCGACTCAACTCGAGTCCCTAAGGGTAAATTACTCGACTGGACTCGAGTCACTGCGAGCAAATGACCTGACTCAACTCGAGTCCCTCGTCAGTCCCTCGGGGTCGTATCATAAGTCCGACGCCTCATAAGTCCGACGCCTCATAAGTCCGAAATTTCGGACTTATGAGGCGTCGAAACTGGATTTTAAACACATTTGCCAATTCGTTGTTTCATCATTGGATTTCATCATTGGGTGATTTCTTATAAAGCTCTTAGATTCGATCGCCTGCTAAATGTGTGCCCTCCTTTTTAAAATTAAATAGATCCATGCCCACTTTTAAATATTAATCAGAAACAGTTTTGTATAATGCAATTTGGTTTGATGTCAGCGATCAGCGAAAAAAAAAATTCTAGACCCGAAGCCAAACCAGATCTTCTTGTTAACTGTTAGTACAAAGGATTTTCTCTCTTGTCCTCATTTGTTATTATAGAGTTCAAAATTTCAAATAAGTGACTCGAATTGACTCGAGCTAAATATTTGACTCGACTCGACCTTCTTGACCTAATGACTCGACTTGAGTCACAAAAATCAGTTACTCATTACAACTCTGACGTACAGGCTGCAGTTAACCGACATATTGTGGTCCGTCGGACAAACCCGGTTGTTCATCACGGTGACTGCCTTATTTTCTATTTGTCTAGAGGAATCACTGGTTGAATGGTAATCCTGGATGGCCGCCCCCGCCTGCCTTAAAGATGTACGTGTTATATTCCAGTTACACCCGGGTTTTTTTTATATAAAAACTAATACTTTTCTATCAATACAAAAGTTGCTCACATTTGAACTGGACATTGATCCAAATTTATCGGCCCTACTTCAGATAAAGGCTGTCTTTCAGATAGTTTCAAATGCACAAAAATAGCAAAAGTATGGGGGTTGGTGAAAAAACGTGCAAGTTAGAAATTAAGCAGAACCAAAAACAAACGAATTTGCTGCAGAGCAAGGACAGTACGTTACTGACAGATGAGTGTTGGGTGGGCAAAACTTAGCAAAATTGAGCTAAACAAAACTTTTCGAAATCACCCTGGAAAGGACACATTCAACAGATAAGCAGCGCCCGGATTTTTTTCTTGCATAGATCCCCTCTCAGAATAACCCCTTAATTGAGAACTTGTGTCAGGATAATTACAAGCAAGGCAAACGTGCGTTTTAACCTTATCCAGCTGCTTATAAATGGCAAATCACCATGGTTACTATACGAGTGCTTGGTAACAATGACGATCTTGTGCCTATTTTTTGCAAGCTCATCCTTTCAAATGCATCTTGTTTCTTCCGTTGGCAGTCTGCAGTAATTAAAATGTACGCTTAACTATTGGATTTATTTTTTAAAAATATCTTTTTTGATATTTTGATTTTTTAATACTGAATTCACATAGGGTCTACAAATAGACTGGTATAACAAAAAAACAATGGCCTCTATGAGATGGCTGTTTTTGCGTAAGGTCTTGAAAGGTTCCTTGTTTGTCCTCAATGTAATTTGCATTGATATCTAATAACAAATATTGTGTTGAAAGTACATACATAAGTGGTTTGAAGAAATTGAAAATTTGTCTTTTTTTGCTAAGTAGATCCAGATCATAATCAAAATAAAGCTTTTTTTAATAAAAACAATCTTAAATTAAATTTAGGTGGGACTTTGTCGAGCCAGAAAAAAACTAAGTTAAAGAAATCGCCCTTCTTGAAGATATACTAATAAATCTCCAGTTCTGAATCGGAACTTTGAGTCCCACTTTTCGTATTTAATGATTGATATATATCTCCCTTTTTACCATAAATTAAATTGACCAAGCTAGACGCCTTAAATCCGTAAGTAGAGAAGTTGTTGACTATGGAGAGGAGCGAATATCAAGAGCGCCCGGGCCGATTCTTCGAAACTCGTAGGTGTTCTTGTCCGGTCGACAGACGGTACGGGGGCCCAACCGTATTATGCCGTGTATGCGTACTGACCGAGTTGATTACTAGCACAATGGGGAAATGCACGAACTCATCTACAAGATGCACCGAGATGTTGTTGACTCGTCTTGGGTTGTTTGATGTCACAGACGCCCCCTCACTTCTTCCCGCGATCCGCCCCCATGTTTTGGGGTTTCTTTTTAGTTTTGGCTTGATAAAGAGGAAATGTGTGCGACCAACCAGCTAGAGATATCCTACGTTTAACAGCTGTTTCTTCTGATTATTGATAGCCCCATTTTTTTTTTTAAGGAACACTCTCGATGTGTGTTTTTTTTTTTAAAGATTTGCCTTCTTTTAAAGAAGCGATAATTAATGCCGTCGGCGCTTGAGTGTCTTAATAAAGAAACAGCTACCCACGTGTTGACATTTTGGCTCAGTTGAGGAGGGTTGCTAGTTGAAGTTAGCCAACGTTTCTTCATGAAAAAAAAAGAGAAATTTCCATTACCCTTTCTCGTTCCCCAAGAGCGAAACGGGCAAATTTAATTTTCCAACATACTTCTCTTTCCTGACATATCAAAAATGTCAGTTTATACTTCGTACAAACCTGAAAGGCATGGCTACGGGGTGGATAGAACAATCCATTTTCAAACTCTTGAAGCCGTTCGCGAAATTTGTATGTCCCCTCCCAGACGTGTTGCAATGTTGATATTTGAGCTCCGCCCACTCTAATTCCCGCTACCCTGGATTTACGGTTTGTGTATTGCAAACCGTTTTAGTTTCGATAGTCCTGACATTCAATTCTGCTAAGCTCTTGCAGCGTTGCATAGCAGGAACATCTCTAAAACGAGAACATTCCAGACGGAGTCTGGTATTATAAATCCCATTGTTTGGGGAGTTTTAGGTGCGAATGAAATGAAATGAAATGAATGAAATTCTTGGCCCTATCAAGACACATATCTATACTTTACAAATTCTGCATTGAAACATCCTTGTGGTGGAGTAATGTCATGTGCGAATGCGCAATAGTTAATTCCGTAGAAAGTCTGAATGGATTTTCTTTTCATGAGAATTCTTGGCCCTAATCCTCTGATCGTTGGTCCTGTAACTTGCTCATTCCCTGGCAAAATTCTTGACTATCAGTCTTGTATTCAACTGGCCTGCGAGTTATCTTGCTGCCTCGTTAGTGAGAAATACACGCCGCATTTTTAAGACCGAGACTCGGCCATGCCGTGCGAGGCTGACACTCGGGTTTTCATATCCTTCGGAAAGATTCGAACCGTGCACCTTGCATTTGGAGGGGATTTTCTGAAATAAAAATTCGGAATTCCGACTTCGAAAACTTGAAGAACGAAACTTTCTAGCTACAAGTGTCGACAATGTAACTAAAAGGTTCAACGAATCAAAATTATGTCGACCGTGCGCGCATCCATTCCAAATCAGGCCCAACTCTGAAGAGAAATATTGCTGGTGGATTTTATCATTTGAGCTGGTCACTGGATTCTTGCAGACTGGCAAGCCGACGGTGATGACGACAGGGACCAAGGAATTGGGGCCGGTGGTTCTGAATCAATTATTAAAGGTGAGTCTTCATCCTGTAGGAATTTCAAAACTAATTGCTTCTGAAAAATTGATCGATGCTGGTTTCAAATGGTCAGACGACGACTGAAAGTCCGAAAGAGTAAAAGGGGAAATTGCCTGTATTTCTTTAGGTCTTTCTCGGAGTTGTTGCGCTATGTCCAAAATATAAAGTTGCTGAAGAAAACTGGAAGATTCATTGATGAGTTCATGATTATCTTCCGACTTATCTACTTCAACTTGTGATATACGAAATATTTAGTCCCTTTTATTGTATGTGTTGGTCATGTAAATTTAAATTTTCACAAGTAAAAGCGTCAAAGTTGGGTGTTTTTGTGTGTTTTTGTGTGTGTGTGGGGTTTTTTTTGGGGGGGGGAGGAGTTCACAACATTATCAATGACCTATCAATGAGTTAGTGCCTCAAGTTACATTAACAGCAACAGCGCCCTCAGTTTTCTCGGAACTGTATTAGGATTGTAAATAATGCCAAAAAAAATCGCTTTAAAAATTTAACGAACACCACAAAATCTGAGAGTGTCTAATTAATAATCATACAGTTCAGACGAGTGCAATTGCCAAATTGCAGCTTATATTAAAAATTAATGGTCTGCACGGAGCTAGCCCTGCTCTGTCTCTAAGCGCTTGCAGTGCATACAAACTCGTCAGAGGAATAAGATAGTTCACCGTCCTTTCTTTGTATATGTAGCAGCTGGATTGAAGTTGTACATATCCATAATGCACAGTGTAAGACATCAAGTGTAGAACAAGTGCATAATATTATTTACATCGACGTATGAAACTCGGATGTTTTCGTCTATTCGGCCAGTAATGAAATGAATCAGGTGATCAATTAATTAAATGCTTTGGTTTGAAGAAAAAACACAATATCGCTTAAGGTAATGGTTAAAGGTTTTCTGTTGGGGGGGGCGGAATTCAAAGAAATACCCACATTTTGGCAATCCAACCATTTCATGATTTTTTGGTAATGTTTCAAAACTTCGTTCATTGCATTCACACCGCCCTCACTTGACACGAAGCAGTTAACGGCGAGGTACTGACTTCTGTAATCACTCATTATTAGTGCAATTTTGTCATGGCGGTTAAGTACGTTATGGTGTTGTAATTTGTTCCCGCACTAATGGAAGTTGGTTTTTCATTTTAAAATGAAAAACAAGGTCGCATGGACAGCAGCATAATGACAGTTTAGCTGTGAAAACATTAGGCTATGGCAAATTGCACCAATTAAGAGATGTTTGTCACTGTACAGTCAATGAATTGCATATGTTGGTGGCGTTCAGATTCCGAATCGGTTTGAAATTCTTAATTGGGAGGCTGAAAAGCACAATTTGAAATGTTCAGTTGTCGCCAGCCCTCTGTTAGCAAACAAAACCTGGGTCTACGTCTCAGCATCGCTCACAATTGACGACATGTGATTACAGGCCGTTTCATTGTAACTCAGGTGTAAAGATAACCTTCAGAATTATCTGTTAGATGGGTCCGTTCCCATGGAAACACTTATGTCACGCGAGTCGGACGCACGGCATCTTCAAGTTGTAATCTTTGATTAAATTTTGCGTGGCTGGGCATTTCGTTCGAAGCCTACGTACGTAAGGACCTTACGGTAAGACATGCGTCTGTTTGCATATATGGAAAGAAAAAAAAGTGCCACACTTCGGTTTATGCCAGTTGGAGGTCGTTGACTCGACTGCAGTGGAATGTTAGTGCATTTGTTCCTCGTCTACACATCTTGCATGACTGGAACTACGATTTGAAATAATTCCAATTACGTTATCCGAGGAAAGCGCACTGTGTTCAATATGTCATGTTGTCTGTAGTATGTATGGTGCTGCTTCCCATCTCATTACATATGTTTTTACTGTGCGCTATAATGTTATGGTGTTGGCAATTAATTTGATGTAAAGAATTTGTTGACAACTTCAGTTTTCCTTTTGAACTTAATTCAGTGGAATTCCAGTAAACGAATTTTTTCCCCCTTTTTTTTAAGAATAACTGCCAAAAATGAATCTTAAATTAAAAAAGAGGGAATTCGGTTGACTATTATATGTCCGGTGGAGTGGATCTGGAGGGTTTCATAACTCAGAAACTGTTTAAATACAAAACAACGTAGTGCTCGCGTAACATGTAATGGCCGATGTAAAGAAAAATAGTGATAAAACTACGATCGTATAGCAAAGGCATAATGTTATGTTATGTGAAGGCATGTCTATATAACACCACGAAAGTAACAGTAATTTTAAGACGGAAAAGCAATCTTCATTTTTAAAAACAAAATTTATTTTAACTTCTGTCAGTTATAAATAAGTTGATCAAGCCATGTACAGATCACATGCACCACGTCATATCGTCTCTTATTGCACAATACAAACCTCGTGATCGAGTAATACATGTTTTTCATAGAATATTACCAAAATAGTAAGAAATTGCATTTAAAACCTCAAAATCTAAGTTTTTCAAATGAAAGTACTAAAATATAGAAATTTGGTATCAAATACAGTAGATTTGTGACATCTCATGTTGTGTTAGTATATAAACAAAGTAGCTACTGTTTTGTTTGATGAGATAAATCTGCAATTTATGTTATTTTTTTTTAACTTCATCTTTTCTCAGTAGTCATGACAAACGATTCCAATGTCGCGGCCATTAAACATAGAAAAATGACAAATGACAAAAATCCCCAAAATACCAGACAAAATATGATATAAACATTAAAACAACGCTTTGGTATTTTTTTTTTGTCATGCGTCCAAAATATCAAAATATTGTTACTATGGTTACGCAATATAGAACCTCTGTGAATATATATATCGCCGGTTCCATTAACAATATCGATAAGAAACATGGTAAACAAAATAAGTGGAGTGTTTACTTTGTATTCATACACAATATTATAATATGTATAACAGTTACAATATCGAGTGCTAATACGGTACGATGTGCTTTTTTTACCAAGCCATTCGGTGCACGAAAACCATCCAAATCTGATGTCCCACTATCACTTTTTTTTTTAAATAATGTCAATTGTGGCAACATTCGTTCATATCATTCTGTAAATTAGACTCCAAACGTTACATTCACAAAGGTATCCTCTTCATTATAAATTCATCTTGCAGCGAAGAAATCGTGGTGCAATAAGGGTGTCAAATTTTTTTTCGTTATCAGATTTTCAGTGAAGGGTTTCTCATATCTTTTTTTGAAATATCAATCATTTTATCTCCCATGTGGAAGCAATGCAAAGCAACCGTTACAGAACCCGTTCCTTCGCTACAAAATATTTTCCCTGACATTATGAGCCAAATGCGAATCGGGGACATTCCACACTGTTGACTCTTGAATGTCATAAACAAGTGTGTCAATTCATATACCATGCCACCGCTATCCAAAATAGAATTTCGCATATCGCATGAGTGCATTCTCTCTCTGTTGGATTGTTGAATGAAATGGTCGTTCATAACATTCTTTACGTTCATTCAAGTCCAATCTGGCGCACATTCCAACGGCTGTTCTATGAAGTCGTTGAAATCAACACGATTTTTAAAAGTTTTTGGGGGTAAAACAGCCGTATGGACGTCATTAAAAAAAAGTATTGGTAACAAGACTCGTATGCCTGTACTATAATGCAAAACCATTTTTCATATCAAACCTGTCACGGTCCTTTCATTATCACCAAGTGAAGTCTCTCGATATAAACAGGAATACTGCAAGGCTCTTTGTAAGAAACTGATGCAAGTTTAGGGACTGACAGAGTCAATAGTGGAATGTGTTTTCTCCATCAGATAGGAAACGTTTGGACTTTAAATCTTCCTCATACATTCCTGCCATGCTGTGTGTAGTGGCACAAAATATTTGCCCCTATTTGCCCTCCTCATACCGCATGTGATCTAGGATCAAGACAAAAATAGCACTTAACACAGATTCTCGGTATAAGTCACTCGTTAATTTACCAGTCTACTGCTTATAAGTCATGTCAATAACATGAACAATTCTGAATGCTTATACATATTCAACTTAAAAAAATATGATACTTAGATTGAGAAAGAATGTAAAAATATTATCATTGTGAAAATTATTTACTCGATTTTTGTACATCTATATATTTGATATCAATATTAATATAAAAAGCCAATTGAGTCAAAAGGGCTCAGTGAGATAGCACAGCCGCTTTGGCTGAGTTGCATTCTGAAAAATGTAAAAGTGACTTTCCCTCGGCGCGAGAAAAATGACAAGATTTGGCTAACAACTGAACCTTTTGTACATGAACTGTTGCTTCAGTTCGAGTTGCTATGGTTACAGCGACCAAATTAAAGACAATAATTAGTGAGTATTTCATGATTATCTTTATATGGAAGTTCATTGTTTTTTGTCATCATCAACTAGCTGGTTGTGACCCAGACGTCTCTCTGGGAGTTTTCAGTTAGCTGCGATCAGAGACTGGTGGCCATATTGGTCTGTGGACGGTAGTGAGGCATTCAAGCTGTCGTACAGCATCCAAGACTCATGGGCTTGTGTAGTGGGGTTGGGTTGGGAGTCGAACCCCGGACCAGCGGTGTAAGACTGGGGAGCTGTGGTGGTCTCGCCCCAGTAACCAAACCCGTCATCTTTGCTTTGGAAGAGCGGGAAATCCCGGCCTCCCACGGGGGACCGTTGGCTGCGGAATCCCTTCATTGCCGAACGCTGCTTCATGTAGTTGGCGAACTCGGTCGGGGAGAGCTGCTGGAAATTGACCTTCTTGCCCGCCGACTTGAGCTTGGTGGAGCCGAACTTGGTCTGGGCGAAGGATGCCGCAGTGAAGGTAAGAGATGAGGGTCTGGAGAGAGGGGCTGCTTGTAGCCGAGGCTTGCCTGTGACTGGGGTGGGGGTGGGGACGACAGGGGGCATCGGGTGGAGAGCCTGAGGGTGGGGGAGGTGCTGATGATGGTGTGGAGTGGGGAGTCCCAGTGGCACCATCGGCTGGAACCCCAGAGCAGACACTGGCGATAGTGAGATCCCTCTCATGGAGGAACTCAGTGAGTCCATTGTCATGGGCAGGAAATCCTCAGCCTCGGGGTTGAAATTGAACTGGCCCGAGCCGGTCAGATCCGGCTCGCTCTGGACGTGGCTGGGCCCGGCTGCCTTCGGGCGCTTCTCCTGGTAGATGACAGAGACAGTTCCCTTCTCTCCCATACGGAAGGACACCTCTCCGGGGTCCACCCAGATGCTCAGCTCATGCGGAAGTGCCTCGGTCAAATCTCCGGTCTCTAGCCCACTGCGCTGGATAGCCGTAGCCACTGCCGCATCCATCTCCCTGGTCCCGATGCGAAGACACCGATATCCCGAGCCTTTACAAGGCGACTCCGGGTACCAGTGGCCGTTGAATTTGTTGACCAGGGATTTGTCCAGCTCTTCGGCGAAGAGGTCCTGCTGTTGGCGGGGGATCTTGGAGCAAAGTTGCTCCAAGATGAAGGTGATAGCGCATTGGATTTCTGCCTTCATGTTGGTTGGGGTGGTGGGGTATAATCAGTGATGACAGACTTCAGCGTAAACCTGCAGTGAGAAGGACGAAAAAAAAATTCCCAATAAATAACTGACAATCTTGGCAAATATAGCTATTTCCATCATTCAGAAAATCTGCTGTCATCCAGCAACACGACTGTATTGATAAAGGGCTCCCTTCATGGATGACAGGATTATCAAGACGTTTACAAGGGGACAATGCAATAACATAATCATGACCAATGTATGACAATATCAATACCGGTATCACTTTTCATACAGTGACCGAGTGCAGCTTTTCCCTTTCATTATTACAGTTTCACAACTCCAAACCAATTCGTTTACTTTCCTAACCATTTTAAAACCCTTTAAAAGTTATTTTACCATATCTTTAAAGTTTGTGAGTAAGCCATTAAACCTGACCTAGTTACTTCATATGATTCTCATTCGCACGCGGTGCAAGGACTACCCTGGACCCATGACACATCGCGACAACCAGGGACACGGACCTATGCATGTGATTCACTGCTTCCCTACCCCCCCCCCCCCCCGGCCCCCCTCGGCCCGCCTCCCCCGGAGCCCATTCACAAAATGACTCTTCCCTGGATTAGCCTCTGACACGTGCCCTTTACAACGCTCCCTACCCGGCGGTAATGAGCAAGGCACGACGCCACAAATGAAAAGAGACTTGAGTGGGAGGCTAAGAAATGACTCGGCCGTCCAAAAACAGCCCCTCAAGGAAGCCTTATTCATCGGCGCTTGTCTCCGAGGATTTTCCAGCGCCAGGTTTGCTCATATTAAAGGTCGCATGCAGTGCCAACACATTTGGAAATTTCACTAGAGTTAAAAAAAAAATTACCCGAGGCTTACGGTAGCCATGATGTGACAGAGGTCTCTGATCGTGACTCGTTCAAGGTGATTCTATTTTTAAAAAGCTGTTATATTCTAAACGAAGTTGCTTGCAAATTTTCTATCAATGTTTTGTTTTCAACATTTTGATCTCAGAGAATGTACACGAGTGTTCGTCAATTCTGTAATGGATACCTAATGAAAAACAACAGATCTTAATCATCCAAAAAGGATATCAAAAAAGGATATCAAATGATTTCATTTGAATTCGGCATGATCACTCAGTCATAATACATTAACGCTTTAGGTTACTACAATAAAATTAACACCCCGCGGGCCAAGGGAAAACCGATAGCAAATAAATAATGTTTTTCCTGCAGGTTAATATAATTTCCTTAGACATTATCAGCGAAACAGCACCTTCAATTTTAAGCCACCGTGGATAAAATCAAATCAGCCTGTTGATTTTTTTCTCCATATAATACACAAACCATAAATACACCAATGTAAAACAGCTGTTCCTTTGTTGTCGTGTTACTGAAATCCATCGCTCATTATTACAGACAATATTCGAACTATGTCACGGCAAAATATTATTCCAAAATGCTATACACACAGTATGCGCTCCATATGGCACAGCGCATGAACGCACAAAGCGTGGGAGTATTTTTTTTATCCGACCATCGTAACGCAAATCCACTGTAGCTAGCCGCGAGCTAGCCGGAATCCCTGCGTGCGGTCGACTATTCAACAAAATATTGGCCTTCCCTCAAACCCACACACACACAATTAGTACCTTCAACACTTTGATGCGAAAATCCCGAAGTATAATTCAAATTCATTGCAATCATTGATATATATTTTTATATTTTAATAAAACAGAATCCAATTCAATACTGAGAGGAGAGTATTATTATAATGCAGATAATAATCGATTTCTATTTTTATCCAAGTTTTACCGTATATTTATTGTGATATGATATTGACATTGATTTAAAAAAAAAATCGTTTCAAACATAGCACTCCAGAGTAAATTGAAAGGGGGCTGGGGTTACCCCAAATATTTGTCACCTTTTTTGTAAAATATCTAAATGCACCATACATTAGCGAGGATGCCCATTGGCCGCATTACTGGAAACAACATAGGCTATATTCAAGAATTGCAACAACAATTTATAGGCCCATTCAGAAAAGTATAAAAACAAAGCAAAGTATGAAACGAAAACATTGTAAACCCGAATGCAAAAAGAGAGTAACAAAAAATATTGAAACATTAATTTTATTTTAAAAAACAGTACTCACTTGTTTACAGTTCGAATGCAGAGATCCACACCGACACGAAAGCACTATGGATGGAACAGCTGCGATGTAAGTCGTGAAGGCAGGGCGCGTGTTTGTGTGATATTCCAAGTGTGTGTTGCGGTTTTTTTACGTTGTCAGTGAGCGTACTGACGTCTGGCCATTGAATGTCACCTGCATGGGAATTGTGCCTGTTTTTATCCACTGTCGCTGGCCCATTGACGGGACTACTTTATTAATAATTCGCGAGTGACTACACCATCTGGACTGTGACACAATATACATGTACTTGTGCGTTATCGTCGAGGATAACGATTTTAAAGGTTTGTTTCAACAACACACGAGACCGGAAAAGAGATTAACAGAACACAAAGGCCCCTGATTCTCGGAGAACGGACGGCAAAAGCTCGACAAATCGTGTGAAAGAAAGCAGGGCTAAGTAGTTTTTTTAATGCGATGTTTTAGGGGAAGTTATGAGGTAGCGGATTAATACAGACCTGCTTTGAAATCATGAATATGCAAAGAAGGAAGGAAGAGACACTGTCAGTGATTGGTCGTCGGGAGCGGAAGCATAATTTGACAATTATCTTGTTATGCTGACGTCAGTATGCGGTGTTTTCAAGCCGTGTGTGATTGTTGTGTGTATACCGTGAGGATGGGGGTCAGCGCGGGCCGTCGGCGGCCCGTGTGCATGCCGAGCAGACCGCAGCACGTGCTGGGCAAACACCGGCTGAAATCCTTCTCACCGTGATTACTATGCTAATTCGTGGCCCGCGCTTGCCACGTGCCACGGGGTGCAAGTGCGGGGATTGTTTGGGGGGGGGGGGGGGATTAACAGGACGATGCTGGGAACAAAGGTGGGAACTTCCGCTTAGGGTACATGCCCGGAGGCACTGGGATGGACCATAGAGCAAGGAACGGACATTGTTTGCATTGTCAAACTTCCAAAACACTGTCTCCGGAACTTGAACACATTCGCTCACTTCGCCTGGTATACACGAATTCATCTGCAGCCCATCTGAACAAAATCCTTTTCCGTCTGCCTGTATCCGAGAGCTTTTCCAATCTTTCTTATTCTAATTATAAGGTTGAACAAAGAAATTGACAGGAACGGTAGGCCTATGAACATGCGACCTCCGAACAGCGTACCGGCGCTCTTATGAATAAACCAGCTCTATATTATGATTGAAACCATTTTTTACAATATCTTACAACCATCTTAGAAGTTAGATAATAATTATACCTATTAAAAACTGCACCTCTGTAGGCGAAGTCAACCCAATCCATGCGAATGCCATATGGTGAAACCTTGCCCTAGATGTTGGTACGTACCAGTATACTGCAGCGATATTACTTCCGTTCTGTGGATAACTCGTTAAAATATTCACCTCCTTTGTTTAATTATTTCAAGGTTTTCATCAAGAGATCGATATCGATGACTATCTATCACAATATTGAGGGATTCTGTTAACATCCGTCAAAAATAATTCTATGCAGTTTGATCTATACGCTTAGCCGTATACATTCATGTACATGTATTAATGGGTATTGTTTGTTCAAACGAGGTGTGGAATTTATTCCAAAATCAATTTTGGAAAATAATTGATCGGGTGTGTACATGAAGTGAGTTTAAGTTTGCTTATATAACTTTCATTATAATACTTGCCATCTTTTTCACCATCTCGTCCACCTGTAGTTATTATTTCACCACAATCACCAACCATGTCACCATTATCATACCCATCATCACTTCTACTATTCTCACCACAATCACCGCCACAACACTACTGTTATGTTCATTTTACATCTTAAGATCTAGATTGTCAAGAGACTTGTAATGTACAATTACTGGGAATCGATGCTTGTCCATATAGTGTTTATTTGTAATTGTTGAGGCTCAAAATGACCACACATTCATTTTAAAGATGTTTTTCAGTCTCTTATGACTAGCATCTCCGAACTCGGTTTGGAAGTTTTTAAAAAAAAAGAGAAATCGATAAAAAATAAACCAACCCCCTCCCCCCGCTGTGCGAAGTGTCAACACAAATCTTTAGGAGGTATTTATGGGGCTTCGTTTTCTGCAGGGACAAGTCATTGACATCATTGGCATTTCCCGAATTATGATCTTGAGCGGATGCGGCGAGAACCCGCGGCGAAATGCACGCAGGAAGAAAACAAGGTTGTTTTCAATTCCGCTCTGCCTTGAAAAACAAGTAAGTGCGTAATCGGTGCGAGGGACGACGTGCATCGTAACACGATTGCCGGCCGGTCTGACGTCAGTACGGCGTTCCCGTATAGACGCGGTCCTCGGCGCGAGCCACGACGGCCAATCAATGGCCGGGTTATTTTTAGCCGCGTGGTATTCGCCGTGTGTGGATACGAGGCGAGCAAGCAGCGCGGGGAGTTATGAGGAGGCAGTGTCTCCCGCTGATGATGTCAGAGGACCAAAGATGTGCGTCTGTAGTGAGTGTATATCTCTAAGCCATTGCTGGGTTATTAATATCACGGTCTATGGGCTTTCCAGTTGTTGGGTATAAATATCATTTAGCAGGCCCGGTTTACGGTTCAACGGAGGTGTATTTCTAGGCCAACGGGCCGTTATTATTGGGCACGGACAGGGACGGATTCTTTTTATATCCGGCGGAAGCAGAATTCCAAGAAGGGACTTGTTTGTTTGGAAGATGGGAAATAGATTCATGAGTGTTAGGCTACAGGGGGACAGAGGATTACCTTTAAGTGTTGTAATGAAAGTGTCTATGCGCTGGCTAATGCGCCGTTAATGAAAATTTGTGACAAAATAAACACAACTCATCTCACGTAAGCTCGGCCGATAAAGAATTAAGACTATAGCTCCTTGCATGCTTGACAAAAACCAGAGGGAGAAGTGTTGACATTAACGTGCACTATAGGTTAGTACATCTTAGTTACAAGTGCCTTTATATCAATGTTCTCTGCAATTCTTCCACAAATCGATCAGTTAAAGTGATTGCTATTTTGGGAGGTTTTCAACACAAGAGTTTTCAGGAATTCGATCCTCTAAACTGGAATTTACTGAGTTGCCCATGCATATCGTTTGGAAGGAATGGACGTTTTGACAAGACCAGTACACAAACCACATGCTGAAAAAATATTCCACCTCTCATTTTCCCCTCCTTCGCCAAATTGATTCAGCCACGCCCCATTCCTTTATCTTTAATAGTCTTTGCTCTTTGTTACCACGCATCTTCTGCGAACAAAGCAATGGGCACCATTTTCTCCATGTCGATCCTGTCTTTGTTGGAAGAGAACGTCAATTTTTTGTTTTTCTGTCTCGATCATTATCACTCTGCTTCGCTGCCATGCACGTGCCAACCAATTACTTTTAAGTGTGTGCTCCAGCGTTATAATATACACTGGTCACTTTTTTTTCAACATCCGTGCATTATCCCTTCGCACAAAATGCAAATTTGTTGGATGTTATCCCGCCTGAAGAGTCAATTAGGCCTGTGTAGAGGTGAGGCGTGGTCTGGATAGGTGGCCTGGACATAAAGTATAGCCGTATGGTTGGTCCGTCTGCATGCGACCATAATGGTGATTACACGGGGTTTCGCAGAGAGGAAAATAAGAAGGAAAAAAAAAAGGAAGGTTGCGGGTTCTTTGTTCGTCACAGCTCCCAGAGTTGTGCACAGTTTGGGAATCCCAGATGCTTGGGGAGACATTTTTTTGAGGTGAGATTCCAGAAACTGGAAGATTTATGTGGAGCTGAAAGTTACAAAAAACTGAGAGACACACTAGCAGGCGATTGTTTCATCCTGGGTAAAAAGGGGGTTATTACTGTACTAATTCAGGAGGTCAGAACCTATAGTCGGTTTCCATTTGGGGTCTATTTGGTGTTCTATAAATTATTATTTACAATATAAAGACTGATTCGAAGTCAATGAATGTGGTGGATTCCATGTTCGCATTAGCAGTCAGGCTTTGTCATAAGAGCCATCACGTATTGATGTTACTTTTTTGCGTGGGCAGCTCAACTATCCGCCTCCAACAACATTATTGAGTTATGAATTTAGACTTTTGAAAACTTTGTGCACAATGACCAGAGCCTGCAGTTCTCGCTTGAAAACTGCGTCGTATAATTATAATTACGACAAGTTTGAATCCAACCGCGAGAACTGGGAGTTTAAAAAAAGCGGTCCAACCATCTGGCTAGCTAGCCTAGTGAGATGAGGCGGGCCTGGGACCGCGTGGCCGGGCCTAGCCTGCGTGCAGGGGCCGGCTAAATCCAACGACCCAGTTAGCTCCGCACCGCTCGCTTAATAACTCCCCTCGCCCACTTCTATTCACCGCATGCCAGCTGACAGCAGCCTGTATATCGCGAATGGGAACATGCATCGGGACAAAAGACGGTCCGCATTACAGAAGGATCATCACCACTAGCTCCCAACGCCTGCAAACTCTGTCAGATTGTTGACCTTTCAGGAAGCTTTTTTCTCTCTCTCTCCCAATAAATCCTATTTTAATCAGCTTTTCTCCAAGCACTCCTTCTGAAAGGACTGGGGGAGCGGAAGGGTCAGCTGCCGGCAGCTTCAGGCCTACTGTGCCCGCTGGGGGCTGCACCCTCTAGGGTATTATTCTTCCCAATCCGCAACAAAGCCAACATTATTCTCGTTAGCAGGCTTGAACTCTTCTCTTTCTCTCTGACACTGCAGTCAAAAGCCAGTGCCTTTTAAGGTTTATGTCGGGAGAGGACAGGTGCGGTTGTGGCTTGTCCATTTGGGAAAACGAATTTCGTGGCCGCCTTTAAAATGGTACTTATTATGTTTATCCTGAAAAGTTTGCCGTCACACGCGTGTTCTCAACAAAGTCGCAACTATCGCGTTTTAAAAATAAATTCACACTCGCTATACGCGGCACCAGCAGCTGCACTTTTTTTTCGGCAGACAGGTTTAGAGTTCACATGGAATGGCTTTTCGTGAATTGCAAATTATCTTGACTGAACTAAAAAAATAATCCCTGAACAAAGGGCAAACTTTGTACGGGTGAAAACTGACTCCTGCGCGCGTTTTTCCCAATGAATTCCTTGTGTTCAAATTGACATTTTTTTAAAACGTATATCGCTGTAATATTTTATACTCAAAGTAATTGACCTTTATAATAGTGTATACGCTAAGGAAAAACTGCGTTAAATTTTATTAGAGTTAGACGAGGTAAGCATTGTGCTGTACTTTGTGTATAATTTCAAAAACTGAAAGAATTATCTTCAGATAATTATCTCCCGCTTAAATGTAGACGTTATTTGACGCTGGAAAATATCACTGTCCTTTTAAAGTCGTTTCCGCAAAGACGTACTTTAGCCTCAATAAATGCACAGGGTTTTTTTGCAACCGCGTATTTTCCGTTTTCCCAAGATGTAAAATTTGGTTTTTCTAATTCTCCAAACGGGATAAGAGTTAAGTCTGGGGATGTCTCACAGGAAGAAGATTATTTAAAAATGCTAAAAATTCATACTATTCATTAGAATCG